AGCTCTGCTGGTGGGACATGATCAAGCTTGTGCTTCAAATGATAACACAGCAATGCATATAGAGCAGGCTTCTCCAACGGCTACTTAATTCTTCTCCAAAGATGTTTCAACAGGTGTTTATGCAAGACAATCTGTTTAAAATATCACTCATTCATTCATAAATACTGTATACTGATTCTTCTTACAACAGGCATTCTCACAACAACTTTATCACGGGATAGTTAAAATGTTTCTTTTTGAACATTCTAGCCTTTTCTAATTATGCACAGTGTGGGGTTTTTACTTGTTTGTTTCTTTAAAGATCTAATACTGCTGCCTAATTTCCCCTGTCTGTCTCATTTGGGGAGACTTCTGCTGCCCTAGATCATCTTGGGAGTCCTGCTATATTGACAAACCAAAGCCTGGCTCTTCCCGATGCTAGAAGCAAAGACACACACACACACCTGCCCAGTTTCCAGCAGAAAGCTTGCTGGCTGCTGTGCTTTTGCAGATCAAGATCAACTCTTTTCTTTTGCTGCTGCAGTTGAGCCTCTTGATGTGGAAACTGGCTCTATTTTTATCTGGCTAAGGAAGATCAGATTTGCAGTAATTGACTGGATAAACAGACACACTATGTACGAACCAAGTTAATGGGATACATTTGGTGGCCAGCAAGGGCACTTTGCTGTTGCTCTGCCCAAATAAGTAATTGGACTAATTTATGACACTCAGGCTGCTAACGTGTCCATTAAAGGCCCCTTTTGTGCTCTTCCCCTCCACAAATAAAAGGGAAAAAAACATTTCCCCCTGGTTCAAAGCATGCAAACACCATGCCTTCATCAGGAGTAAGTATAAAGCATTTCCTGACTGTCACTAAAGCTCTTAGCAAAATGGAATTAGAGCCAAACACGTGCAAGAATTTCTCTTTCCGGTTAACCCAGGTCCTGACCTTTATTAACCTGGCAGAGATTATTGACAATACAGTATGCCCTCAGTAAGATGGAATCTACAAAGGAACTGTACTATCATCTATCCTGTCCTGACTGCAATATAGCTCAATAATCTGCTGATTTTGGGAGGGTTGGGCAACAGATCAAACTGATAAGAAAAGGTTGGAATGGAAGGAGGGAAATCTATGCTACATAATCTTGCCTAATGAAACACATTTAACAGTAAGTAAGGGGAAAAAATGAGCCCCCCCCATTCCTTCTCCCCTGATGCACCAAAGCTGCTCTCATTTGGGCAATTTGTGGTTCCCTTGTGACACATTCTAATGGATATGGAGAACAGTCAGACGCAAATATGAAGCTTATGGCAAGTACGGAAGTTTACAGGGCTTGTGCCTCTGACTTAAGTGTTCTGAACTGCGCATCCAGCCATTTTCTGACTCTTTCTCCACATGTAGGGAAAAACACAACACCAGAAGCAGTTCTTTCCTCTCCCCGGAAATTGGCAAGTGGCTGACCATTAGATTATGATTGTACAATGTAAACAAGTGTCAAGTGATGCATATTGAGTTTAAGTAAATAAATAAATCTTAATTTCACATATACACGTATAGAGTAGGAACTGGTGCTGATTGACCAGGAATGAGACATTGAGGTTGAAGCAAATAGCTTGATGAAGACAGCAACCCAGCATGTGGCACCTGTGAAAAAGGCCATCTCCTTCACTATATCTCAGAAGTGGAATATTTTTCCAGAAACATTACACAGCACAGAGGCATTGCTACCTCACTGGCTCACGAGTCCCCCCCCCCCATTCTCCTAAAACAAAGTAGCATACCCATGGGAAGGTGCCACAGCTATAGAAAATGTTTCCATGCTGTTTCACAGCATGGGGTGACAGGAATTAGGAGAATGGAACTTCTGCATATTAGCACCATATAAAAAGAGAAAGAGTCGCCAAAGTAAGAATAGGCTCAGAGGAGAAACTGTAATGCTGGATGAGTGTCCCTTATTTCAGAATTGTTACATAAAGGATGTCTCATTATTTTACTGCTCTGATGTGCCCCTTTTGCCTGGACATCTGCTCCTGCATACTTTGTGCAAGTTACCTGTCCCAGAAAACAACAGTGCTGCCCTTGGTGACTGGTCTTAAAACTACTGTCACCTAATACAGGGTTCAGGAGCATGTGGCCCTCCTGATGTTGGACTCCAGTTCCCACCATCCCTTTTCATTGGCCATGCTGGCTGGGGCTGATGGGACGTGGAGTTCTAACATCTGGAAGGCTACAGGTTCCCCAGCCCTGACTTAATAAAATGCTGTGGCTGGTAGAACATATAAATAAGTACCGGTAGACATTTTTTGCCTATGGTGTCAGTTGGGGTTACTAGATCAGGAGATTCGTTTGCTACCATTAACCATGGTGTCCTCCTGGAGCAGCTTTACAGATGGGAAGTTGGAGGCCTGGTGCCAGGGTGAATCTGCTCCTGGGAAGTGGCCACTGCTCAGAGGAGGAACAACCATCTTTGCAGAAAGAAGATCCCGGGTTCAACCCCCAGCATCTCCAGGTAGGGCTGGGAATGTCCCCAGGCTGAGACCTAGGACAGTCACTGCCAGCCTAGGTTGGCAATTCTGAACTTCCTGATTCTGTATAAATAAGTTTCCTGTGTGGTCATCAGGGATGTGTGAGCCCAGTGTCATGGTTAGCCGGATGCTACCCAACTATGTGTCTCCTTGTCTCCTTATTATCTGAATGAGGTGACTGATAGGTGCTTGGAGGATGTCATGGTCTGGATGAGTTCAGGTAGCTTGTTAGCTCATTCTGTTTCTATATCCCTTTGCACAACCAGAGGTGTTCCAAAGCAATTTGCAATGAAGGCCAATGAACTGAACCTGAACACCAACATGATGAAGGTGATGTGAGCCAGAGGTTTCCAGGTGCAGGAAATAGGCAGCTGGCCTGCTCTGGATGGGTTGCACTTCCTCTGGAGGACCAGCTGCATAGCCTGGGCTTACTTCTACATTCTGCTTTGTCACCAGAGGCCTAAGTGATCTCAGTGGCATGGATCACTTATTTTCAGCTCTGGCTGGTTGACCAGCTATGGCTGTTCCTGGACAGAGTTAGCCTTGCCACAATAACCCATGCTCTGGTAACCACCTGGTTAGATTACTGTATTGCACTCTTACATGGATCCACCCTGGAAGACAGTCTGAAGGTTGGTGGTGATGAAAATACAGCTGTAGAGTCTTAACTGTCTCAGCCTGTTGGGACCACATAATACTGATTCTAAAAAGGTTTGCATTGGCTGACTATATGCTATTGAACCCAACTTAAGGCTTTAGTGTTGGCATATAATGCCTTGAGGGACGCGGGTGGCGCTGTGGTCTAAGCCACAGAGCCTAGGGCTTGCCGATCAGAAGGTCAGCAGTTTGAATCCCCACGATGGGGTGAACTCCCATTGTTCGGTCCCAGCTCCTGCCCACCTAGCAGTTTGAAAGCACGTCAAAGTGCAAGTAGATAAATAGGTACCACTCCAGCGGGAAGGTAAACAGTGTTTCCATGCGCTGTTCTGGTTCGCCAGAAGTGGCTTAGTCATGCTGGCCACATGACCTTGAAGCTGTATGTGGACAAACACCAGCTCCCTCGGACTATAGAGCAAGATGAGCGCGCAACCCCAGAGTCATCCGCAACTGGAACTAATGGTCAGGGGTACCTTTACCTTTATAATGCCTTGACTGACTTAGAACCCAGGTATCTGAAGGAGTGGCACATACTTCCCTGTGTTGTCCTGCTCATGATTTAAGGTAAGCTGGGGCACTCCTTTCTGTCCTACCATGGTTTTAAGATTGTGGAGCCTGTGGAGCTGTGTTTCAATATGGGATCTTCCTGACTGTGACTAGTCTTCAAAAGCAGCTGAAAACACCCCTCTTCTTCCTGGCCTATTGGCGTTAAGGTGTGTGATGTATGAAACCAATTGGAGCCATTTGGGTTGTCTTAGAAAGGAAGGGAGGAAAAGAACTGCTGCCATGCTAGTTTTGAGGTTTCTGACTGACTTTATTATTTTTGTTTTCTTTTTACTGTTGGGGCCCTCCCTGGACTCATGCAACAACCAAGCGGATGGCCACCAAGTTGAATGGATATAAAATGTGATTAGAGAAATTCTTGGGGGAGATGGCTATCAATGGCTACTAGCCTTGATGGCTGTGTTCTGTCCCGTGGTCAGAGGAGACAGTTGCTGGAATCTGCAGGAGGGCTGAGTGTTCTTGCATCTGGCTGGTGACTGGGAGAACAGGATGCTGGGCTACATGGGCCAGGTATGTCCTTATGACAGGAAGGATGTAATTTGCTTTAGTAAATAAATAAATGCTCTTGCTGTTGATGCAGGGGTATACCTGGACTCCCTTGTGCCCTTGGCAAGGAGCTGTATCAGTGCCCCCCCATCCTTTGTACCCTCCTCCAAGGCACCCAGAGGAGCCTGTGCACCTTACCTGGCCAGTTCAGAGCAGGAGAGGAGTGGCCCTGCGAATGGGCAGGTGAGCGGACTCCTAGCCACTCCAAGCCAAAGGGGAGATGTGTGATTTTTGTGCTCCCCTAGGCCTGTGTCTTTGGCAGGGGCCAAACTGGACAACTCTTAGGTATGCCCCTGGCTGTTGTTTTCAAGTCAGGAAATTAGGCTTATTTAAGAAGTGGGATGGGAGAATAGAGAAGAAAGTATTGTCAGCAACAAAATTAAGTGAGGAGTGGGGTCCTAAGCATAGCCTCTTGCGTCTCCCAGCAAAATCAGTGCCACTTGTGAATGAATAAGCCAGGTTAGTGTTGGGCTATCATTATGGAAGGCAAGAGCTCCCACTTGGTTTCCCTGAGAAATCTTTACCCTCTTCCTAGGCTGATAGATTGCAGCCTGCCAAATGCATTTTTTTCTGGATGCTATCTCTCTCTGGCCTGCTGGAGGTTTTTTAGCCTCCTGTCTCTAAGGAAGTGAAAGAGAACAGAGAGATCTGCTGGTGGGGGGGGGGGAGCGAGGAGAGAGCGAGCGATGAGTGTTACGCAGTTCCTGTACCTTTAAATCTAAGGAGCTTGAGCTGAGACAGAGAGCGAGAGAGGCAGAAGCTGAGCCGGGGGTCTGTTCCCCTTAATAAGCAAGATCGGTCTCCACTGAGGAAGATGGGAAGAAGAGGGTGAAGAGGATGCAAGAAGACCTCTGCCCCTCCCAGACTGGAGATACAAAAAAGGAAAGAGAGAGAGGCGCCTCTTTCCCTCCATCCTCAATCTCTTCCGCCTCCTCCATCCCTTCTTTTTCTGCCACCCTGCTGAAAGAATCCAGCCCTTCCGAAAAGGGCATCTCTCCCTGTCTCTCTCTTTGAAGGCAAAATGTGGGAGTCGTTCCAAAAAACAAGCCGAGATCTAACGGAGTGAGAGGTTTGCTGTGGGTGGCGGTGGGAGGTGTGGGGAGGGGGGGAGGAGGAAGAAAATGAGAACAGTTGTTTTTGTAGGGTGAGCTGTAGGTGTGTTTGTGAGTGTGTGTGTATGTGTGTGTGTTTGTGTGTATGTATGCGTGAGTGTGTGTGTGTGAGAGAGAGAGAGAGAGAGAGGAAGAGAGTGTGCGTGAGATTGAGACAGACACAGACACTGCATTGCTGCTGATTCAGGAGTCTCTCCAGCAAAAACATAACCACCAAGATGCTGCTCTGCCTTGGACTGCCTGATCCATTTCTCCATCAAAACAGCAGCAGGTGGAGGTCACAGAGGGGGATTTGAGACCCTTCCTGCCGCCTGCGTGTTGCATCCTCCCCCCACCCGCAAAACCAGGAATTCTTCTTCTTATATGTTGGCACTTGGCCTGTTTCTCCGCATCCTTTCTTTCCCTGGGTTTTGCCTCGGATGGTTTTACAGGAGACTTGCTTGCACCAAAACCTGCCTGATTTGCTGTTCTGGACAATATTATTCTCCCTCTTTTGCTCCAATCCAGCCTCCAGAGCAGGAAGCCAAGAGGATCAAGGTTCCATGAGTCTCCCCCTTGAGAAAGTGTGAGCAGCAGAAATTGACTCAAGCAGCTATTTGGATTTGGTGCATTATTTAAGGTGTTGTTTGGGGGTTTTTTTCCCTCCCCTGGCGGCTGCTTCTCCTCCTCCTCTCTCTCTCTTTTTTTTTCACCTTTTTGAGAATTTTCAAACTGAGTTACATGCATGTCCAGTGGGGGAAGGTTTAATTTTGACGATGGAGGGTCCTATTGTGGAGGCTGGGAGGACGGCAAGGCTCACGGCCACGGAATATGCACCGGCCCCAAGGGTCAAGGAGAGTATGCGGGTTCCTGGAGTCACGGCTTTGAAGTGCTGGGGGTCTATACCTGGCCGAGTGGCAACACCTACCAGGGCACCTGGGCCCAGGGAAAGCGCCACGGCATTGGTGTGGAGAGCAAAGGGAAGTGGGTGTACAAAGGCGAATGGACTCATGGATTTAAGGGACGCTACGGAGTACGTGAATGCACAGGCAATGGGGCCAAATATGAAGGCACCTGGAGCAATGGTCTTCAGGATGGTTATGGGACAGAGACCTACTCGGATGGAGGTAAGTAGCCCATTTGCTCCTTCTTTTCCTTGGTGTTGTCCAGTGGATCATCCTTCCTTTTCTCTGCCAGGTTGTGGTGTATCCTTTTAGGAAGCCCTGCCAGTTCAAAGCTTCGTTCTTACTGTAAGACAGAGAAAAGCAGCTCACCCAGGCAGGGCCCCTTCCCAATGGAGCCCTTTAAGTTCATTTGTGACCAGGGCTGTTTCTTTTCATGTTCTCTGTTGCCTGATGAAGGGAAGGCCTTTTTTGCAAGCTGGTTTGTTGGATAGAGTGGGGGGTAGAAGGCTGGAAGGCATTCAAATTCTTACTCAGCTATGAAACTCCCTGTGGTGGGTTAGTCACTATCTTTCATCTAAGCTTACCTTGTGGGTTGCTGTAAGGATAAATGAGGTGAGAACTGTGAAACATTTTAATTTTATTTTTTGCGTATGGAAAGGAGCTTAGAAATTAAGAGCAATGGCTGTGAGGAACCAAACTATATCCAAAGTTGTATATGAGGAGGAATACGGTAAGGCAGGGTCAAGAAATTGGTTAGAATCATAACAGGAAATGCAGGTTTTTGGTATCTGGAGCAAATGACCCAAGAGAGACCCCTTTACATGGATTAATCTGAGGCACAGTTTGCCAGGAAGTGACGTTTGGCTTCCATTCATTTTCATGGGGGTTGTTCAGAACGTCCCAGTGAATTATGCCCCCTGGATCAGATTTGTGTCTCTGCCACTGCCAGTCTGCTATCCTTAATTGTTGCCCATAATCTGCCACCCGAGGTGGTCACGTGTCTGTCCTATCATTGGACTGCTTCATGACTTGAAAGCATGACTCTAGACCCACCACTTGAACCTGTAGGTTCTTTCAACTCTGAAGCGGAGTAGGTTTAAAAACAAACAAACACATAACCCAGGCAGCAAGATGCACTGCTGGATCTTCTCAGTGCAGGCACTTTGAAATTCTCACCATAATGAAAACATATTGCAAGCTGCTATCATTTTTTATAATTCCCCCTCCACGCATAAAGCTCAACCTGATGCATCCAGAGCTTATCTGGCAAATGACTGCAATTTATAGAGGGTTCCCACAATGAGATTTCACAGCTTGATTGTGTACAGCAGGGGTAGAGGCCAGATGTGGGCCAAGCCTCTCTCTCTAGGCCATACTCCCTCTTTAGTCATGTCCTTTCTGCCCAGGCCACCCTGCTCACTGCTCTTCCTCCACACCCTCATTGAGTGCTTTTGTGTGACTGGGATGTGTCCTTGAACTCTGATAACGACTTGCCTGCCTGTATAGAGCATAGAAAGGTGTATGCGTGTAGAAGTACATTTACATTTGTTGCTCTGGCCCCACCCACCACTGACTTGCAGCTCCCAGAACGTTACTCAGAAGGGAATGTGGCCCAGGGACTGGAAAAGCTTTCCCACTGCCCAGAGGCAGGTGAGGACAGCTGTTTTTGACCTCTGATGGCACTTTCAGGTGTATCAGGGTGAGTAGGAATGGGTACAAATACTGAATAAATATTTAGCAGAGACACAGAGAGAAATTATCTAGTTCTGATGTCTTATCCTGAGAAAACCGCTTCCTTTCTCTCAAGGGACTGAATCACTTGGTCTCTTGTTCACTGACAGTGTCCCAGCTCCCCTAGGTAGTAGGGGCCAAACCAGCTTCCAAGAGTCCCGTGGAAACAACAAGGGAGGCCTCTGGTTTTCATCTTATGTGTCTGTATCCAAACAGCTTTGATCTCCCTCACCCCGGCCCATGTTGCTTAGAGTGTTCTAAAGATTTTAGATAGAGAAAGAAAGAAAAACACCCAAGGCCTTTATCCTCAGCCTTGAAAGTCTGGATTGGCAGGGAGGAGGAGAAGCAGTAGAGATCCAAAGCTTCAAAATGCAACTCTTTATAAACAAGTTTGTTGTTCTGACTGGGGTAATAGCGGAATGGGGCAATGGGAGATTGGGGATGAGGAAAGAGGACTTTGATATGTTTTAACACTCTGTGCTGTGCTTACGAACTTACTTTGAAATGGTTAGAGCTGAGGGTTTTCTTGATTGAAAACAGAATTTTGAAGGAGCATGGATACATTCTACATATTTCCTGCTCTGCTTCTCTACCTTTATCACTCCCTAAGGAGAGCTGGGATTATTCTGAATACATGGTTTTCTATAAAGACAAGACTGAAGACCAGCTTGAAAAGTCTCCTAAAACCCAAGGGATGGTTTTTTAAAGAAGGCATCTGGCCTGTCCATGCCTTTATCCAGAACCCAGGTGGTCACGATGGAATCTTGCTGCAGCAGTACAATTCGTAATGAATTCTGGCTGGCTATGGAGTCCACAGAATAGGACATTAATTTGAATAACCCAGGAATTGGACAGAAATGTAAATCTTCTGTCGTGGCTAAATCAATGTTGTCTCTAAAGCTAGAAAGGATGGGGGAAACAGACTTCATGATGGTTGTGAAACTAGTTTAGGAAGAAATGCTGTCCAGGTAGCAGAAACCTACCCAGCAAAGCTTTGGTGGAGAATTGTAGGGCAAGTGTGGGGAACTTTTGGCCCTTCAGATGTTGCTGCAACTCCCATCATCCCTAGTCATTGGCCATGCTTGTTGGGGCTGGTAGGAGTTATAGTTAAGCAATCTCTGGAGGGCCAAAGGTTCCCCACACCTGATGTTTCGCACCTATGATTATTATTATTTTTTTTAAAAAATATATTTCCCAATATTTTTTTAAAATAACAACACTTTTACATTCAATTATACACCAAATTCATCTTGTTTGACTTCCTCCCCCTCCCCCTGGCTTCCAAACTCAATCATTCATCATTATGCATATCATTATTTTTCCTCTGCAATTTTCAAACTTAATTATAAATATGTTGTCCATATTTAACACATCATAAATGTTACAGCAACCCTGCTAATGTTTTAACATATTTACAGTGTTCTTTAACATATTCTATAAATTTTATCCAATCTTGTAAGGATTTCTTCTCGTCTTGTTGCCTGATCCTAATGGTAAGCTTTGCCATTTTGGCATAGTCTATCATCTTGATTATCCATTCTTCCTTCGCCGGTGTGCCTTCTTCTTTCCATTTTTGGGCAAATAGCATTTTGGCGATCATGGTAGCATACATAAACAGTCTCTTTAAGTTCTTTGGTATCTCCTCCCCCACTATTCCAAGCAAGAAGGCTTCTGGGTGGTTTTTTTAATAAAAGGTTATCTTAAACATTTTTTTAAACTCATAGTAAATCATTTCCCAGAAGTCTTTTGCCCTTCTACAAGTCCACCACATATGCAAAAAGGTACCTTCATTATCTATACATTTTCAACATATATTGGTGGAATTTTTATACATCCTTGCAATCGTACCTGGGGTTAGGTACCAACGGTACATCATTTTCATATAATTTTCCTTTAAAGAACTGCATACAGTAAATTTTAAATCCTCCTTCCACAGCCTTTCCCATGACTCAAATGGAATATTGTGTCCCAAGTCTTTTGCCCATTTCATCATTACATCTTTAACATCTTCATCTTTTGTTTCCCATTCCAACAGTAGCTTATCCAATTTTCAGACCCTGATAATTCCTTCCCAAAGCCTCTCTCCTTATCACTTCTGTGAATATGTCATTTAATTGGTGGTATTGCAACCAATCTGTTAACAGAAATTTTGTTTCATCAAAATCTTTTATCCTCAATTTATTTTCTGTTTCTGTTAACAGCTCTTTGTATGCGGCCCAATTTTCTTTGCACCTACGATTAGCTCAGCAGTTGTCGGTGTAGAATCGAAACAGACATAAAAGTATGTCCCTAAAACACGCTCATGTCTCATATGTCTTTTAATCTTGGTTCACCTGAGGATAACAAATGGCCTTAGTGGAATTCAACTGAGTTCTTCAAGGGGACTGGGCTGGCGATTAGTCCTAATGAACTCCTGCATTCAGATATTATTGCATCTGGATGTATGTATGGTCAATAATAATAATATTAATAATAATTTTTATTTATACCCCGCCCTCCCCAGCCAAGGCCGGGCTCAGAGCAGCTTACAAGCAATAATAAAAACAAGTTGAATGAATACAACTTAAAAACAAAATTAAAATACAACATTAAAATATTGAAACATTAAAATATTAAAATGTAGCCTCATCGCAGGAGGAGAAAGGAAAAGTAAAAAGAAAGAGGGGGAGGGAATCAAACTGGCTCCAAGCCAAAGGCCAGGCGGAACAACTCTGTCTTACAGGCCCTGTGGAAAGAAATCAGATCCCGCAGGGCCCTGGTCTCATGAGGCAGAGCGTTCCACCAGGCTGGAGCCAGAGTTGAAAAGGCCCTGGCTCTGGCTGAAGCTAATCTAACTTCCTTAGGGCCCGGGACCACTAGGGTGTTGCTATTTATGGACCTTGAGGCTCTCCGTGGGGCATACCAGGAGAGGCGGTCTCGTAGGTATGAGGGTCCTAGGCCGTGAAGGAATTCCTATTACACTAGGAAGCAATGGCTCACTGCTTGTCATGACAAAAAGAGGTAGCTGTTGGGAATTAAAGCTCATGTGCTGCTTTAATCCTTCTGCTTTCTTAAGCTTCATCATTTCCTGGGATGTCAACATTGCTATCTGCCACAATTCTGTTCTTTAAACTGTAGATAAACTTCAGTATTGTAAGCAGATCAAGTTTTATTAACAGGTTTAGACAAAGCAAAGCTGGTGTGTATTAAAGTTCTGATCTGAAGAGTCTACATTTTCTTGCATAGGAGAAGCCAACAAAGGGGCATCAAGGTGCCAACAGGAGCTCAGCATTATTTACAAATGACCATTGCTATGTATACAGTACATTTTAGCTTGAATTTGGATCCAAGGGGTCCAAACACTTCTGTTTTCATCAGCTGTCCACCTTATTGGATGCACATTCCTCTTTCTACCTTTGATGCTCCCACCCACCCCCCACATCCTATAACATGTGCTCATTCCTGTTGCAGCAATACACAGTTTCCTTTTGCTGTTATCAGGCTCTTGGAACTCCCACACACTCTCCTGTTCTTCAGGCACATGCACATAGTCTCTCTCGCACACTTCAATGCTGTCATACACATAATTTTCACCCTTTGTACACATACCCACACACAGATGCTCACACCTCCGCATTTGTTTCATGTTTCAGACATGTTTGTCAAAAACAGACCCATAGATTGCACAATTATATCTCACAGTTGCACAGATGCTTCAGAGGCACAGGAAAGGTATACTGGGCCTTGCAAGCACACAGATGCATTGCTCATACCCAGAAGCACACAGTGAATACCTTTCACATAGACACATCTCGTTTTCAGTATCACTCGGAGGCCCAGATCACAAACATTCCAAAGCCCACTTTTCTCGTATTCATGCTGAAGTTGCCACCTGCATGTAATCACATTTGTGTATTTGCTGTGCATCCTGGATATCTGCACTTGCATCCTGGGTCAAATACATCATACACACAGCCACATTGCTATTGTCAAACTGACTCTCCACATACATAAGTTTCCCTGTATTGGAGTAAGGGGTTCGGACTTGCGAACCCTTCCAGCCCCATGATTTTATACATCTCTAGCAATGCCATTTCTCCCTCTAATCATGCACACATAGAAAGAAGAAGCATATTCTTGCTTTTCCAGGGTACAAACCTTCACAGCAATCAAAGCAATGGACATTAGAGTGATAGGAGAACTAAAAGAGGAAACTGAGTACTCATTTCATGTTTCTAGGACTGAAAATTGCACTCTCTATATAAGTGTGTGTGTGTGTGTGTGTGTGTAGCCTGCAAGCATTTCATACATGCCAGCAATCTCTATTTTAGCTGCTTTATATTTGGAAATTGAAGCAGAGCTAATTGAACAATACCAGAAAGGCATCCCAGTCCTGGAAATAACTAAGCAATACTATGTCAGGCTGACGTTAGCAACTCAAATTAGCCTAGCCAATCATCAAGAACATTCTTTTTTAAAAAAACAAAAAAAACCCCTGTTTTAATTTCTAGCAATCTAATCTCAAAAGAAGCACACACTCTCAATCTTTCTCCTCCTCATATCAAAGCTTCCTTTTTCAGGACCTTGGAGAGTACTAATTGAGCTGACTGGGCATGCAATCAACTGGGCCCTGCTGCCATAAAATTTCCACTTATTTCGATCCCTTTGCCCCAGCACCCTAAAATGAATGTGGTCTGCAAGCCTCAGTCCTTGGTTTATTGCAACCAATGCACTCTCCAAGGACACATCCAGATGGCCGTTGTGAAGGGGGAGATGCTGTATGTGTATCAGGTGCACACCTGTCTCCTGTGGTCCTCTTGTGTGTTAACTCAATCCTTCCCTGGCCCTGGAGGTCCCTGCCCTTCCCTGAACAACAGCAAGCATATCAGACTAGTATTAAGTCATGAATGGAGACTGCAGAGCTACAGGGCTTGGTATACGGCAACCAATGTTTTCTCCAAGGACAGATCCAGATGGCAATTCATATGGTGCGAATCTAACTCTGATAAAGTGGAGGGGGAAATGGTACTGCCATTTGAAGATACTTCATGAGTCAAAGACTCGCTTACTGATTCACATGCACAACTTGTAACCCACCAAGCCAAATTTATCCACCTTGGTTGCCAGATGCTACAGAGCCACCCTGTTTTTTTCTGCAGTCCCACACAGGCAACAAAACAGGAGGCTGATTGAGTCCCTGGTGGACTTCCATAATGGCTGTGGGTGGTGCTTGGGTCACAAGGTATATGTAGGCCTGGTGTACATCATCCTATGAAAGCTCTGTGGTGCTTGATCTGCAGTGGCTCTTTCTCACATGCAAGTAATCCTTAAATGCTGCCCTCAACCTGTGTGGCAGACAATGCATGTCCAAACCACCCTAACCACTCTCCAAGTTTATCACACAACTGCCCAGCTGAATGTGCTGAAAGCAGTTGCTCAACAATCCTAACCCATTAGGGGCATGGTCCAGCACATTTTTCAGGAATGCGCGCTTGCACAGCCTCCAATGGCAACAGGGAAGTTTTTAAATGGAACTTCCCCACCTCCCCACTTTGAGTCGTACCTTCCAGTAATGCAAACAGATTAGTTAGGAAAAAACAACAAGTTGGAGGTAAGAAGCATCTCCGTCCACATCTAATGAATTTTATTCTAGGCTTTAACTATCTGTCATTCTCCTGCCCTCTTGATTTGCCCCAAATTTGGTACCCACACTAAAAGGCATATTTACAAGAATTTGGACGATTTGTTCTATAGCCAAGGTTTTGTTCTGAAAATAAGATGGGTTTTTCACCTCACCACAGTGATAGAAATAGACACTGAACTCAGCTCTGTGGGTGTGTAGAGAGAGAGGGGTGGTGGTAAAGGAATATAATTATTATTCTTTGCTGCTGTTGTTTATTTATTGCCTTCCACATATGTATCTCAGGACGATGTACGAAACATAACAAAAACTTAAAAACACAAGAAATAGATGATTTTTGTTTGTGTGAAATTATACAGAATGGACACCTTGGCAGAGACCTCTTCATCCAGCAGGGAAAATGTGTCAGAACATATAATTATGCCCCCCTCTCTCTTATTTTACTCTCTTTCCTTATAAGGCCTTAGCATTTGCTTACTTTCCTGGACAGCACATCATCTTCCAGATGGGTTTCTTTTCGGAGGCACAGTAGCTATTTCCCCCACTGTGTAGGCCCCTGGAGTGCTCTGGGTTTGTAACTTAGGCTAAGTGCACATCCCATTTGCACCTGTTTGATGATGAAATACTTGCCCCCATTCATTCCAGAGCCCCATGTGAACTTTGGTGTGTGAGCTCAGAGCTACCACATGTACGGGGCACTTTTGCTGTTGTTCTGTAGAGAATAAAGAACTGTCGGCCCCCTCACCAAGCACAGATGGGCCACAGGTCAGTGGCAGAGCACCTGCTTTGCATGCAGAAGGTCCCCCATTCAATCCTCAGTGGCATCTCTGATTAAGTAGTCAGATAGCAGAGATGGGACAGATTTGCTCCTAAGACCCCAGAGAGCCGCTGTCAATCAGGAAAAGTTGTGGCCCTCTCCAGATATTGTTGGACCACAACAGCCACCATTCCTGACCACTGATGATGTTGGATGGAGTCCAAACAGCATCTGCAGGGCCACAGCTTGCCCATTCCTGGGGTAAACAATACTGAGTTAGTTGGACCAGTGGTTTGACTCTGTAGAAGGCAACTACATGTGTCCAGGCTACAATTTTGCAGGGTTTCCTGAGGGAAACAATGCATTAAAAAGGTATAGAACCAACATAATGTAGTGCAGATTATAGTGTAGATTAGCAATCTTCAACATTGGCTAAACTGGCTGGGGATGATGGGTTCTGTATTCCAACTGCACTTCATGACCCAAAGTTGAAGAATGCTGGTGTAGATAATTATAATCACTAGAATTCTGTCAAATGGTGATTATAGGACCCTCCCGGTACCTTTTTTAAAATTACGCATTCCTGATTATTTGTGCTATAATGCTATGTGGGGGAAGGGCAGTGTCACACATGATCCTGCTTTTTATACTGTTCACACTTGCAAATGTTTCAGGGTGATCACACTGCTTCATTTCCAATCAGTGCTTATCCTGCAATTACCTGCTGAAATCATGTAGCTTTTTATACCAGAAAAGTTCTAGTTTATTTTTGCCCTGATTTTTTGTGCTATAGCCCCTCTGGAGAGCAACGAGATGGTAGCTTTGGGGAAGCATTGCAGAACAACAAGTAAAGCAGAATAAATCCACCACTAAGGCACCATTTTTGTCTTAAGAACATGTTGCTGAATACAACCAAAATAAAACACAGGTCTGGAGGGGCCCAGTAAGATTTCCCTCAAGATGATGGTGAGGGCTTGTTTCTTTTCCTGGGATGTAAGGTGTGTGGCAAGCACCCTCTTCAGCCCTTCTTGCTCATATTTCTCCCTGTCAGATTCTCTTCCTGATAGTGAAGCATCTGAGCAACCGGCTGGTTTTTGTTAAGTGCCTTGGTTTCGCTGTTTACAATTCACCTCAGCGTCGTGGTAAATGTACCATGGAACATTGCATAAGGAGAAAAAGGGCCTTAACTCGCCTGAGAAGTGGGACGAGATCACAGAGTTTGTGATGAGGATTATTGAGTTTGAGGATTAGTGAAGAGAAAGAGAGAGAGAGAGAATTAGCCAGATTCTGCTGTACTTTGTGCAGGAAGCGTATTAGAAATAATAAGGCAGCTGAATGCATTTGGGAATGTTTAGCATGATACATGCTGGAGCATCAGACAATTTTGTGGCACCGATCTTACCCCCAGAAGGAAAGCGTGATGGTCTAGTAGGAGGCTTGGATCAGGACAGGGAAATGGGCTGATTCAGGTGCCATTGATGCTGGGTGCTTTTTAGGTGAGTGGCCATGATCCTTTTCTAGCCATAAAGCCTTGGCAAGTAAACATTTCTCAGCCTAACCTACTATGCTGGGTTGTTGTCATGGAAGAATGACAGAAGCCTCCATTCTCTGGAAAGGGCTACAGACATAATTTATGAATAAATGGCAGTCTAAGGTTGCACAGTGTAGAGCTCCTTCTCTCTTGCCGCCAGGTTCTTGTGGCGTTCACCTGGGGGGCATGGAACTCTGGGGACAGATGCTCAGTGGCTCTTTTACAACCTGCCTGAATATTGTCATAGATACAGCTCCCTCTGCCTCTGCTGCTACTGAAGCACTATGGAGATGCCTGCCTGTTGCAGAGAGTCCTCTCCTGCACTTTACTCCACCCCACCCCACATTAGCCCCTTGTGCCCCATGGAGAAGATCCTTCCTGGAACACCTGATTTCCAGAGCATCAGAAGCCACCCAAAGTGTCATTTAATCCATGGTAGCTTTTTTTAAAAAGCAGGCGTGGGGAATTTGTGGCCTTCCAGGTGTTGCTGAACTAAAATGCCCACCGGCCCCAGCAAACCTGGCCAATGGACAGGGATGATGGGAGTTGTATTTCTGCAACATCTAGAAAGCCAAAGGTTCATCACACATGCTTTAAAGCCTCCTTCAACAGAGGCTCCCGGTCCAAACCTTTTCTTTGGACAGAGAGAGGAGATGCCACAAGCTCTTTAAGGCAGCCTATTGCTGAACAGTGCTTTACATTTGGAGAGTTTCCTCCTTATATTCCTTATATTCCACCCTGGAGTAGGGGTCAGCAACTGGAGGCTCCAGCTCTGATCTGGGTCCATCAGGAGGAGTTCTTCCTAGCTTTTCAGCCACCACCCTAGAAGCCAAAGGAGGTGAGGCAACAGAACTTACTGGCTGGCTACTTTGGGGGTAGGCAGGTGATTGAGGTGCAGGTTTATTGCTCCTAAGCTTCTTATGAAAGCCCTCAGGAAAAAAACTAGTTTCTGACAGGCCACCTAAATCAAGCTTCTTGTAATTTAATTCTATTTCGTCTTGCTCTTTGAGAACATAAAAAGAGCCTGGCTGGTCAATCAGGCCAAAGGCCCATCTAGTCCAGCATTCTGTTTTCACAGTGGCTGATCAGATGCCCCAGTGGGAAGCCCAAAAGCTGGCCCTGAGTGCAACTAGTTATTCCCAGCAAATGGCATCCAGAGCCATACTGTCTCCGTCCGTGGCAGTCAAGCATAGCCATCACTGCTAGTGGCCACTCGTAACCTTATCCCCCAGGAATGCGTTGAATCCTGTAAAAAACATCAAGTTGGTGGTCATCATTACATCTCAGGGTAATTAATTCCAATTCCATATTTTAACTATTTGATGCCTCAAGAAATACTTTTGTCTGTCTGTCTTGAATCTTCCAACCCACAGCTTCATTGGATGGCCCCAAGTTCCAGTTTTATGAGAGAAGGAGAAAAAACTTTTCTCTTTATGCTTTCTCTCCATCCTGCATAATTTTATACACCTCTGTCACAGACCCTCCAAGTGTCCCTGTTTTCCAGGGATGTCCCTGATTTAGAGAAGCCATCCCAGTTTCTGATTTGATTCCAGAAAGTCCTGCTTTTCCTTAGGATGTCCCTTTTTCATTGGAGAGATGTTGGAGGGTATGGAGTTATCTGACCCCCCAAGCCGTCTGAAGGCAATCCTGTATAGGGAAGTTTTTTTTAATGTTTTATGTTTTATTATGTTTCTGTATATGTTGGAAGCTGCCCAGAGCGGCTGGGGCAACCCAGTAAGATGTGTGGGGTATAAATAGTAAAATTATCATTATGGAATAGGACGTACCTATTTTCATTGAAGAAATGTTGGAGGGTATGCTATCATGTCCCCTTGTACTCACATTTTCAAGTTTAAACTAAAAACCTCCAAGTGTTCTTTAATAGGGAGTATATTCACAGTGAGTTTAATACGCTCATGTTAGCTGTGAGCAACAATTTTGTTACAGATTGAGAATCCACACAAACTGTCAAGCAGGAGGGACAGAAATTTGCCTTGAGAATATAGAGGAGCATTGTCTCTTGGTGGTAAAGTTTATTCTAGAGCAAACTGGGAGAGCAACACTGCATACACAGAGAGATTTTGTTTCAAGTATCTATATGCTATTTTCAGCCAAAAGAAATTCTTGAAGCAGCTTTCAAAAACATTAAACAATTGGGCATTTAAACCAAATAAAGAAGCAACATTTTTAAAAATGGAGGGTGGGTGAATCAAAGGTACCATTCCACTAAGGCCTTTTGCCAGCTGCCTTAGGAATTTCTGAAAGTAATTCGGAATGCAGAGAAGGCCCCTCCAATGGGAGAAGGCAATACTGTTCCCAATATGCCCAAGAAAACTATATGAACAAGAGAGGGTTTTGCATCTGGAAAGGTAATGCATACTGAGGCAGGCAGAGGAAAAACTCTCACTCCAAACTGAAAGTCCAATTTAAATTTTGTTTTGTGAACAAGATTGCCTGCATTGTCCAGTCTGAATGTTGGTTCATATCCTAGAAGGGCCAGAAACTCACCAGCTACCCATAGGGCAATTTACTGATTTCTCAGCCTCAGCTTCTTATCTAGAAAATTAGTGTAATAATGACATAGCCCACAGTGCTGTTTCATGAAAGCGTTAAGTACAGATAATGAAATACACAAATATACAATATATGGCAAGAGGTTGTAAAAACTTGTGATGTGATGATTAACTTCACAAGGACCTCTAGTAAGTCTTAAAGCCTTTCTTCTTCATTTATGAAATGTGTGTAAGGATATAGTAACATCAAAAGCAAGGATGATTGTTTTTGCTTTGTGCTGGCTTGAAATCACAGGAAGTTGTCCTTTGGGAAACTGGTGAAAACAAGCCTTTTCTCTCAGGAGAATAACGGGCGGAGGGCCCAAGAGTTCAACAAACAAACAAAATGAAAGAAGGAAATTACTTGGGAGTGTATCACACAGGAGATCTGCCAGACATTGCCTTTAAACTTTGGTTCTCACTAGGCTTTTCTCTAATCACAGATTAAATATTGCAACTGGAGGTGGGGGTATTATATTTTCCCAAAATTCAAGCAGCAGAATTTTTGTTGGGCAAAATGCTTTTTTCCTCCTCCATCTCCTCTGCTAGCACCATCCCCTCTATTAGCAATGTTTTGCAGAGTGAGTGCCAATCCTTATTTAGCCAAAACTGCACCATACACACACAGGAGAGGTTTCAGCTCAAGGGAGCAAGCATTATAGAGCTACCAAAAAGAAGAAGGAAAAATAGAAACAAAAATGTAAGGAAGCAAACAGACAACCCCCAAAACAACTCACTGAGGCCTGGACATACTCAGTAGACACAGGATGCTGGCTGGCTGCTGAAGGGAAAAAGCTGAAAACTGGGGGAGGGAATGGAATGGAGTATCCCGGGGAAGGGTCTGACTGGCCAGAACCTTGAACAGGAGCATTCCATGTTGCACCAATATGTTGCAGGCCCTGCTTACCTCCATTGTAATGGTGATGATGGAATGTAGTTCTCTGATTGTCAGGAAATGTTACTGAATGTGGCCAGGTGACTCACATAACCCTGTGCCTGTGCTGTTTTTTGTGGCTGCTTTTAAAGATGCACCTTTTAATGTTTTTAGAGGCAACGCACTCCCTCCCTCAACCATCAGAGCTATTGAAATATGCACCTGTTTCTGCACATCCTTGGGGAGGGCAGGGAAGGGGGGGAAATGAAGGGGAATGGGAAAGAATAGCTGTGCCTGTTAAAGCTGCACACCAAAGACTCTTTTGGAACCGAACGATGCCCTGCTGCACCTTTAAGAGCTTCTGCTGTTTCCATCTTTAAGCACCTCTGCTTTGAAACAGCCAGGTAGCTCACTGCAATATGCCGTGTTGTTACTGTTTTAATGCATTACATGCCTGAGATTCTCCAACGCTGCCACTTTGCATGGAAATGAATCCTGCATTCCAAATCCACCGTTGGAGGCCAATGCAGCATATTTCCAGACTCAAAAATCGAAATCCAGGTCGAAGCTGTGGTGCAGTGCGCGCTTTCCTTTCCTGCTCAGTAAAGATTCAAGCCAAAGCACCTCCCATTTTCTCCGTAGCCTTGTCTGCCTCAGGCACCCCCCTTCCCGCCCCCAGCCTTGCCCCAGCATCCTTGCATTTTCATGTTCTGAGTGAGTCAGTTCCTTCTCTTCCACTCCATCTTCGGCAAATGCATCCCGAGATTTTTTTTGTTACTTGTCTCCGGCAGAAGCATTTCCCCTCGGCCAGCCTGCCTTTCTTTACAGCACTTTCTTCCTTCTCTAATAGCCTTGTTACCTCTCCCCCTGCTCATTTCAGGCAGAGGTATGGCCTTTGCGGCTCTGCTGCCTTCTGCTTGATCATTGGTATTTTCCAAAGAAGCCTGTTGCTTAATCACACAGGCTGGAAGAAGGAAATATTACTCAGTCTCTGGAGGGAAAGAGTCCAGAACAATGGGCTTCTTTAAAAAGAAAAACCTACCAACCAAATAAGCCACCCAAATAAGCAGCCAAAGTGATAGTCACCTGGCACAGAAGCTGAGGAGCTAAGCTGAAGCAGAGGCAAATTCGCTCTCCCCAATGTGCTTGTATCTATTCAAATATATTTTATCCAAATTCATAGGAAATAAAAAAAGGACACTGCCATTCCAGGTCAAACTTATTTGTCCATCTAGTTCAGTACTGTCTACTCTGACTGGCAGCCATTCTCCAATGTCTCCGACAGAGACACCTTTCCTATTGCCTTCCTGTATGATCCTCTTAGTTCAAGATACTGGCTATCAAATGAAATCTGAATGTCAGATTAACACTGTGTAAGGATACAAGCGAAGAAGCTTGAGTTCCAATTCATGCCAACTTGTTTAAATCAAACTGGAAAATTTGTTTATGCATTTATCTTGTACATTTCAACTTCATTAGATCCAGTTAACTGGATTCCTAACCCAAGTCCATGTTTGGCATGCATTAATTAATTTTATTAACTCAAAATCAGGGTGATGTGTTGCTTTAATTAAGGCAGCGCGCAGGCAAGTTTAAATCCTCCTGTGAGTTATTTCCAGTGCCTGGGGGCTGTAACCAACTAAGTCTTACTCAGAGTAGACCCACTGAAAGTAATGGATCTATGTTTGCCATGGACATGAATTTCTAGAGGTCTGTTCTGAGCAGGACTAACATTGAATAACAACCCCGAGGAAAGAAACAAGTAGCTTCCTTTCCCCCCCCCCACTCCACATTTTATACACCCTCAACATGCTCCTCAAAACACATACCTTAATAAGATTTTTGATAAGGTTTTGATAAGATGCTACTCTGGGAGAAGCAGGTGGAGTTGGGAGCTATATATACTCCTGTGGCATTATATGCACATACCCTCCAACATTTCTCTGATGAAAATAGGCACATCTGATTTATTTATACCCCTCCTATCTGACTGGGTTGCCCCACCCACTCGGGGCAGCTTCCAGCATATATAAAAACACAATAAAAAAGCTGCCTTCAGATGTCTTCTAAACATTGTATAGTTACTTATCTCCTTGGCTCTGGGGTGGGTATGGAGTCAAATGACACCCCACCCTCCAACATTTCTCCGATGAAAATAGGGACATCCGAAGGAAAAGTGGGACATTCCGGGATCAAATAAGGAGCTGGGATGGCTTCTGTATATCTGGGACTTTCCCTGGAAAATAGGGACACTTGGAGGGTTTGTATGCTGTCTAGGCACCCTCCCCTCTGTGAAGCAACGAGTGTTTTCACAGCTCCTTTGTTTTCCAGCAGCAGAAGCTTCCTTCATATTTTCTTCCTTCCATTTCTGCACTGCCATATGAGTGTGGACTGAAGCAGAGCTATTCCCCTTGCACTGCCCTATTGCAGAGCCAGAGAACAGAGAACATGCAGCCCGCCTCCTATGATTATTTGTATTTGGGTATAGGATAGAGCGCAAGTGAGCAACACACCAGCCTCATGTTATGCAGCCTCCCCCAACACCTCCTGTTCTCTGCTCTATTCTTCCATCCCAACAGAGTTCCTAGCCTCCTCCTCATTTCCCCTTTATTTACCATGGATTTTTAACGTGTAATCCTCTCCACCTCCTTCTGTGTTTTTAAGAACAATTAGAAGGGGCAGTATTTTATTTAAAGAAAGTAAACTTTTTAAAAAACGTTTTGCTAGTTGTCTTGGAGAAAAGCTGTCTGAGAAGAAACTGATAGGTTTCTGCCATGCATAGCACACTAAAGTCAGAAAGGAATTACTTTCACTTGCTTTCTAGAACAGTAGCTCTGTTGTACTAAATAAATCAATCTTCCATATACTTCTTTTGAGAACAACTTTTTTTAAAAAGCAGTGGGGCTCACATCTTATCAAGCCTGCATAGGTTTGGGAATTTTAATGTGAGGTTGCCAGGATGAGAAGTGACGCAAGGTGATCTTTATTCCAGGTTAGTCAGTCCCAAACACTCTTTTATCTGGCTCCTTTCACCACTGGCATCTGCCCCCCACCCCACAGATAACCATCGAAGGAATGCAACCCTGGACAGCAACTAAATTGACCACCCCAGAACAACGGATGCAGTCTTTGAAAGTGGTCTCTCCCCCATCATTATTTCAGTGCCAATAGAACAGAAATAGTTATTCATAAGAAGAACTCAGCATGGTTTTTTAAACAACAACAACAACACCCATCTCCCATCAGCATTCTGGTGTTGTCATTGTTGCAGTAATCCAATTTTCTACATTTTCCCCAAAAGCATCCCCATGCACGGGAGTCTAAACTGGAGGTCACTAGAGCATGAATAATGGTGGCAATATCAGCTGTGTAGCCTCTGTCACAAAGGTGTTCAATACTAAAGTGCCCAAGTAATGTGGCTGCACTCACTCAATCTCTTCCCAGTTCATCAAAATGTCCCACTGTTTTCGAAAGCCATATGGGTTGTTTTCTCCGTGTCTGCAGTGCAGTTGGCATTATTAAAAAAAACCCCTCACCCAACATCTCTCTCTCTCTTTCCTGTGTGCTTTTAACTGCTGCTTGATGGAGATTCAACAGGTGCACATTTTCCCTGTCATGCTGCACCTATTGAATTTCTACATGCCTTGTAAAGCTCCCCCTCATTGGTTGCCTACTGAAAGACACATCAGTGTGAACTCCTTCTGCTTTTTCCAAGCGATGAGGCTCCCTTCTGAACTGTGACTCCCCAGGCTCATCGCCGTGGGTCCGTGGGAATATATTTTCCGAAGGCCCAGCGATACAACCAACTCGCTCATGAGCCTCATCTCTGAGTCCTCACCCTCCTCCTTTTGGTCCTTATCCTAATCCCTAATCTTTCCCTACTTCCCAGCGCTAATCCTATAAATCCTCCATTAATCCTATCTGTCTCGTTCTCTCTCCATCACCCTTCTCTGTCTTTATGTGTGTGCTGGGGGCGGGTGGGGGAGACAGTGACGAACCTATGGAGGCTGCATTTTCATATTATCCCACAGTAATATTTAATAGGCCCTGGAGCCATATCTCCCTCCCTCCCTCCCTCCCACATACACACAGAGAATTTATACCTGATCCTGGAGCTCACTTGCTTCCGCTACCCATCCATTCAAACTGCCTTGCTTGGGAAAAAGACTTGACAACTTTTTCTGGTGTGCAGGGAATTTAAGAAGAGCTCCTATGGATCAGATTAAAGGTTCATCTGGTCTAGACTTTCCTCCAAGGAGTTCAAGGTGGCAGACATGATTCTCCACCTCCTCATCTGTTCCTCACAGCAACCCTGTGAGGTAGGTGAGGCTGAGAGACCCAGTGACTGCCCTAAGGTCACCCAGAGAGTTTCATGGCTAAGTAGGAGCTTGAGCTGTGGTCTCCCGGGTCCTAGTTCAACACTCTCAACCATTACACCACAATGGAAGCTTGATATTTTCAGGAAGCTCACAAGAAGGCAATGACAGCAACAGCCCTCCCTTGTTGTTGTTTTCACCCAGTGTTGGCATTGTGATACACTTACCCCTGGGCATGGAGTTTCCATTTCAGCCTCAGAACTCATAGTCATTGACAGGCCTACTAATGTTCTCCATGTAGTTGCCTGATCTCCTTTTAAAGTTGTCCAATGCTGCAATCCTAACTCCACTGTGAATAAGCCCCATTGAATTCAATGTGACTTTCTTCTGATTATACAGGGTTGGGATTGTCCTGAAAACCATTGTTAACTGCATAGCAGATTTGTAACATCTACCCTTAGGACTGATGAGTGTTGCAGCTCCAAATGCCTGGAATACACCAGGTTGGGGATTTAAAGTATTCTTATCCTGCCCTTTGGCCAAAAGAGGCTCCTGGAGAAGCTTACAGATGTCAGCAGTATGACAGTCCCTGCCTTCAGGCTTACATGTCTAAAATACAGGATACAAAAGGAAAAGGGATTGGGAGGGAGGAAGGGAAAAGAAAAGCCAGGCAGAATTTCTTTGTTACATGTAATGACTGGCAGGAATAGAAAGGTATCAAGGAGAGGATCAAAAGTCAAAAGCTGCCGGTCTTCCAGCAGATCCGATGGGAAGGGTCCAATTTCTCTCCCTCTCCTGCAGCCTGATGAGAACCACTGGTGTAGGTTTGTGTGTGCTAAGATTTCTGGGCTTTAAGGCAAGAGCGAAGTTAATATGCAATGCATGGAAAAAGTGGATAGAGAAAGGTGTTTCTCCCTCTCTCCTAATCCTAGAGGACATCCAAGGAAGCTGAATGTTGGAAGATTCAGGACAGGTGAAAGAAACCTATACAAGCCGCTCTGAGGTCCTTGTAGGAAGGGTAGTGATGTGCTTCATGCAGCACATAGTTACTCCATTGAATATGTGCCCACAGGAGGCAGTGATGGTCACCAACTTAAATGGCTTTGAAATAGTAAAGGTAAAGGGACCCCTGACCATTAAGTCCAGTTGTGAGCAACTCTGGGATTGCGGTGCTCATCTCGCTTTATTGGCCAAGGGAGCAGGCGTACAGCTTCTGGATCATGTGGCCAGCATGACTAAGCTGCTTCTGGCGAACCAGAGCAGTGCATGGAAATGCTGTTTACCTTCCCGCTAGAGCGGTACCTATTTATCTCCTTGTACTTTGTGCTTTCGAACTGCTAGGTTTGCTAGGTTGGCAGGAGCAGGGACCGAGCAACGGGAGCTCACCCCGTTGTGGGGATTCAAACCGCCAACCCCTGATCAGCAAGCCCTAGGCTCTGTGGTTTAACCCACAGTGCCACCCGCGTCTCACGGCTTTGAAATAGGATTAGACAAATTCATAGAGGGGAGGGCTATTCAGCGGCAGAGGAAGCAGGTGTGGGGGATGTGGTTTGCCCCTGGTGTCATCATGGTGTGTGTGTGTGTGTGTGTGACAAAATGAGTTAAAAATAAAATAAAAATGGGCTCACCAAACTTATTAGGAGTGATGTGGTGGCTTAGGCGCCTGCAGGTTCCACGCTGCCTGAAACAGCAGTGTGGGACTTGCCTCTGCCTACTGCCTCTCCCTCAGCAGCCCTACAGCTGAGGTGGAGGTGGCGGAGAGGCCCCAAGCATTGGAGAGGTGTGCCTCGCCCCCATAGGCAGCTTGCCCCGCCCCCATGGGTGGATCGCCCCGCCCTGGCTGCTGGACATGCCCCTTCATCAGGCACCCGAGCGGCTAGCTACACCACTGGGGCTATTGATGGTTGATAGCTATGATGGCTATGCTCTGCCTTCATGGATGGAGGCAGTAACACTTGTGAAAACCAGTTGCTAGAAACCAAGAGGGCTCCTGTGCTCAAATCCTGCTTGCGGGTTTCCCACATGCATCTGGTTGGCCACTGTGAGATTAGGATGCTGGACTAGATAGGCCATTTTAGAGAAAGAGAAGTGTCCAGGCACAAGGGACAGAATGGGAGAAAGGGCAAACTTTAAAAAAATGTTCAAAAGAACATTTCCCACAACCGCAGAATCTTTTTTGTCAAGGATAATCATAACGGAAGTTCCCAAAAAAACCCAACAACCAGAGAAATTTGGAAAATAGATAAGGTACCAATGAAAGAAGAGTGGCATCTCAAATTGTTAGAATATGTTAGCTGGCATGATCACTAGAATAAGAAACCAAAATGAAAAAAGATATAAGGACGACTGGGTATTATTTATTGATTATATGAAAAATTATTATAAGCAGACAATTAGCCTAGCAGCATAGTAATATTTTCAACAACATAAGTTAGAACTAGAATTGACGGGAGGAGCAGAGAAAGATTGGGGAAACGAATAAAACAGGAGAGGAAGTGAAAGATAAAAGGAACCATGGAAGGAGAGGAAGGGAAGTCAGTCAATGCCTGTTTTGTTTTGTTTTTAAATGTACTAGAATATGTAATATGCAATTTTCTTTTTCCTGTTTCCTATTACTTTCTGGGGTAGTTGTTTAGTATTTTTCTTGTGTTGAAATGTATCAGAAATGCAAAATAAATAAAAAAGAATGGGAGAAAGGGCAGAGTCATTTAAGACAAGGGATCATAGTAGGTCCATAGCAAACTCATTTGCCCCAGTCCTTCTGGGCATGCTTTGGACTAATGGTTTTCCTACGACAGGAGTCTGTCAGCTTCCGCATGATTTTTCAACAGCCGGAACAGAAAGGGAACTAATTATTGGCTGGACATAGTATTAGGAACCTCTTATTCTATCACCAGAGCAGGTTGAACATATATAACTTGAAGGGGTCTGACCCTGATTATGCCTCTGAATAGCAGTTGCTGGGAATTACAAGTAGGCAGAGTTCTGCTGTGTTCGTGTCCATCTTGCAGGCTTCCCACAGGCATCTGCTTGGCCACTATGATGCTGGATTAGATGGGCTTCATCCAACAGGCTCTTCTTATATTGGATGAAAGACCACCCAAGAAACCTATGAAAACCACTCTGTGGTCCCTGTAGGGAGGGTGGTGTATAAATGTATTAAATCAGCGTTCTTCAGTCTTGGGTCTCCAGACGTTGTCGGATTACAACTCCCATCAACCCCAGCCAGCCTTCCTAATGGTCAGGGATGATGGGAGTTGTAGTCCAATAACATCTGGGGAGCCAAGATTGAAGAACAATGTAATAAATAACTTTTTTAAAAAAAGGTTCCTTTTAATGTTAGCAGATGCTATGTAATACATTCCACTGACCTCTTCTGGACTGATGCAGAACTGCTCTGCAGTGCTTCTGCCTTTCAGCCAGAGAGATTGTGCAGGACAGTCTCCTCACCCTCTGCTCCTGCAAAGGCCTTTATGCAGCATTGTGCTGACAAATAATTTGGCCTTTGCCCATTGGAAATAACCCCCCCCCCAAAAAAAAAGAAATCTAAGTTTCTTTTTGCCAGTGGGAAATGCTTCATTGCAATTGCAATTCCATCCTGTCACTTTTCAAAATGTGACAAGTTCAGATGTTCATAGAATTTCCCAAAGTTTTCACAGGGCCTGGATAGCTCAGTTGGTTAGAGTGTGGAGCTGATAATACCAAAGTTGCAGGTTCAATCCCTGTATGGGACAACTGCATATTCCTGCATTGTGGAGAATTGGACTAGATCCGTGGTTCCCAACATAAGGCACAAGCCACAGAGAGGGGCAATATGATTTTTAAGGAGGGCAATTCAAGAATGAGTTATTAACAGTGAATGGCCTTTTAGGCTTCCTCCATGTGAATAGGAGTTCACTTTTTGAATAATAAGAATTATATGTCACGGGGGAGGGGACATCAGGATTTTAGAGATGCTTAGGTGGGGCATGGCCAAAAGAAGGTTGGGAACCACTGGACTAGGTGATCCTGAGGGCCCCTTCCAACTCTACAATGCTCTGATTCTATGACTTGCAGTCCTGTGAGTGCAAGGAGCTTCCTCTTGGAAGGGACTGTGTTGCTCAGAGGGTGCTGCTACCACCAGCCTGCTAACCTTCCCCCTTTTCCTTTCCCGCCTCTTTACTCACAGGGACATACCAAGGCCAGTGGCTTGGAGGGATGCGTCAGGGATACGGCGTCCGGCAGAGCGTACCGTACGGCATGGCTGCGGTTATCCGATCCCCACTAAGGACCTCCATCAATTCTCTGCGCAGCGAACACACCAATGGCACAGCGCTGCACCCAGATTCTTCGCCTGCCCTGGCCGGAAGCCCTGCCGTCTCCCGGGGTGGCTTCGTCCTGATGGCTCACAGCGATGCTGAGATCCTCAAGAGCAAGAAAAAGGGCATCTTCCGACGCTCCCTCCTGAGCGGGCTCAAGCTGCGCAAGTCCGAATCCAAGAGTTCCTTGGCCAGCCAGAGGAGCAAGCAGAGCTCTTTCCGCAGCGAGGCGGGCATGAGCACGGTCAGCTCCACGGCCAGCGACATCAACTCCACCATCAGCCTGGGTGAAGGGGAGGCCGAGCTCTCCGTCATCGAAGACGACATCGATGCCACCACCACTGAGATCTACGTGGGCGAGTGGAAGAACGATAAGCGGTCGGGCTTCGGGGTCAGCCAGCGCTCCGACGGGCTCAAGTACGAAGGCGAGTGGGCCAACAACAAGCGCCACGGCTACGGCTGCATGACCTTCCCGGATGGCACCAAGGAGGAGGGGAAGTACAAGCAGAACATCCTGGTGAGCGGCAAGCGGAAGAACCTCATTCCGTTGAGGGCCAGCAAGATCCGCGAGAAGGTGGACCGAGCCGTCGAGGCAGCCGAACGGGCAGCCACCATCGCCAAACAAAAAGCGGAGATTGCGGCTTCCAGGTAAGGCTGCTGCAGGGTTGTCAGAGGAACGGCAGGAGGGTGTCCTGCGTATATCTGTGGTTCCAGTTTCTGAAGGGAAGGTGGGATGATTGTGTGGGGGACTTCCACCACTGGGCTGTGGTGGGACATAATTCATTGGCATCTCTTTGTTATGGATGGTACCACGAGATGGAATAACAAGGCCAGAACAACAAGTCTGGTCTGTAAGATAGAGGGCAGAACTGCTGTGAACTTGGGCCCTGAACGGAGCAGTCCTGGGTGAAGGCCTCGCTCATTCTTCCTTTTTGCACTGAGCTCCTAATCAAAACTTATATTGCTATTTTGATGCTGCTTCCACACTGTAATCTGAATGACATGTCGAGGGCTTGGTTGGTCTTTCTGTTTGAGGCTCAGAGCACACAAGGGTTGTTTTTTGGCCATGAGTCAGGAGAAGGGAAGCAAAGATTCCAAATGGAGGGAGAACAAAACAGGAAACGGGCAGTGTGTGAATCTGATAAATGTTCTCAACAGATCAAGATGAGGTTGATGGGAGCAAGGAACCACAGCAGCTGAGCGGACCAAAGAGGGAGATCCCGGGCTGCGCTTTCCTTAAATGAGGCAAGCCACACACCCTGAGCCAGCTGATTGGCTGGCCAGGGGATGACGCGGCCCGAGGATTCCCCAGATTGCGCTGGGGCTGGAAGCCAGCCTCCCAGTGGCGTAGCGTGGGGGGTGCAGGGGGGCCGGCCGCACTGGGCGCAACATCTGGGAGTTAGGGTTAGGGGGTGCAAATCCACGGGTTAGGGGGCACAAATCCACGGGTTAGGGGGCGCAAATTACTTGCCTTGCCCCGGGTGCTGACAACCCACGCTACGCCACTGCAGCCTCCGCGTGCTTGTTGGGGGCGTGCTGCCCGCAACACCACCTCCTCCTGAGGTCGGAAGTGTCTTTCTCAACAGATCAAGATGAGGTTGATGGGAGCAAGGAAAATAGGGCTGGGGAGGAAGAGGGGAGTAGAACCTCAACTTGTGGATCTGCCTCTGTCTGCCTGAAATCCAAGGCAAGATGTTTAAGAGAGACGTGTGGGGTCCAGAATGTGTATAGTTCCCATGCACTTTCATTTGTCCTTAAGACAGGAGGGGGAAGAAGCTGACCCTCCAGATGTTGTAGGACTCTACCTCATTTCAAAAGGCCGCTTGATAGGTGATAGTCCTCTGTTGATGGTCTTGGGCTATAGGCCAGCATTTTAGGCCTGCTGTGTACTTCTTAAAGACACCAGGGTCGTTTCCAGTTTCCCTGTTCATACCACGACAGACCATGCGACACAATACATTCTTCTGTCCCACACAATGTTCTCTGTTTACTGTAAAGTACAGAAGAAAGCATCAATAACAGTAGGTACAAGTAATGAAGGTAAGCCTAACTATGGCACTTGGCCACAATGTCTGTGTTCCACCACCACCACTGCTGGGGGTACTATGCCTCAGAATAATACCAGTTTCAAGTGGGGAGAGTGCTGCTGTTTCACTCAGGTCCTACTTGGGGGCTTCCTATTGGGGCATCTGGTTGGTCACTGTGAGAACAGGATGCTGGCCTAGATGGACCTCCTTTGGCCTGATCCAGCTGCAGGGCTCTTCTTGTGTTCTTTTAGTGTACTGTGTGTTGGTTCAAATCCTAACTTGGCCATAAGGTTCAGGGGGAGGCTTTGGATAGGTCCCCATCTCACAGCATGGCTTCCTTCAGTAGGTTCATTATGAAGAACCTACCGAAGTTGGTGTTACATTTCCTGTGCTGTGCAAGGTTCTCATGATACATACTAATTGAAGTAAGTACAATCCAGAGCAAATACCAGTCATCACCTTCCCCTCTTAAAAAAAAGTCATGGCTAGTATATTTGCACAGGTATGGGGCTTCCTTCCTAGAACAATGACGTTTTGTGTTTCAGGGTGCCTGGAATTCAAATTTCCTTGTGTCAGAGATTTGAGAGAAGGTAGAATGTCCAAAGCTGGAAAAATCCCAGGTGCCCTTTGCCCAGGTGCCTAAAATGAGACACCTGTGCCTAAGCAATTTGCCATTTTTGCTTCCTGCCCCTGCCAATGTGATCTTGGAATCTGGGGATCTAACATGTTTTTCCATCCCAAGGAGCAGACTAGCGCTTGCCTAGAATGGAGAGCAGCATCACATATCTTACAAGAAGGCTGAGAATGTCTCTCTCTTTTGGGGGGGGGGGAGAATCATAGCCAACCCTCTCCATTTCTTTCTCAGACAGGCCCTTGAGGATGGCCCCAGTTTTTGGCCTCTCTTCAGCCCACAGCTTCTCTCTGCCAGAGAGCAGGGGACTGCGCGTACCCAGAAAAAAGAAAGTAAAATCAAGCCAGCGCACTTAGGGACAGCACAGACAGTTTCTGCCCAGATGAAGGAGGCTTTCTGAGAAAAAATAATAATTGCTGAGCAATGCTTAGCACCTGTGGGACAGACCCAGTTTTACCCCTATTGTTTAATTACACAGATCTTCCAGTTTTAATTACATTTTCAACACGCACACGCACACGCACACAAAAGTCTGTGCTGTGGAACACTGATAATTCTTTCTTTCTTTCTTTCTTTCTTTCTTTCTTTCTTTCTTTCTTTCTTCTAAGGATTTCACACCTTGCTGCCCATCATCGTATGCTGGGGCCATAAGTCTCTGTCTTTTTCAAACATGAGGTCCACCTTTAACCCTATCATATAATGTGGAACCCAGTTTAGGTTTTTTTAAACATGCATGTCCCTCTTTTCACATTAATCAATGGCTGCTAGCCATGATAGCTATGCTGTGCCTCTGCAGTTGCAGGCAAGAATGCTCCTGAATACCAGTTGCTGGAAGGCACAGGAGGGGAGGGTGCTCTTGTGCTTGAATCCTGCTTACATGTTTCCCACAGGCATCTGGTTGGCAACTGTGAGAACAGGATGCCAGACTAGATGGGCCATTGGCTTAGTTCTTTTATTTACTAAATTTATATACTGCCCTTCATCCGAGAATCACAGGGTGGTTTATCATATAAAAACACAAAAGGACATGATGACCTGATAACAAACAAAACAATAGCCCTTTCCGCACACACAGTTTAGAAGGCCAAGGCTTGATCCAGCAGGCTCTCCTTATGTTCTTAATCCAGTGATGGCCAAACTTGGCCCTCCAGCTTCTTTGGGACTACAACTCCCATCATCCCTAGCTAACAGGACCAGTGGTCAAGGATGATGGGAATTGTAGTCCCAAAACAGCTGGAGGGCCAAGTTTGGCCATCCTTCTCCCTATTACCTTTTCAGCCCGTATTATCTACACCGCAGCCAGGCACTTTAACAGCTATTCCTTCTCCAGACAGAACCATGGTGGTTGGTTTACGTGTGGTGGGGAAAGAGGGGTAGAGATTTCTGACAGCAAATTCATAGCAACCACACCAAAGTACTTTCCTGGCGTCTTTTGAGGAAACCAAGGTTGTTGAGTCTGTATAGACAAGTAGGCTTACCTTGTTTTGCTCTCAGCCTTTCCACATCTCCTTAAAAATATCAGTTGTTGTGGTGTCCTGTTATGGCCCACCTTTGAGGAGTCTGTGGCCCACTTGTGGCCATAACTCACTACTTGAAGACCAGCATGCTGTAACAGCTGGAACAATTTTTCCAATGTGCTCTCTTCTCAATGCATTTTAACAACAGGAATATTTCCTTCACTCAGATTGGGTTTTGGATGATGGTGGGTGAGTGGAGGAGAGTCCTTAGCGTGACCCACTTTCCGTAATCTCTCTCATCTTGTTTCTTCATGTGTGAGTGTGTGACTCATCTGGCTGCCTCAATGCCTCTTTGTATGATTGAGATTCAGGGGTGATAATCTCATGGTTTAAACTCTAGCAAAGCAGTTGTGTCATCCGTCCTCTGTCTCGGTGTTGTTATACAGGGGCTGTTATTCTGAGAACAACCTCTGACTGGCTGGGGTCCAAGGCTCCTACAATATCCTCTTTTGACTGTGGTTCCTTTTGCTGGGTCACAGGTTGCTTTGAGGCTAGCTAGAGTAAGGTTACCAGATGTTTTTCAATGAATCCGGGGACACTTTTTAAAAAAAAAGAGAGAGAAAAAGTTATTTAAAAAGAAGAAGTAGTAATATCTTCTCTTCTGTGGTCTCCTCTGTCGCATGGCCTTCCTCTGGGCCCCTGCCATGTGTCCTTGCCCTCCCGGTGCTCTCCTACCTCTCCTTCTCAGCGGTGGTGGCAGCGGCGCAACAAAGTCGGGGCTTCTTTCTTTTTTCTCCTTCTTCTTTCTTTCTTTCTCTCTCCTCCTTCTCCGTCTCCTCTCCCCTTTCCTTTTGCGTTGGCTCCAGGTTTTTCCTGGCCCCGGAACGCCGCTGGGCAGTTGGCTGGGTGGCCAGCGCTCTCGCTCCCAGCTCAATTTGGGTTGCGTGTGTGTGTGTGTCAGTGGCTCCCCCAGTTGATGCACCGGGCGTCCCCGGTTCCCCTTCGGTAGTGGCAGCGGCAGTCTCAGCAGCCCAGAGCCAGTCTGGTAGCTTCAGGAGTTGCTCGCTGCTGTGGCGCCCGCCATGTTGCCTCACCGGAAGTCCCCATATTATGTGTCATGTGCCGTTGAACCAATCACGCAACAGTCATTCCCTACTAATAAATCTACAACACTTAAAATATAAATCCGGAGACATTAAATGAAACCCCGGGGACATTACGGGGATGGATTTTGTCAGGGGACAGATTTGTAAATCTGGGGACTGTCCCCGGGAAACAGGGACATATGGTAACCATAAACTAGAGCCCTTTTAGCAGGGCTGAGGCCCTGCTCCTCCATAGCCAGCTAGAATCAGTTCTATCAGAGTGGCTCCACATGACCTATAATATAGCCTTACATCCTCCTTATAAACTGCAGTGCTAACCAAGGGTACCAAAGGAGCTTGCAGGTGTAATCTCAGAGCCACTGTCTATAATCGTTGAGAATTCTTGGAGAAGAGGTGAGGTCCCTGCAGAATGGAGGTGGGCAAATATTGTCTGTCCTCCTTATCAAAGCGCGGGGGGGGGGGGAGACCCAGGGAACTGCTGACCGATCAGCTTCACATTGATACCAGGAAATGTCCTAGAACAGATAATTCAACAGTACATTTGTGAGCACTTAGAAAAGGATGCTGTGATTATTAAGACTGAACATGAGTATCTCAAAAACAAGCCATGCCTGATAAATCTCATTTCTTCATTTTTTCCGATAGAGTTATAAGTTTGGTGGATCAGGAGAATGCTGTGGATGTAGTGCATCTTGATTTCAGTAAGGCTTTTGACAAAGTTCCCCATAATATTCCTGTGGAGAAGCTGGTAAAATGTGGGCTGGATGAGGTAGCTGTTAGGTGGATTTGTAGCAATGCGAAAGAGTGCTTGTTATTGGTTCCTCAGCATCCTGCAAAAAAGTGACAAGTGAGGTGCCGCAGGCTTCTGTCCTGGGCACGTTATTGTTCAACGTCGTTATAAACAACCTGGACAAAGGAATTGAGGGGATGCTCATTAAATTTGCAGATGACGCCAAACTGGAAGGGGTAACTAATCTTGACTAATATTGAACAGATGCCCTCAGAAGGTGATGCACGCTCCTTCCTTGGAGGTTTTAAAGCAGAGGTTGGATGGCCGTCTGTCATGGATGCTTTAGTTGAGATTCCTGCATTGCAGGGGGTTGGACTAGATGACCCTTGGGACCCCTTTCAACTCTACAGTTTGATGATTCTATGAATCCCCAATGGCACAGTAAAAGAGGAAATGCAGTCTACTTTTGAAGTAACAGGGACCATTTTTGTCCCTGCACTTTCACTCCCTTGCAACTAGATCATAGGAATGCAGGAAGCTGCCTTATCCCATTGATTCATCTAGCTCTGTATTGGCTACACTGACCACCAGCAGCTCTCCAGGTGCATTGCAGTAGTCCAGCCTTGAGATTACCAATGCATGCATCAAAGTACAGTGGTACCTCTGGATACGAATGGGATCCATTCCGGAGCCCCGTTCGCACCTTGAAGTAAATGTAACCCGCGACTGCGCATCTGTGTGTGTGCGGGTAGTATTTCGCCCTTTCCGCGCATGCGCATGACATCATTTTGAGCATCTGCGCATGTGCAAGCGGCGAAACCCAGAAATAACGCACTCCATTACTTCCGGGTCGCTGCGGAGCGCAACCCGAAAATACTTAACTTGAAGCTATGGTATGACTGTAGTGAGTGCATCCTGGAATTGCCGTTGCTGGTTTACCAGCGCAAACTGGTCAAAGGTGCTCCTGCATTAGCTGTCCTTCTGCTTCTTCCAATGCAGCCTGAAGCCCGTTTTTCTCCACGTGAAAAATGTTCCTCTCCTTTCCTTCCATTCTTAAGAGAAACATGTGCGAGGAATGTCAACAGTCGGTGTGCAGGGGAGAGCAAGCTAATGATATTTTCAGGACACTGTAACCCCAAAAAGAAATTGAGCAATTCTTTCCACAGACAACTTGTTGGATTTATGCAAAAGTTCCTGGCAGGTGAATGTGGCTATCCTAGCAGGCCTCGTAAATCTCACAAAACTCTCACTCAGATTGAGGAGAGGGAAACAACTCCTTGAATCCTCAGAAGTGCCCTTCTGCATCATGTGGTGCCTTGCAGGGAAGCTGGCTTCTGCTTGCAACACATTCTTCTCTAGATTTTTTTCTGAATGAGACCGGAATGAATGAGGATGGGAAAGGAGGAGGGGTTGGGTGAGCATTCCAGCTTTACTGGATTAGATTAATTGTATGTTTCAATCATGTAGAAGATGGATGCTTAAAGCCCTTTATCAGCAAGCTGCTGGCTCCCTTATCTGCAGACGTGAATGAACCCTGTGGGTTATGCTAGCTTTTGTGTTCAATGGATTAAGTATATTTGCAAAAATTGTCAGAACTGGAGAGAAAACAGATTGTTGAACATGGCTGAGGCTAGATCTCTCTCCTTGTGGCTTTGGTTGCAGATTTTCCATGGTGATGGGATTGTGGGTGGGCCCAGTTGGGAGAAGAAGAAAAAACACATCTTCCACCAAGAAGATGACACAATTTCCATAGACTTTAATAACACAGATGCTGTCTTGGTGTTTGCATTTCATGGGGCTGCAAAACAGCCAGATAGGTGAATGCAGAGCAGATAATGTGGTTGATTTAAGGATTGATAAATTTTTAATCTGTGGGGGAGATAATTTCTTCAAGGTATGCAGATATATATATACTTAATGTCCCCTGCTTCCCCCCGCCTTGGCAGGAGTTGTGGTGTGGACACACTTTTCAGTTTCCATGTACCCTTGTGTCCCTGGAGGTGTAGCACAGAGGATGGGCCATTTGCCTGATGAGGCCTGAGATAAAATTGATCCTTCCAGAAGCAGGAGCTTAGAGTAAAGGTGACATGGGGAAGGCTTTCCCCAGACCCAATGGGAAAAAGCCACCCCCCACTCAAAACAAAACCCCTAAGACCCTCTGAGCCTCTGTGCTCCCTTTATGCATCACTGTGGGCCATTCCTCCATCTCACATCCCATAATATGAACCTTTCCCTTCAGCTCAGAGGGCAGCTGACACAGCCCTGAGCCCCACGCTGTCGGTGCCTCTGTTAGTGGCATTCCCCACTCCTGTGCCCAGAAGAACCCCGAGCCCTGTGAAAATGGGTTAGCCGTCCAGGCACCACCAGCTTCCTGAATGTGCTCTGGTCTTGGAAACACCAACATCGACCTTCCCAAGAGGCAAATTAAACAGCTAAAAGAAAGACCAGGTCACTTGAGATTCCTTCCTATGGGAGTTCTTATGGCAGAGCGAGTCATTAATGTGCTGTGTGTGGACTGGGTCATTTGCGCAGGCAGCAGGAAGTAGTGGAAGGGGCCAGTTGTGCTGCTGAGGCCAGTAGGCAGATCATGGGCAAGCAGGGTCTGAGGCCAGAGGTTCCTTGGAAGGCGTGGTGGGAGAGAGCGGGAGCTGGAGAGCCACTTTTTAGTCTGTGGGAGCCCAGAGAGAGCTGCATGGAGACATGGAGGGTGGTTGGGGAGGAGCAGTGGGCGTTGGACAGGGTTGACCCAGCTCTTATCAGAAGAGGCCATTAACAATAAACGGGGCCTAGCATAAATTCAGTAGCCAGGGTTAGTGGCAGCTGGTGGAGCATAGTACTCTTAATTTCAGGGTTGTGGGTTGAAGCCCAATGTTGGGCAAAAAGTTTCCTGCATTGTAGGGGGTTGGACTAGGTGACCCTTGTGACCCTTCCAACTTTACAGTTCTATGAATCTGTCATGTTCAAGAAGGGAGGGCTGAACCAAACTGAAGGTCTTCCCAAATTTTCCTACAGTCACACTTGCAAAATGAGCTCTTTATTTTCTCTTCTCTGTATAAGCTAAATAAGGAGAAGGGGTAACACTCTGTTTTGTTGTAAAGAGATCTTTACTCCCAGGTGTCTGATAATTAAAAAATCTTGTTCAGATAAAACTGAGGAAAGAGCACAGGAAACAGAAGTGTTACCTTTCTTTTTTGTGTATCTTGCAAGCCTTCGTGCACAGATGTATATTTCAGTTTGACAGATTAATTGTTTGTACAAGAATATTTTGCAATAACGTTCTCTTCCTGCTTGTGGTGATGTTGTGTATTATTTATGTGTTCCCCATTTTTCTCCTCTTTGTAAGTTATTTCTTTTCTTTTCTGTATAATTTTAAAAGTAATATTTTAAAAATGGGGGAGGGGGTTTCCTATCATGCTGTCGAAAAAGGTGCTGGCCAACATTTTCACCCAGGACTTTTTGCCACTGCTCCTGAATAGATGTAGTGAAGGAGGAGGGGGAGAGGAAAGGAAGGAGCAAAACAGAAAGAGAAGGAGAGAAATAAAGAAAGCAGCTCTACTGAGAATGGAAGCTTGTGTTCCCTTTTCCTGGGGGCGGGGGGACTGCCATGGTGTGGCCAGGCTCCTTCACTATCTTAAAAGCTCCTTGCTAGTCCTTTATGCCTTTCGCGTTGATGAAGACGAGAGTGGGGTGGGGGAGGGAGGAGTGGAGAGATGCTTCAGGGACGTGCACTGCTGTTGCGCATGAGCAGTGGCCATGTAAATAACATGTTTTCCTAGGGGTTTTCCGCCTGATTGCTCAGAGCATGGCCCAGCCGCTTTTTAGCCTGCCACAGAGCTTTCAGCATCCCCCTATAATGGGTGTTTGCCCAGTGGCTATGTTGTCCCCTTTTGCAGATGGAGAATGGAGCGGGAGGAGCAGGAGCAGGAGGACGAGGCAGTCGCGGCTCTGGCCTTGTGAACTGGTCTTCAGTTGCTCGCAAAAAGAACTCAGTTTAGCACCGAGAGTCTATTCAAAAGGATCTGTTTTTAATGCTTTGCTAACTGTTTTGAGGCTCCTTTTGAAAAATCATGCTTGATGCATGATCTGACAACCAAACTAAAAGTGGGGAGGGGTGGAGGGTTTTTTATTTTATTAAAAATGTGCAACTAATGGAATTCTGCTGAGCAGGAAGTAAACGTTTTAGAGATGCGTGCACACGCAGTTGTTTCATATGCAGTTACAGTGGCAAAGGATCTGTTTGCTGGTGGGAGGCTTGCATTTTTATAAGGGCACCAGAACCTGCCTTATACTGAACCTGACCACTAGTCTGTCTAGTTCAGTACAGTCATACCTCGGGTTACAGATGCTTCAGGTTGCGCGTTTTCGGGTTATGGATGTGCTGAAACCCGGAAGTACTGGAACGGGTTACTTCTGGGTTTCGGTGCATGCGCAGAAGCACTAAAATCATGCTTTGCGCATGCGCAGAAGCGCCGAATCACAACCCATGCCTGCGCAGTTGCAGCACTATGGGTTGCAAACGCTGTGGGTTGCGAACATGCCTCCCACACGGATCACGTTCGCAACCCAAGCGCCCACTGTATTGTCTTCTCCAGTAGTAGCCAACACAGTGTCCTCTAGATGTTGTTGGACTACAACTCCTGCCATCCCTGACTATTAACCATGCTGGCTGAGGCTGATGGGAGTTGTAGTCTGCAGCATCACCACATTGCCTCCCCTTGATGCAAACTGACTGGCAAGAACAGTTGCATCTTTGACAACCCTGCCAGCAGGTGCCGTGATTAAATACAGAGACTTTCCGTGTGCAAGGCAGCTGTTTTACCACTGGTCTATAGCCCTTCCCTTCAAGGTATAAAGAAACCAGTATGTTGACTGCCTAGAAGACTCAGAAGTATTTGTTTTAACACTGAGAAGATGCAATGGCATCATTAATTTGAGACAGTTTTCATTGGCAGGGCAAAGCCTTTGGATAGGTGCAGATGTAAAAATGGTGGAGGGGGAATAGCCGAGCCCAGGACTGACCTGTTTGGAGCCTGAAGGGCCCTGCCCTGCTTCTCTCCACCTGGCTTGGGGCGGGGCCTGACAGGCTCCATAAAGGACTGCTGCCTCTGTTGCTGGGCAGAGGGCTCCGTTTTTGTTTTTTTAAATTGCTTTTATTTTTTATCTCTGTCATTTCAAACTGAGATAGATATTAATGCTGTATTCTTAGTTTTAGATTTTATGATGTATGCGGAAATTGTTTTCCGTTTGGCTGTGTACTTTTTGATGTGTTTTATTTATTGTTTATGACTTTTGTTATGTTGGTAATTAAGTAAATCTTGTCATGTTGTAAGCCGCCTTGAGCATTGTTTTAACTATGGAAAGACGGCATACAAATAAAATGATGATGATGATGATGATGTTCAGAGTGCATTCCTCTCCCTAGTGCATAATCACAGCCAGCTACCTCACTGCTGGTATTGTCAGGAGGGACTGACTGAGTCCCAGGTCAATCTGAGGCCCAGCCTTTCTAACTTTAGAGGTGCCAGTGCTGATGGGGAGAGACAGAAGGAGAGGGAGGCCAGTTCTCAGCCTGCAGTGCTGGACAGTTTCCATTCCCCTCTTTGGCCTGGATGCATTTGGGGTCATGGATCAGGAAGGAGCACCAGACAACGTTAAGGTGAACCAGGTCAGGGATAAACTGGATTCCAGAGAGTCCACCCAAGCATGAAAGTTCATCTTTAAGAAAAAGTGGCAGTGAGCCATGTCCCGCCCTGACCTATTTAAAACAGCAGAGCGAGAGTGCCTATTAGCGCAGGCAGCTAAATGGGATGGACGCAGCTGGTGGCTGTGAGCAGAAAGGGCGCCCATTCATAATTCATGGGCCTCCTTGGTTTGTGAATGAGAAGTGGGAGGGGGCAATGCCATGGGATTGGCGCTGCCGCCGCTCGGGGATATGACCTACATCGAGATCTAAGGGGCTGTGGGCTCCGTGGGTTCTTTTGAGCCACAGCTTAGGGAGAGCACTGCAGCCGCCCTCATGTCTTGCTTTTGAACTTCCCATTGGGGCATCTGCTTAAAACTAGGATGCTGGACTATGATAGGCATTTGGCCTGATCGAGTTGCAGCATCCTTCCAACACTTACTCTTTCCAGAGGCCCATTGCTGGGAATCACAAGTGAGGAGAGCCCTGTTGCACTTAGGTCCTGCTAGTAGGCTTCCCACAGGCATCTAGTTGACCCCTGTTATCACAGAATGCTGGACTAGATGTGCCTTTGGTCTGAACCATCAGAACTCTTCCAATGTTCTTAGGCAAAACAGTGGCAAGAGTGCTGCTGAGCATGTGCAGAGCAGCTTCCATCAGCATGGAGTAACCCAGGTTTCCAAGTTTAAAGGTGTGGTTCCCAGGATGCTGCTGAGCTCTGGTGCTGTGCGGCTGGACCAGGCATTTCTGCTTTATTTCTTTTGGCAATAGATACCCTGCTTTTCTTTAGAAACTCAAAGCTGCTTACACCATGAAGGAATAAAAACCACAGTTTTAAAAAGCAAAACAAATGCAAACATTTATTTTTTTAAAAAAACAAAACAAATGTCAATAATATCACAGAGAGCAGCAGCACTCAATAAGCAAGATATAAAAACTATTGTTTCTCAGCTGAGAGCTTTCTGAAGCAGCGTGTCTTAGCCACAGCCTCAAAAGGAAGAGTGTCAGGGCCTGGCACAGCTTCTTAGGAAGGGCTCTCCAAAAAATTACCTGCTCCTCGTAGCTCCCCAGTCAGACAAATTCTAGTTACATGGCTGCGGTCCAGAGGCGGAAACTAGTGCTGAATGCAGCTGCCATCTTGATAAGTGGGGCAGGGAGCCCAATGGGACTGTGTGATTGGCATTGACCAAAAACAAGGCCTTTGCAGTGGTGATTCCCTGTCTGTGGAATGTTCTCCTGGGTGAGGTGCACTGATCTTCATTATGGAAAGTTAAAAACAATCCTGTTTACTCAGGCATTTGATGGCTGGGAGATATTAGCTATGGCAACCCTGGAATTAATAACTGTGAGAGTATCCAGTTGATTTTTAAATGCTTTTAGATGTTCTAAAAGTTTTTAGATTGTTTAAGATTGTTTTAAATATACGTTTAGTTTACTTTGAATTGTATTGCTTTCACAATTTGCTGTTTGCCGTCCTGAGCTCCTTTGGGTGGAAGGATGATTTACAAATGCAAGCAATAAATAGTAATAGTAATAATAATAATTAATTCTGCATTGGTACCTGGATCAAGGCCTCGGGCTTCTGGCCTATCATGGTTCACCGTGCATGAGCATTGTGCTGGTGCAGACTACCTGATTCCTTCCAGTTCATTCCCGCAGGGTTCATTGCTTATTGCTCCTTGAAAGCCATAATCCTTGGGTAGGGAAACTAGGGAAACGGTTGGCTTAGAGTATGCATCCTTTTGGTAGTAACAACCCACGACCCCAGGCTTAGACATAACAGGAAGCCAAGTCTCTCATGCGAAAATATGGGGAACCAGGAAAGAGAGAAACAGAGAATCCGAAACGGAAAGGGTTGTCCACCCTTAGTATGAGGCAGCCTCCAGATGTTCCAAGCAGTAATCACTAAACTTGGCCATAGAGTGTAGAGATCTAGTGCTCAGTGCCACTGTAAAAGATGCAAAAGTCCACTTTCCTCAACGCAAAGGGAATGCAAAGATTTCCTGTCCCCATAGCATTATTACAGCCACAAGGACACTGCTTTCATATAGGACTGTATTCTGAATGAGTGCTGATCAGCATTCCATTATCAACTTCTAGTGACTTTATCTTCAGCATGGGAGGGGGGGACACTTAGATTTTGGAGGGAGTCAAAACAAGCTTTTATCTGCGCAGGTGATATTGTAAGTGTCAAGCCGTGCTCCCAGGTCCTTCCAAATTTGGGGGGGAGAGAATCTCGGGAGTGAGAATCAGTTGTTGTCATGGCTTAAGGAAAATAAGAGGGAGAGAGAGCATGTCAAGGGGTGGGGTGCGGGTGGCATTCCTGTTTCTTTTGTTAGGAACAAAGCAATTGTGTGCCTGTAAGTGGGGGCAGGAGCTAAGCACAGGAAGGTTTGTGGCTTTACGGCATCACCTCCCCTTTCCTTGAATGCCTCCTCCTTCTTCCTCTTCGTCCCTGACAAAAGAGGGTCAGATGATAACCACCATCGGATGTGATTAGGATCAGCTGCTGCATCCTTCCGTTTCGTTGGCAGGCTGGGGAACATGGGCTTCTCCACTCTGACTCATTCACAGTGTGGGCCCTGCTTCCACCTTGGGGCCATCAAGGCTTCTGTGAATGGTACAGAGCAAAAGTGACATCTCTAGCTGGACTCCGTCAGTGCCGGGAAGGCCCAGTGGTGATGGGAACGTCGGGTAGCCCTCTCCAATTGCGCCTATCTGCTACTGGTGGTATTTGCTTACTTTCAGTGTTGCTGTTCTGCCTTTATGCTTGAGAGTAGGCTCCCAGGGCAGCTGGCAGTAAGTGAAAATGGACACATAAATAATAACAGCGCCAGCTTATGAATGTCTTCTTTAGCTAAGAGGAAATGCTACGAAGAAGTGGCATGGCAGAAGTTTATGAAGTTATTCATGGCATGGAAAAAGTAGAAAGAGAAGAGTTTTTCTCTCCCTAAAATAACACTGGGACTTGTGGACGTCCAAGGAAGCTGAATGTTGGAAAATTCAGGACAGATAAAAGGAAGTACTTTTTTCCCACACAGAGCATAGTTAAACTATGGAACTCACTCCCACATGAGCCAGTGATGGCGCCAATTTGAATGGCTTACAAAGAGGAATGGAGGTAAAAGGCCATCCTCTTCCCAGGAGATGAGTGAATCAGCTTTTCTGACCAAGAGCTCATGAGAAAATGTTCATCTTCAGTGTGCAACAAGTCGCTCTGGAGATGTCTTCATTACCTGCTAAAGCCTCTTGTTCCTTGTTCCGCAGGGGGCCCAATGACCTGCTGACACCCCCAGCAAGTTGCTGTTCCATCAGTGTCTAAAAGCTGATCTGGGATCATATGAGAAATTGTTAGAAGGCTTTTAGTTGCCTTCTCCTGCAGTGTGACATCAAGGACTCTCTGGCCCTACGTGGGGTCTCTCGCTGAAGGGGGCAAAGGCAGCCAGAGTAGTGGCTGCAGAGGGTCTGGCTTCAGCAGGGTGGCACAAGGAGCACAACTGTGCTGTTGCCATGCAGAAAGCCGCCTTCCTCCTCCTCCTCCTCCTCCTCTTTCCTCACCCTAAACTCCTGTGTTAACAAGCCATGGACACAGAATACAAAATCAGTGCTGCAGAGTTTGCCTGTCAGCAGCACGCCAAAGGCTGGACTGTCTGTTGATTTGCTGTTCTGTCACCTGGGGATGAACAACACAACATAGGATTGTTTCTACCAGAAAGGAACTGGGAAGGGGAGAGTTGCAGGCCCCCTCAAAGCAAATGTTTTCAAGAGCAGAAGGCATCTTCAGCTGCCGTTTTACAACCGTCCTGGAGAACCCATGGCTCAAAGACTCTTCCATGTCAGGGAGAAAGACTGAGATGGGGATTCACTTGTTACACAGTGAGAGGCTGGGCTTGGGGATATTATTCCTTTTCAATAAGGAGCAAGGTACATGTGCCACGAGGCAGCAAAGCATTGGAAGGAAAGGATCCTCCTTGTTTAAATCCTGGGCTTTGGCACAGCCCTCTGACCAGTTGCTGGGGGCTAACATCACAGTGCTCTCCTCGTTCTCAGTGCCAATTCATCTGTCCTCTATGTGCATGCAAGGAGTGAAGAGAAAGAGGGCTTCTCTACACTTACATTTTGCCCTGCTATTTCCAGGCACAGCTCTTGAGTTTTAAAGCTCCATGTCCAAATGCTCTTCCCTGCCCCCCTCCCACCTTCCCCCTGGAAAACCCGCTTTTTAAAGCAGAATCAGAGCAAACATCAGTCCAATTTTCCATGGATTGACGTTTGCTCCAATTGAGCTTTAAAGAGCGGATTTTTGCGCGGAAAGCTCTGGGGCGTGCTCAGAGACAGACTTTTATATTGCCAGCCATGCCTGGAAAGAGCAGAGGAAAGGTAAGTATGGATAAGCCTTACTTGTTTTGGGTATCATTTTCTGTGAATAAATACTGTTTTAACTCTTTTTGGAGTTAAATGGTGAAGATAAGGTAGGTCAGCTTGTCCAAGGCAGCCACCAAAAACAAAACAAAACCTTTGCATATTGGCGATAACCAACGGGTGCCACTTCCTTCCCATCCATGTCAATGTGTTGTTTATTTGGGGCCTCAGGAGAAAGGATGCTGAGCTAAGCAGAGCACGGTTCTGACCCAGCAGTGCATGGCAAGTCGTGTGTTTTTATGCAACCCAACATCAGGGAGCTCCACAGCTCAGCAGTAGATTGTGCAAATGGTCCCAGGTTCAACCCTGGCATTTCCAGATGGGGTTGAGAATGTCCCAAACCCTGGAGAGCCATTGCTGCCAGTTAGCATAGGCAAAAAACTGAGCTAGGTAGACTAGGGCAAGGCAGCTTTCTCTGTTCCTAATGAGGCAGGGCAGCAGTTTCAAGCCTTTGCCGTTATGAGCCTCCCCAATAAGAACAATCAGGGGAAGGATGGAAACAGGCACCACAGGCCCCTTCCCCAGGCCCACACAGCAAGGGTCTCACAGAGCTGGGGAAAATCTTCCTGGGAGGGTGTGGCTGAAAAGGGAACAGTTTGGAGCGGAACGTTCTGTCCCTGGGAGTCTTTGGGTGTTTTTAAACAACAGGGCCAGATGGAAGCAGGCAGCAGCGGCGCGGCAGGGTAGCGAGACAGGAAGGAGAAGAAGGAGAAGAAGCTGACGGTGATTCACTCTTGGCACTGAACCACTTTCCAAAGAAGGAAGGCAGCAGCGTGAGAGAAAGAAAGGGATGGGCAGGGAGCAAGAGAGGCATTTAATCCCTCCTCCTTGGATCCAGGCTAAGCCACTAGATCCGGCTGTGCCTTCCTCCTTCTCTCCACCTCTTCATCGCTGCCACTTGCTTGCCGACGCTGCTTCTCCCCCACCCCATCTCTCAGCTCCCCTCCCTGGCAAAGACAGTGCAGCTCAGATGGATGGCACACATGCACTTAGCTAATAATTCTGTCATTCTGGTTATAGTGGGATGGAGACGGGCTGGCATTTTAGGGCAAGGAAGGAAAGGGGTTGTGGAGGTTTTTTGGCAGGGAAGGAAGCAAGAGATCCTGCTAGTTTGGAAGATGAGGATCAGCCACATTCGAGACAAAATTTGCCAGAGAGCAGGTGTTCTTGTACAGCATTTGCTGCAATTATTTCTGGAATAGTGGTTGCTATTGTTAAATTCGCAATAACTACCATGTTGTCATCGGTGTAGGAGAGTCACCTCTTTTTGAGCTGAATGGAAGGGACTTGTGCCTTTGTTCGGCATATTGTTATGTGCTGCTGGCTGGAAAGAACATCCAAGGGTGCACAGCTGACCCAGATTTTGTTTCCTTGCTGGAAGGTCAAGGGAGGGTGTGTGTTTTTGTTGTGTTTCTTATAAACAGGTCCTTGTAGGCCTGCTTTTACCAACCTAGTGTTGTCCAGATATTTTGGACTATGACTCTCAGCTTTACTGCAATAAAAGCCCCAGCCATATAGCAATATATACCCATTTATTGGTTGATATTTGTCACTTATTATGATGAACAAATGAAGACTCACCATACATAGAAGGGGTAGCTGCCCTCTCCATCCTTCCTCCTTACATAGTGCCTCTGGAAGAGGAATAAGGTGACCAGAGAGCTTTCCTGCACAGTGACATAGCTTTTAAGCTCTCTGTCTTGCTTAAGAGGCTCTGGGAGGCTCTCACAAAATCTCATGGGGCCACCTGAGTTCCTGTAAGATCTCGCTAGAGCCTTTGGTGGGAAATAATGGGGGAGGATCTGAAATCACACTTGTCAGACACTGCTATTCAATGGATATTTGCTCAGAAGTAAGTCCCATTGAATTCAGTGGCACCTACTCCCAAATAAATGTGCAGAGGAGGGTGACCAAGATGCAGGCATGCCAACTCTAGGGCCTTTGGCTCCCTCAATATTTGTTGGAAGGGGGCCAGGCCCTCTCAACATTGAGGGGGTGGAAGAGGTTGAGCACAGAGCCAAGCATGGCGCAGCTTCAGTGGCCGACTCCTCCAGAGTGCTCAGATTCCCCTCAACAACGTGATGTGTGTGTGTGTGAGTGAGTGAGTGACGTCACATGTGCGTGTCGCGTGCTGGACCCCTTCAGTCTTGGGGGTAATATGGTGTATCTGCCAACATGATAAAGGGTCTGGAAACCAAGCCATATGAGGAATGGTTGAAGGAACTGGGTATGTTTAGCCTAGAGAAGAGAAGACTGAGAGGAGATATGATAGCCAGATTTATGAAGGGCTGTCATGAGCAAGCTTCCCCCCCGCCCCCGTCGCTCTGGAGGGGAGGACCCGAGCCAATGGCTGCAAGTTACAAGAAAGGAGATTCCGGATAAACATCAGGAAGAACTTTCTGACAGTAAGAGCTCCACCTCTATAATTCTATCATTCTAAGCGTGCAGGCAACCTAAGCAGCTGTAAACAGGTGGGCATGTACAAAATATTTGTTTTAAAAAAACACACACGCAAAACTCTCTAATCCCTAAGATTGGTGACTAGGAGGATGTGTATTATTATTATTAGCGATGGCTGGGATAAGATGAGTTATTAGGGGGAGCTCATTTAAAATGGGGAGCTCATTTTAGCTCTGGAAAAGTCTCATGACAAAGAGAAAATCAGGTCTGAAGATAGCGTTTGTTATGGGCGGCATAAGCAAAATCAGGTGAATACTGGCTGATGTGGACATATGATGCACCACAGAATGAGACCCAGGTTTCGGTTCCAATGCTGCTGCCTTTTAGCAGAGGGCCCTTTGCATGGAATCACATCCCTCTACACACACACACACACACACACACACACACACACAGCTGATTTTACTGTACAAAGAGCAGAGACAGCAAAGCTGCCTTCTCTGCAATTTCGTGAAGAAAGAGGAGCTCCCCTCCTACTCCCAGAGCTGCTTTTTTTCAGGCCTCTTGGCAACCGTGCATGTATTTCTGGGTTTCTCTCCTCTCTCTCTCTTTCTTTCTTTCTTTCCTTCCTTCCTTCCCTATGGGGGCTGGGGATGGCTCTGTGACAAGTTAAATAGGAGTAGGTGGAACACGAGGGCTGTGCTTTGAAAGAGGTAGAGCTTAAAATGTCCCTTCTTGCTCTTACACAACTGCATAGCCAAATGAGGGCAGGTGCCTGCCTTCAGTAGCCAGGCCTGTTTCCCAATGGGCAGTGGTTGGAAGGAAGCTCACCATTCCCGACACCAGTTTCTAACCTCTGCCCTCTGACATTTGAGGGCGGAAAATAAGGTGCCACACTTTATACTAAGGTTTAACTAAGGAAGGTAGGGAGGCTGGCGAATTGTGTATGGGAATGCAAAGAAACACTAAAAGCAATTGTGGTTTTGAAATGGATAGTGTTATTTGTGAGTTTCAGGCACACACACAAACATGGCTCATTGCATCCGATGGAATCCAAACATTGGCAAAGCCTGTCTCCTCCATGCTGCGAAACCTCATTTGTAACCATCATGCCAAATTGAGTGCAGTCAGGCAGTGGCGGAGCAAGCCGATCGGGCACCTGGGGCAGCGTGTGTGCCCTGCATCCAGGGACGGGGCCAGCCACCTGCGAGGTGGGGTGAGCTGGGGCAGGAAGCTCTGTGGGGTCTCTGAGGAGTCTGCCTGCCTCCTCCCACTCAGCCACCCTACAGCTCAGGGGGAGGCAGCAGGCGGACCATTTGGGCACCCAAGCCACCGCGTCACTCCCAGGAGAGACTCATGGCTTGGGCGTGCTGCAGGCCTCCGCGGTGAGTGCCACCCAGCATTTTGTCACCCCCCTCAGTGGTGACACCTGGGGCGGCCCGCCCCCACCACACACCCCTTCTTCCGCACCTGCAGTCAGGCCAAAGTCACGTTTTGACCCGCCATCTTGATTTAAAATGGTGCTGGGTGTCCGTACAGACTAGGAGCCCTTGGGCCAAGTCTGGTGGCGATCTCTCAAGAGGCAGCCAAACCTATTCTCCAAAATATATAGTAGAGTGGAAGCCGTCTTAGACTAAGTCAGACCAATGGTCCATCTAGTTCAGAACTGTGTACTGGTAACAGCGTTCCAAGGTTCCAGGTGAGGGGGGTGTCTTTCCCATCCCTACCTGGTGATGCTGGGGATTGAACCTCTGAACTTCTGCATGCAAAGCAGGTGCTCTCCCTCTGAGCTACAGCCCTTCCCTAGAAACTGCCTTCTCCCAGGTCAGATTTCTTGTCCATGTAGTCCAGTACTGTCTAGCAGCTCTCCAAGGCCTCGAGTCCGTGTGGTGGTGCTTCATTTCCATCACCTTCTTATCTGACCCCTTTAACTAGGGACTGTGCATGGGACCTCCTGCATGCAAAACAGGGGCTCTGCTATAGAGTCTCCTCCCCACAAACATAAAAGAATGGAAGCATCCCTGTATGCTGCCACCCGAAAGCGGCTTTGCACAGTTGTACTTTCAACAGTTCCAGCCACATTCATTACGCAGGGGGGCCCACAACCCTCACTCAGGATCCTTTGTAATCCAGGAAATTAAAGGCTTTGGCTTCAGACCGCAGCTCAGCCGGCTTCAAGTAGATTTAATGCACAAGGATCCCAGAGATTATCCTTCTAATATCATGACTAAACAAAGGAACAGCTCATCAAGATGGTGTGTTGCTGTACTTAGTGACCCCTGGGTCAACAAGGGGACACCTAGACTTCTGCAGCCAGTAGGGCATGTCATTTTAGGGGGTGAAAAGTAAAATGTGCAAATTTCTTCAGTGAAAGGTCTTAAAAATATGTTTTTGGGTGTGAGGAATTCAAACCTGCTATTATTTTTATAACTGGACAACATTTAGTGTGGGAAGTCTATGTTTAATGAAGAAGCACATGAACTAATTTTGGAAAGCCAGATGAAAATGTCAGGTAGTGTCAGAAAAGTAATATTAATATAGATTATAACTGCAAGTACTTGGCAATCATTTTTAATTATTTCTATGAAATTTTACACACATGTTACTTACCAAACAAAGCTGAATTATATTAATTTAACCAAAATATATTTTGAATTCTCAAGTCATGTTGCAGCTTTTTAGCACCCCTCAGTTTTGAAAGTTGAAAAATTCAACACACCCTACTGCTGCAGCTGAGCTGAGCTGGGGGCTCCACCATGTCAGCACCCCCAGTCCTTGCACTCCTGACGCACAGAGGGCCCAATACATGTTCAGCCTCTGCCAGTCCACACACCTAGTCAAGTCACGAGGGAGACATTTGTTTCAGATTGCAGTTAAAAGTGAACCTGCCAAATTCACTTTTTTTAAAAAAAAAAGTCCAGTGCAGAGAGAATAAACACTTAAAAAACAACAACCCAACTGTGTGGAGCACTTACTGCAATACAGAGGACACAAAGTATGCATGTACTTATTCTTACACATTTAAAGGAAGAGAATATTCTGAAGAGGTCTTGGTGTTGAAGAAGTATTGCTTATTGACCCAATAACCAGTGAGGAATACATCACGGGGGAACTATTTCCGTTAATAAAGCTTATGAAGGGAAACCACATAACATCAAAATGGTCTTGTTCCTTTACGTCCTTCATTATCCTCCTGTTTTGAGTAAAATGCTCAAACGGAGCTATATCCCGAATTTTCTCAAAGCAACCCTCTTGAGTGGGGTCAGTAGGCGCTTTCCAACACTGGGTAATTTCTATTCTAACCACAGCTCACAATAATGCTACCAATTCTTTATGTGTAAATGTGGGATTTAAATTGTTTTCCATAGTCCAAAAACACTAAAGCATGGTCCAGAATGGGAGTTTGATTTGCTATCTCAGAAATTTCAGCAAACACAGATTTTCAATAAGTTGCCAATGTGTTACAGCCCCACCACATGTGAAGCAAGATGCCTCTATGACCACAACCTCATCAGCACAATGGCAAAGTATCTTTCTGCACATGTGACAACCTTGCTGATGTAACAGAAGTTGCCCTTTCCAAAACAGTATGTGAAGCAAAACACAGGCATCTTTCGAAATTCATTTTTCTGAATTTTGCAATGCAATTCTCCAGCCAACTAGTGTGTAAAATAAACCACATATACTAGAGCAAAGCCTGCATGAAAATGCAGATTAGTAAAAATGCATTATATTGTGCAGAATTGCATTGTAAAAATTGTATATATTGGGCAAAATTGCATGCACAAACGTGTGTTTTAGAAGAAATTTACACTAAAACGCTGATGAATTTTCATGAGAACTTTAAAAAAAAACAGCCACAACAACCCACAAACTGATGTGGAAATGTGGAGAACTGAAGACTGAAAAAAACAACCGAGAAATGTAGAAAAACTGAAATCAAAAGATTTGCCATTCACATAAGGATGGGCAAATCAGTCTTTCTGGTCTATTTCACTTGCATGTGTGCTCACCAGCAAACCTGCCCCATTCCATTTCTGAATTATTCTGCATTTATGAAATACTGTGTTTTTCATAAATTAGCTCCTGTCTGAACTGTGAAAACAAACCACCTAGCTGCGTCTTAAACCAGCAATGTGAACGCAGCCTAAATTTGAAAGGCCGCAACTCAGTGGTGGTGCATCTGTTCTGTGTGCTGAAAAGTCCTGGTCTCAACCCCCTGCAGCTCTAAATAGGGCTAGTGGAGTCCACTGCCTGAAACCCCCAAAGAGCTGCTGCCAGTCAGTGTAGACAGTGCTGAGCTGGATGGCCCAATTGTCTGCCTCGGCCTAAGGTAGCTCCCTCTGCCCCTAACTTCCGTCAGCCCCACGGAGAACTGGTTTAAAAATTAAGAGAAGAATCTTGCGCCTTCTGCACTGAGCAGTGCTATAGAAACCCTTTATCATAATGATCTCCTGGGGGGAAAGAGAAGCCTTAGAAATACCTACTACCGGCGTGGCATACACAGCGGGGAGGTTGGCAATCTCTCAAGGTTCCCTTTCCCTTTTCTTTTTTGTTGCTGTCATGAGAGAGGCAGGAGAGGTTTTTCAACACAAAAGACAACGTGATGATGGCGGTGGGGGAACTGTGCCCAAAGGAAAACAAATCTGGAGTGAGATTAGAAAATTGACTCTTTTGGCGACAGGGCCTGAAGTTCTAATCAGGAAAGAGCCTGCTGGTTGTCATGGCAACAGCAATGATCTTGGTGCCGGACCGGCACAGAAACCGAGAAGGGCGTACGCGGGGGTGGCGCGGGTGTTGTTGTTGCCGGGGAAAGCTTGGTTCTGGGACAGATTATGAGTGAGAAAGCCAACAGGTAACATCTGTAGTTTTCTGCCTAGTCTAAGTCTGGGAGGAGCAGCTGTCACAGCCATACTACGGCGCATTTTGGACTACAGCTCCCATCAGCCCCCAGCCAGTATAGGACTTGTAGCCCCAAACAAATGGAGGGCAAAAGTCTGGGCAAAGACCGGCCAAACGAAAGGCTCATGAGAAGGGCAACCTCTGGAAGTGAGATGCCAGTTTCCTCCCCCCTTCCCCCCAGCTCATTGGCAGAGATGCTTTCAAAGAATACCCCTCAAAAGCTAATGGATTTGAGTATAATTCTGTCAGCTCTCCTACCTAGCCCCATTTGAACTTGGATCTCTGCAGTTGCTGGGATTCTCATGCAACTGGCACTGCTTGAGACAGGTGTACATAGCTCCTGAATTCTACAAAGACTTCCCCTTACCGTAAGCTTGCACTGGACCTTGAACCTCATGAAAGCTCCCCAGTTGTTTAGGCATGCACACACACACACACACACACACACACACACTGGGACTGTGCCCCTGCTTGCTCCATATTAACCCATTTCTATGTCTGGCCACTGGTGCTCTGCAACCTGTCCCATCCCAACTTCATGCAATTCAAAAAAATTGTGATGCGGCACTACAAATCCCCCAATGGAGGCTGCATGACGACAGCCTTACATTTTTATGTATAGAGGAAGATCGATACAATAGCTGCCGCCCTCGACTATTGCTTCAGGAGCTTAGGGTGGTGCAGAATCCAGTGGCCCAATGCCAAACAGTGGAATGTCCAATAAAAAAAAACAGGCATTAAATTCACTGACTTGTAGATTGCTTCTAGATAACCTGCTTATTGAGCATTAATGTTGATTTGTTTACACAAGGTTTGCAGGAAGCTTATCGACAACTTTGACTACTGGAGTGGCCCGTCCCATTTCACCACATGAGGAGAAATGGGAACGGCTGCCTTCTGTGCACCCCTGTGCCTCCCCATCTCCACCGCGCCTCGGCTCTTACCGAACTATGTGGGAGCTGAGGCGCTGCTCAAAGTGTTCCTCCTCCACCCAAGGGTATGGGTGGGAAGCCAAGAAGCAACATGGCATGCAAGAATGTCCCGCCTCCTGCTGAACTCAGTGGGTGTGTCCCATAAAGCGCTGCCACTCAGCTTCTCTGCCTGGGGGCGGGGAAGAGGAGCAAAAATGCTGCACACCAGAATGCCTCCCTCTCACCGCTGCCACCACAAGCAGTGGGATGGACGGACCACCACCTCTTGCACCTCCGATGGGCAGGCCAGCTCTGGTTGGCTATTTATTGAGCAATTATCCTGATTTGTTTGTGGCTAGGTTAGACAACATTGCATCATGCAAATGTTATCCCACACTTTCCAGGGCGTTTCCCCATCCATTTTCTTATCACAAAAAATCTTATTTTGTAGGGAGGAAAGTAGTTTGTTGGTGAAGAGCACCAAAACAACTTTAATTGTGCGACCTGAAATTGTTGATATGTGATTGAATCCAAGCTGAAAATAGTGACCGTCTCAAACCTCCTGCAGATACAGCTATAGTTAATTCTTCCTTCCCTTCTTCCCCCTGTTAGCATCTGATGTTTTGTAAAATGAGATTCTGGATGAGGAAGAAGGATCTTGGACTGAAGATGAAATCTCAGTGTCTTGTTTTCCTGCACCCAAGACATTTCCTGCCTATTATTTTCCTGCCTGCCTTGTCTTAATCAGTCACTTGCCTGATGCCCTTGATAGTGTTCCATTAGAGGTGACAGATGGCTGGAGATGCAGCTCCCTCTCCAGATGTTAATTAAGTTGCAATCTGTAAACATCATACATAGACACAGACATAGTCAGTGTGCAGGCATCACATGGTAGAATTGTCATCACTAACTAATCAAAAACAGTTGACTCTGGCCCCTAATATCCGAAAGCCTGTTTGAATCTCATTGTAGATATGTGCTTAAGATATGTTCCAATGTAAGAAATGGTTGGTTTCTTACTTCTTTCACTATCCTTGATTTATGGGAAATGGATTCTATCACATATTCACCTTGGCAATTCAGCCAGGCACACGGCCATGATGCTTCTCTTAAGACACACACATTGGACTTAAAACAACAACCTCTACAGAGAATTCACATTTTTCAGACAGAAAAGCAATCAGGAATGTTTGTGTGTGTTGTATACAGTAAGTGTCCACTTCTGGGAGGATGTTGGATGGTGTATCTACTATCAAAGGAGTTGCAAGTGGCAGGAACGTTGAAAACTGAAAGTTGCACGTTGTTCTGGATTTGTGCACCTGGCTCCCCTGGAAACTGAAATTAGGCAGGGATTTTTGAGCTCACCATCCCACCTGCCCCAAGAATTTGATCACAATTTGAATCCTCTAGTATAGGGCTAGTCACATCATGTTCCTATTGAATTTCTCTGAAATCTTAGAGCCAACTGAACTGATTAAACCAGATTGTATCCAATTCAGTCATACTCAGAGTAGACCCACTGCAGTCAATGGATTCGACTTAAACTTTATTCTGTTCTTTTCAGTGGCTCTACTCCCCCCTTACCCCCAAAGGGAGTTTAAAAAAAGTAGCTCAGATATTTTAAAGTTAAAAATTGAAGATTAAATATTTATCTGGCCCAATCTCATTTTGTAAATGAGAAGAGGGAGAAAATAGGCTATAGAGAAAAGAAGAGCTGACATGAGGAGGAGGAGGATTGGGATATGAAGTTGTCTACATCCGAATTTAAATTATTCTGTAATTGCACAAATGTTCCTTCCAGGACCAGGGAGGAAGAGCAGCAAAGTGTCTCTGAGAACTCACTCAGTGAATGACCTTTCCACAATTTCAGCCACAACTGCACAAGCTCACTTCCAGTGAGATCATGAGGCTACCTCTTAAGCAGTGAAAGCTTTGTAGGATATCTGTTTCATTCATGTGTTTAAGGCATTTATCCCTTTGTTTCACATGAGGTGTTCAAGGCTGTTTACAAAAGTTTGAGGACAAATATAAGAAGGTACTTCTTATAAGAAGGTACTTCTTCATGCAGTGCATAGTTAAACTATGGAACTCACACACGAGGCAGAGATGACCACCAACTTGGATGGCTTCAAAAGAGGATTAGACAAATTCATAGAGGACTCCTGATGGCTACTAGCTGTGATGGCTTTGCTTTGCCTCCACAGCTGGAGGCAGCAATAGATGCTGGAAACCACAGGGAGGGAGAGCGCTTGTATCCTGCTTGAAGGTTTCCTTCTGGCAGCTGGTTAGCCACTGTGAAAACAGGAAGCTGGGCTAGATGAGCTACTGACCTGATCCAGCAGGCTCTTATGCCCTTACGTTACGTTCTTACATTTAAAATAATGAATAATTACAAAACCAACAACAAAGAAAATCACAAATTTCAGGAGGAGCAGCTCCGCACTGTATAATTGCAGTGGAAGGGCAACAGAGAAGGGGCCAGGGAGGCCCCCGCCCCAGAAAGGGAGGCCCCCCAGGAATGGATTTCCAAAACTTTGGCACAGCCTCCTTTAGTGAATAACAGAACAGCCTTCCTCAGCCTCATGCCTTCCAGATGTTTGGTATTACAACAGGGATGAGAAATCTCAGCCTTGGGCAGCACATGTGGTCCCCCTGGCCTCTCTGTCTAGCCCTTGAGACTCTCCCCAGGCTATATCCCTCACTAACAGAGTGAAATCCATTCTGCGCTAAGGGGAAGTGGGGAAGAGGGGAAGACTCTGCTGTCCACCCATTCCTAGAGTCCAGATGTGACGGGTAAAGAGCTCTCGGGTAAAGTCAGAGCTCCTACTGGCAATTGAAACTGACTAGTCTAAATGCAGATGGTGAAAAGGCAGCACACCAGTTTCGTCTTGGCAACCAGACAAGCTGCATTCTCAAAGCAGAGCCTGAAGACCCTGCTGCCCAAAGGTTGAAATCCCAACTTGCCTTTGCTTCTCTACAATTCAGCTTGAGGTTAGTCCGCTTCAGTTCATTTGCAACACTATTCTTTGCAGGTTTTGCGTGGGGGTTCCAAATATGGGGAGGGGTGGGTACGTTAAGAACATAAGAGCCCTGATGGACCAGACCAAAAGGCCCATCTAGCCAAGCTTTCTGTTTCTTTCTGAAGCCCAAGGAACATGAGTGCAATAGTTTTCATTTGGTATATACACAGACATGATGCCTCTGAAGATGCAGGTACTACAGAACCATCACAAAGAGCTTTATATTCCATGTCTTTGTGTAACCCCCCTAAGCCGGTGGCCATCTTCTTGCCCTTAAATAGGAAATTCTGCAAGTTGATTGTCATCCATAATGTCACAGGCACTGCCCAATAGGTACCTGCCATACTTACATAAAAGGATGCTATGGGGATGCAATGGTCTGGAATAAAGAATCGTCCTTTAAAACAGGTCTGGGGAAGAGCCTGTGGGGACCAGATGCTGTGGAGCTTCAACTCCCATCAGCTCAAGCCAGCATGGGAATTCAGGTTCCTCATCCCTGTTGTAAACTAAGAGGTACCAGGAAGCAGGACTGTTTTGCATGCAGCCCTGCAACTGTCTCTTGCAACAAGCATCAATTAAGCCAGGACCTGCAAGTCAATTGACACCTGAGTAGCAAGTCCCTGCTGTTTGCTATTCATAGCACTTGCCTTCTGTCTGGTGGTTGCAAAGGACCGGGGCAGGTGCGCTTTCCTCTCAAATTGCATCATGCCAGAGGTTGCAATAGCTGTTTTGCCTTTCTTAATTAGGGATCTAGCTAAAGGGCCTGCTCCAGGGGGTGGGCACAGGTTTAACAGAGGAGTTGGGCTTATCTGTGACAAGCAGGTAATTTGAAAACCCTCCTTAGAGAGCTAATTGCGGTGGCTAACAGTTCATTCCCTGCTTCTGACATTCTATTACTGCTTTCATAAATCACTGATTGCAGGTCTTCTGTGCAGATAGCAACTTGGGGAGGAGAAGGGGACAAAGCACATTAAGGTAGATAAGAATCGTCTTATTGGGGCTGCAGGCAACTGATGGACAAGTATCTCTTTTTAATGAACACAAGAACATCAGAAAAGCCTTCTGGATCAGGCCAGCGCCCCATTTAGTCAAGAATCCTGTTCATGCCTGTAGTAAACCCTCAAGCAGGACCTGAACATAAGAGCCCTCTGCCTCTTGTGATTTTCAAGAACTGTTACACAGAAGCATTGCTGTCTCCAACTGGAGGCAGAGCATAGAGAAATGGAGAGGAAAGAAAAACTGACATATTCACCTGTCTCCAGTCAGGAACAATTCACACTACCAACTACCACCATAAAATATTTTGAGAGTTGTTCTGTCCCCTTTCCATTCTTTTCCTGCATGCACTTAATGGTGTCAAAGGCCCATCAGATGGTCTTTCCTTCTTCTCCTTTGCTTCTTCATCTATTACATGACTACAAAGACCACTGGTCTCTGACATAATACAGAACTAGATTTATCTGCAGAACACTGGGGATTATGGGATGTGTATGTGCAGAAGTGGGTAGGTCTTCTGTGCATTCCACAGAAGTGGAGGATGAACCGAGACAGGATAACAGGCAACCCAGATAAAACTATGAGGCTCCAGATCATGTAACTGGCAGCAAATCTCCCTGAAATAAAACCTGCCACGGTGATGCATTAAACCGTTATCATGGCCTCCTCTCTCATAATTTGACTTCCCTGCAAGGTTGCCAGGCCTTGGGAAGAAAAGCAGGTCAGGGGGTGGAGTGAAAAGAGAGTTTGCCTCTGGGAGTTGATGGAGCTGTCTCCCCAGCCCAGGAGAAATGAGATCAGGACGAGACAATGGAGAGCTGATAAAGCAGTGGCTGGGCTTGATGAGTTGCAAGTTTAAATGAACTTCAGTATAGAACTTCTTGCTTTCTCTGCAGAACCTGAACAGCTCTGGTGATGTTCACAGAATGTTCAGAACACAGAACAGTTCAGAAAGAGCCCTGCGCGCACACACACCCTTTTCTTTAAAGAAGAGTCTTTCCTGCTGATCTGTCTTCTAGCTACACCTGTAACTAATCATTTTACAATAAATAATGAAGTGAAAGTCTTTGAAATGGCCTGTTAAGATATTTATTAATGATTTATGTGTGCCTCCACTGGGAATAACAGAGGCATGTACAGAAGCGGCCTGTTGAATTAGGTTGATTTGCATTGGTGCCACTGGGATAATGGAAGCCTTTCACATCTCCTCCATTTCCCCCAAGTCTACTCTAAAGTGGCTGCACCTTAGAACAGAATTGTGGTATCCAAGTAGTTTACAGGCCCTGACTACAATGGGATCTTGCTGTGGATGCAAAGGAAGATTGGAGAGCACACTTTGAACAACCTCCTGGGTCTTCCTTTGCGGCTACATTTTGAAGTCTAAATCATATTCATATGAAGCCAGGCTGGTGCTGGACTGGTAGGTGACCTTGCCCACCTGTCACAGTGCCCTGTGGAAGCTTAGCCATATCATGATCTCTAGCCCTTTTCCCAGATCCTGTTCAGCATCCCTGGTGTCGGGTAAGGGTCAACCAGGCCTGGTGCCCGGGACAGACAATGTGAAACGTGACCCTAAGCCAACCCTGTATTTTATGACTTAAAAAATTAACAGCAGTTGTAATGCAGTGATAAACAAGTGCAATTCTAGGATTGAGTAAGGCTCTGTTAGTGAATATTCATGGGTTGTTTTCAGGAGGTCTAAATGAGCTGCTGACTCTGGAACTGGGAGAACTGACGGTAGCTGGTGCTTCCAGCTTTCAAATTCTGATAAAATTTCTGCAGGATTTAACTCACCCCCATATTTTATCGCCATTTCCAATCGCCTAACACATTATTAAAATAATTAAATTTTATTTCCGTAAATAGTGTGTAGAACAGAAATTGTGATTTTGGTGCTCCCTTGAACCAGGCCCCTGCTTGCCCCACCCTAGTTCTGGCCCTGGGGTCAAAACAACCCATAATAGTTGCGTCAGAAGAGGGAGTTTTGGCAGGTGCTGCTTGCCAGAAGCTTTGTCTGCCGAAATTAGTGGTAGGCTTGCATCCACCCTTCGGATCCTGCAGGCAGCAGGGAAAGGAACCAAGAGACTCTCCTTCTTCTGCCACTTGCTGAATGGGTTCCTCCTCCTGATGCTTAAAGCCGCAGAGAGAAGCCAAGAAGTCTGCAGTGGCAATGAATAATTCACTCGCTGCCTGCGTCCTCCAGAGACAGCCTGGAGAAGAGAGAAGCTACTTTCCCAATCAATTGTTTCCAGACAGAACCTGAGAGCAGAAGGGGGTTGCTTGCCACAGAGCGAGGCCAGAGGCAAGGAAAGGCCTTCCCAGTGCTCTCCCAGAGATATTGATCCCAAGCTGGGTGGTGTCTGTGCTGAGAACCCATTGCCTTTCCTCCATTAGCACTTTAGTTTGTGGAGGCCATCTGATACCCTTTGGGGAGCCTGACTTCATCGCAGAGGTTGTATTTCCCTCCCCTTCCCCTGTGTGGGGAAGGGATTCATTTCATCTGCCTGATCGATCAGGGGGCTGTGCTTTCTCCCTCCTTTGGCGTAGCCAGTTCTTGCACAACTTGCCATCTGAAGTGCACAAGTAGGGGTGAATTTGGAAGGGTTCCTTGTTGCTGAAACGTCTCGCTGATTGTGGGTTTCTCTTCTCTCCCCGCACCCTCCTTTTCGCCTTTCGCTGCATCGTTTCCAAGCGAGCTCTCCAGGAAAAGCAGATGACTTTGTCGATTTGGCTCTAGTAAGCTCCCCTGCACCTGTTGCCTCCTGGAGGCAAGGGGACCTGTCTCCATGGCAACTGCCTGACACCACAAATAGATGCTTCAACAGGGAAAGTCTGGCAAAGGTGGTCCACCGAGGCCTCTCGGCTTCGCCTGGTGATAGTGCCAAGACACTGGGATGTCTCAGTTGAGTCTTATGTAGTTTGGATTGGGGAGGGGGTGTTCCTCTCCTCTATTTTTTATACCATGCATGATCATAAGTGTGCCTGAGGCTTGTGTGCTCTCTTTTCCCGCTCTGTCTCCACTGTAGCTATGACTCTTCCTGCCTTAAAGTAGCAAGGGTTATCACCATGCCTAACCCTCCTTGTTAGTTTAAACTTGGGTTTGTTAACAGGCCAGGAGCATAAAACATTTATTGATTCCGGCTTGTTGCACCAAATCGTAGTTGAAGCTAACTGTGTCCCCCAGGTTCAGATAAGACAATAAACTTCACTTGACAGTGGCAGAGGCAGAGGGATGAGTGCAAGCCTATAGCTTGCTTCTGCTCATTCATGGTGTGCTAAACCAGGGGTAGCAAACATGGTGCTCTCCAGATTTGCTGGACTACAACTTCTCTCACCCCCCACCGTTGGCCATGCTGACTGAGGCTGATGGGAGATGAAGTCCAACAACAGTGGTAACCTACTGCAGTGCACTGTAGGTGGAACTACCCTTGAGACTGGTCCAGAGGCTGCAGCTGTTGCAGAATGTGGTGGCTAGGTTGCTTCCGGGGGCAAAATGCTGCCACCATGTGATGCCCTGCTTTACATATGCTGGCTGCCAATCTGCTCTTGGCACAAGTTCAAAGCATTGGTAGTAACATATAAGATCCTATACAGCTCAAGACAAAGTTACTTGAGAACCCTCATAAGGCTGCTGTAGTCTGCACAAGAACTTCTCCTGCGTGTTCCAAGGACCTCAGAAGTCCTCTCTGCAATGACTCAGAGCAGGGCTTTCAGTGTGACTGCCCCTGTTCTGTGGAATAGCATTCCTACTGCCTCTCTCCCAAAGCCTTTGAAAAGCACACTTTGCACACCTCCTCTCTATTATCTGGGAACTGAAACTGAAAGCAGTTGTTTGAGCATCCCATTTCCCAGAGGATTAGAAGGGCCAGTGAACTGATGCTTCCTCTAGCCATGATGATCTCCAAGCCTTCATTAAGACAGAAAGCTAGGGAAGATGTCTCTGAGGAATCTGGGTTTTCTGTTGTCTGCATGTACACAGACACAGACAGACAGACAGACAGACAGACAGACAGACAGACAGACACACACACACACACACACACCATGCTAGATATTATCCTGCAATAAAGTGCAACTTCAATGCATTGCTTACATCAAGAAATGTCCATATGGATTGTTTACACAGTCATCCCACCAGAGCAAAATGCATTGTAGAAGTTATACACTTTTATTAGAAGCCCACGTTTAATTTTTTTTGCAAAGGAATTAACTGAACCAATTAAGATGTGAATGCTTTCAGCATCACTTTTAACACAGCCAGTGTATGTGCTTCCTTCCAACATCCCCTGACAACCTATTCCTCGTTATTGGTCACACAACAATAATTATCTTGCTGATCTCAAAGAAAAACAAATATGATCTGAATGCCTCTAATGGTGATTTGTCTTTTTACGGACGAACTGTGTGTTGCCAAGGTAGCAAGCTTTTCAGTCGCACAAAATTATTATTTAGGCATGACAAGTGAAGGCTGCAGCAAAATGTTGCAGCTTGGAGCACTCCTGCTCAGAATTCCAGCCTACCAGCCATGCAATTGTTCAGAATATCCCATTTCATTCTTCCTCCTCACTGGTTTTATGCTTTCCCCCTCCTTCAGCAACACTCAGCACCATTCCACCTGCTTGGATGGCTTTAAGAGAGAATTGCACAAATTCAGGGAGAAGAAGGCTATCGGCAGCTACAAGCCCTGAAGGCATTGTTTTGCCTCAACTGTTGGAGGCAGTAATGCTTCTGAATACTAGTTTCTGGAAACCACAGGAAAAGAGAGTGCTCATGGGTTCAGGCCCTGCTTGCAGGTTTCCCACAGGCGTCTGTGAAAACAGGATAGATGGGCCTTTGGCATGATCCAGCAAGCTCCTCTGATGTTCAGTGTAATTTTCCAATAGGATCACCCTGAACCATTTTGGAGTCGCATTGTGCACTGAAAAAGGTAACTGGTGCAGGTGAAACCTTTTTCTTTATTTCTTTATTCCCCATTGCAAGGATAGAGAAATTGTGCAAAGGGATACGGATAAAATAGGTTGAAATGTTGCCCTATCAAGATCCCAAGAGCAGGGTTATACAGAGGTACCTCGGGTTACAAACGCTTTGGGTTACAAACACTTCAGGTTACAAACTCCGCTAACCCGGAAGTAGTACCTCGGGTTGCAAACTTTGCCCCAGGATGAGAACGGAAATCACGCGGCAGCAGGAAGCCCCATTAGCGAAAGCGCACCTCAGGTTAAGAATGGTTTCGGGTTAAGAACGGACCTCTGGAACTAATCAAGTTCGTAACCTGAGGTACCACTGTATTATATACGTGAACATCCGCTGAGCTACAGGGTGAAGCGGTAAATTTGAGTCTCTTAAAACAGGAACTAAATGCTTTTATACACACACACACACACACACATTCCTGCAGAAAACTAAATGTCAGAGAGAACACTTCCACCTACAAGCTAGCTTTCTACTTGTAGGACACAATCTCTTCCCCTCCCCTCCCCTCCCCTCCCAGTGAGAAGCATTTCCAGCCCATGAGCTCCCAAGTGATGTGTACATTGGAGACACGCTGTGAGCACTAGACCTGGAAATTGCACCACCAATTACTCTGCAGTGGAAGGGAATATTCCCTTGCTGTAGGAAGATTGAGAAGCATTTCTCAAATTATACCTGACTGCATATTTACCTGAAAGACAGCGTGGTTTCCATGGAACCAGCCCAAACCTCAGAGGGAAACACTGGCCTTCTATGGGATGGAGTCACTTGTGCTTTAACTCCTTCACAGCCTATGCACTTTGAAGATATGAACCAGCAAGACGGAGGGGGTCTCTTGGCATAAGTGTGAGCCCCAAGTTTTGTTGGTGCACAGCCAACTGTGATCAGTCTGTGCACATTTACTGCTATGTGCAGGATGTGGTTCTGGCATGCTCCACAAAGGTTGCTTTTCAAGCATTTGTGGTGGGGTGCCGGAAGCTGGCACTTCAGCTTTGTGGGGGCTGGAAGGAAGCGCGGCTCAGGGGCTGAGCACCTCTTTTGCATGCAGGTCCCAGGTTAAAGGAGGGCAGGGCTAGGAAGGACCTCTGTTGTGCACTCACCCTGAGAGTGTCACAGTCTGGTTCATGGGTGATCGAAGTCCCAGCAGGGGACGTCAGGACCAGGGGGCAAGATGGCAGGGTGGGAGCAGGAACGGGGGTCTAGGAGTCAGGAAGCCAAGAGTCCAAGGGTCAGAGAGCCAAGAGTCAAGAAGCTGAGATTCAAGAATCAGGAACCAAAAAACCAAACACAGCAAGGCAGGAAGTGTGTTGCTGTGGCAAAGAGCCAACGGGAAATGCTGACCTTATATCTCTTCCCAGCTCTTGCCACCAGGTGCTTTGAGTTACCAATTGGCCTCACCTGTGAGGCCGTGCCTTGCCTCTTCAGAACAAACTTAGGAAAGCCCAAGTCCTGCAAAGTCCTATTAGTCACAGGGCCTGGCTCCTGCGTGTATACCTGACAGAGGGAGAGGGCAAGGCAAACAGCTGCATCTCCTTCGCCATTCCATGGCCACGTTCACATTTGCATGGCATCTTATGGGGCTGATGGGAATCATAGTCTGAAGCTACTCGATGGCCCTTGGGGTCCCTTCCAACTCTACAGTTATATGATCTGGAGGACACCAGGTTGGGAAAGGCTGGCATAAACAATGGCCTGGATTCAATAGAAGGCAGCTTCTTATGTTCCTATGTATAAGATTTTTCTTTGACTTACAGGCAGTGGGGTGTGTGTGAGAGAGGTGGATTGGGACCATAGTACAGAGAAGGGCCTAACTCCTTGCCTCTGCTACATCACTGAGCAGAACATAAGAAGAGCCAGCAGAATCAGGCCAATGGCCCATCTAGTCCAGCATCCTGTTCTCACAGTGGCCTGTGGGAAACCCGCAGGCAAGATTTGAGCATCAGAGCACTCTGTCCTCCTGTGGTTTCCAGAAACTGGTATTCAGAAGCATTACTGGTTTTCCCACTGTGGAGACAGAGCACAGCCACCATGGCTTGCAACCATTGATAGCCTTATCCCCCATTATTTTGTCCAATCCTCTTTTAAAGTCATCAAAATTGATGGCCATGACTGCCTCCTGTGGGTAGGAGCAAGTTCCAGAGTTGTCCTGAGTCTTCCAAGATTCATCTCCATTGGGTGCTCAGTCACTTCAGTTGCCCTTTACTGAACCTTTTCCAACTCTACAATATTCATTTTTAGCTGAGGTACCCAGAACCAGGGGACGTGGGTGGTGCTGTGGGTTAAACCACAGAGCCTAGGACTTGCTGATCAGAAGGTCGGCGGTTCGAATCCCCGCGACGGGGTGAGCTCCCGTTGCTCGGTCCCTGCTCCTGCCAACCTAGCAGTTCGAAAGCATGTTAAAGTGCAAGTAGATAAATAGGTACCGCTCCAGTGGGAAGGTAAACGGTGTTTCCGTGCGCTGCTCTGGTTCGCCAGAAGCGGCTTAGTCATGCTAGCCATATGACCCAGAAGCTGTACGCCAGCTCCCTCGGCCAATAAAGCAAGATGAGCGCTGCAACCCCAGAGTCAGTCACGACTGGACCTAATGGTCAAGGGTCCCTTTACCTTTTTACCCAGAACCAGACAAAGCATTCCAAATGTGGCCACACCAAAGATTTGTATAGTGGCATTATGATACCGGCAGTTTCATTTTCAGTTCCTTTCTTAATGATCCCAAGCATGGAATTTGCCTTTTTCACAGCTGTCGTGCACCAGAATCCCCCCTCTCCCCTCCCTCATGCCTGCTCTTCTCAGTGCCTGCTCTCCTCCTTGCAATGATCTTGTGCATTTGCAGAGTTCTCCATCTCCTGGTGCGAGGTCAGTGCTTGTGCCTCCACGGATGTAAGGAGAAAGTCTCTTCCGTTGCTCCTCAGAAATAATCGTCTGCCTAAGGCAGCTTTTGCTATTAGTGTGATGTTTATATCAAAGGAAGAGATTAACATCTTATTCTGATAGTTTTTCCTGGAAGACTGGAGGATGCTTATTTTGGCAGGGAGACGTACATCAGCCCTCACGAAAAGCTTGTTGCCTGGTTAACCATAGCTGCTCCGTAGCCTGAGTCCCAGGAGGCTGGCTTAAGCCCTGGTTATGACGACTTCAAATTAGAGTCTCTTGTTCGCTTAGTAATGAAATCCAGCTAATAAAATAGGTTACCTTTAGCTACTTGCTTATGGTAAAGAGAGGATACCCCATGGTTACTAGTTCATAACAATTCATTAATACTACCCCCATCACGTGTATTATATTAGTTCATTCTCACCACAAAGGATCATCACTTGTAGTAATTGAACAATTAAGAACATATAAGAATATTCTACCTTAACCCATCATATGCTGTTCCTCTGTCAGAGATACAGTGGTACCTCTGGTTACAAACTTAATTCGTTCCGGAGGTCCGTTATTAAGCTGAAACCATTCATATCCTGAGGTGCGCTTTCGCTAATGGGGCTTCCCACTGCGCTCGCACCTCCGGCGTGTGATTTCTGCTCACGTCCCGGGGCAAAGTTCGCAACCAGGAGCAGCGACTTCTGGGTTAGTGGAGCTCGTAACTCGAAGTGTGCGTAACCAGAAGCGTTCATAAACAGATGTACCACTGTACAGGCACAAAGGGTTCCTGGATAGCTCAGTTGGTTAGAGCGTGGTGCTGATAATGCCAAGGTTGCAGGTTTGATCCCTGTATGGTACAGCTGCATATTCCCGCATTGCAGGGCATGGGACTAGATGATCCTCAGGGATCCTTCCAACTCTACAGTTCTATGATTCCAAACACGGAGCCTTTCTACACATGCACAGAAATCTTATGGTGTTGAAGTAAGGTCATTTCTTTGAATATTCTCACTTATAAAAGCTCTCTGCATGTAGACAATGGTGTGTCAGGGAGGAGGGTTCTAGGTAGGGATGTGAAAAGGCAGAAATTTCTTTCTGACCTGTATCCTTCACAATCAACTCTGCTTCCATTCTGCTGCAGTTCGGTTTCTGCCAACTGCTATGTTATTCATCTTGCTATCCTCTTTTTAATCTAAGTTATGGAAAAGAAAAGAAAAAGATGTCATTAATTACATAGCATTTATAGACGTAAGAAGAAGAAGAACAATCATGTGAATGAATACTGATCGTAACTTGCTTGATCATATTTCCATTCCTAACGGTAGATGAACACACAGACTGCATCAGTTTCCACTTCCTTTCCTGTTTTTGTTGTCCAGCCTTTATTCAGCATTCATTCTAATTTGTCTGTGGGATATTTACAGTATATGGTTTCCCATTAATCATTCATCCTTCTCAAACTTTTCACTGCTTTTCCTTGACACTTTCCTACCACAAAAGTCCTTTTTAAAAAAGTGGATTTGTTGCCCTTAGGCAAGAGACCACTTTAATTGTGCATGGTTAAGTTTCCAGTACGTGCCTGAACCTGTCCTGCAAAATACTGGCAGTCTGGGAGCACCCTGAATTACAATACAATGGAGAGGACTATCCCTTTGAAATCAGCTCAGTCAGAGAATGCCCTTCTTTGAGAGAAAGTGGTTTGGGAAAGACCTGCACCAGTGAGTTCATGCACATTTTTGTGGGGAGGGAGTTCTGCTCTCTGGGACTACAGCAAAAAAGAATTGGCCATCCTTGCCCATTGAACTGACCAAGCCAGCAGTGGATATGCAGACCTCTGAGACAACTCTTAATGCCTAGGCTGGCTCATATGAGTATAGGCAGCCCTTCAAATAACGGGCCCCAAACAATATAAATCTTGCGCAAGACCAGCATTTTCAACTGGGCCCAGAAATGCACCGGCAGCCAGTGTGACTAATACAGAACTTGTGTCACTTGCTCCAATCACTTTGCTCCCACCAAGTGACATTCTGCACCAGCTGAAGTGTCCAGACCATCTCCAAAGGCAGCCCTACACAGAGCACATTACAGTAATAGATCCTAGATATGATTAGTTTATGGATTATTGAGGTAAGGTCCAATCTTTCTAGATAGGCAGCTGGGTATCAGCTTATGCTAGCAAAAGGCAGCCCTAGGTACAGACAGCTCTTTCACAGACAGCACTGGATCCAGGCTGATATAACTGGTCCTGCAGGGGAAGTGCAACCCCTCTAAGACCAGTTGCACCCCGCTATCCAGATCAGCTGGCTCCCCCGCCCACAGCACCTACATCTTGCCTGGATTGGGTTTCAGTTTGCTTGCCCTCCTCTATTCCACAACCACCTCCAGATGCCTGTTCCACAGCTTCCCTGGGATTCTCAGGTGAGCAAGGGACCTTTCTGTGGTGCACATTCTTCCTGTTTATGGGACACCATGTAAGATCTGGAAGGAGTAATTCAGCAGCATTTTTGTCCTGCCACTGGAGACAACAGCAAGGATGGTGTCTGTTCTTTGATGCTTTGTGGACACCTGCTTTATTTAAAGTTGTCTTCTGCTACTCAGTGTGGCGGGTGCGTGAAGCGGGTGAAAAGTGATTAGACAGCATGTACATGTCATGTCAGAGAGCCTGCTTTACAAGGAAAATAAAAGCAAGCATTTAACAGGGGAATTAGAAAGATGAGCTAACGCACATTCTATACGGAGGGCCTATATGAACGCAGGCAGCTGATAAGTGCTTTGTGCAGCAAACACGCTTTGCAAGTGCTAAACGGATTACTTGCATTTATATAGGGTGCTTATGCTTATTATAATGAAGCTGAAATATATACAGATTGCTATCTTAATTCTGCATTTCGCTCCTTCTGCTTCCAAGTGCCTTGCTGCGTATTACAGTCACACCAGAAAATTCCCATAAGGCAGATGAAAAATGTGGGTTTTATACACTGGGCCTGTTTTAAAAGGAAAGGTTCCAAATTAACACCCTTCCCCTCATAGGCTTGGCACTAGTTTGTCTGTGGGCGCTGAGCAAGGAACTTTCCCTCAAACTGGGAGAGGTTCAAGGTGGCTTTTCCCCAGAGACAAGGACTGACAGCAGGGGCTCTGTGTGAAGCCAAGGCAACCAGTGGTGAACAGCTGGAATTGTAAAAGGATGCTAATTAGACTATTATATTGCAAATGCAAACAGTTCCATTGCTCAGCTTGGAGGAGAGTGGTATCCAGGGTCTTGTGGGCTCTCTTCCTTCTTCTCTTCTGGTGGCATTTCACATATCTGGACTGTCAGAGGCATCTTCCTCCACCTTTTCTCTAGCATCAGTAGGTGTTTCTTCCGCTCAGCATGGTCCATTGTTTCCAGATTCATCTTCCCAGAGATCCACAACAGGATTCAATGTCCCCTTTCATGTGCTGGCAAACAACTGAGTTCCCTCTCTCCCCTTCTTTTCCTCCATCGCCATCACCCTTATCATTTATGCAGTGCATTTCAAGTTTTCAAAGCATCTCACCATCCTGTATAGATTGATATAGACAGAGAAATATAGATTGATTAACTGCACTTTCATAAGTAACATCACAAGGCGGTATATGGAATAAAAACACAGCATCGCAGTCAAGAACACTGCCAAACACATCAGTAAGAGCTAGTTGGCAAAGAATCTCAGGCTTGAAAGGCCTGTCTGGATCATTAAGCTTTCAGAAGACGTCTGGAAATGAGTAGGGATGACTCCTGCTGCTGCCCAACCTCTAGTGGCAAGAAGTTCCACAGGACAGGGCCTACCACACCAAAGACGTAGACCCCTAGAAAGGTTAGCCAAATGTCAGTGACATGGAGGAGCACCAAAGGTTGCCCTCAGAAGACCTCAGTGTTCAAGGTGAAGCATTAGGAGTATATTATCATGGTGATGCTTATGCCACCCTTGTAAAGTAGACCAGCAGCCTAAAAGTCCAGCATCTTGTTCTCGCAGTGGCCAACCAGATGCCTGCAGAACCTGAGCACAACAGCACTCTGCCCTCATGCAACTCCCAGCAATTGTTCTACATCCCCTTCTGCAAAGGTGGAGCTAAAGTGGAGAAAATAGCAACCTAACTACAGTCTGCCTAACTGTATGGAAAATGGCCAAAATATTTTAAATCTGCTCCCCCTCAGCTCCACCCCCAAATTATTTTTATTACTGCTTGGTAGCAGGGCTGCCTGGAGGCCACTGCATGTGAACAAGGATTTTGTAAGAATGTGGGAACTGGCAGTCCGTAATCACTGCCCACTCCAAGTCGTCATTCCCAAGTACTGTAAGCATGACCCAAGGCTCCTCCTGGAACTAACATGAAGGGCTTCTGCTCTCCGGTTTGTTCTTTTTTACAAGAGCCATCTGTGAGCACCATGCAGTGCCCCTATGAAGACACCTTCTTGCGACCCCTGAACCCAGCCCCTCCCAGCGCCAGGCCATTGTAAGGACTTGCTGGCCTTCACTCACAGTTCCAGAGCTAAGAAGAACAGAAGGATATATAAGCCCACTTGGCAACTCTGACCGGCTGAACTGGGACTGTTATGGGGCCCATGAAATGCTCACTGTGCCTTTGTAAGAAATTCACCTTTTAGTGCAGCACTGTCCACACTTTGGAACTCCCTGCCAATTGACATTCCCGGTCCGCTTTTTGACACATATTCTAAACCCCTGTTTTGTTTAGGGAAGCCTATCCAGACCTGTAGAACGTTGGCCTGTGTTTCAATCTGGGATTTTCTTTTAGCTTATCTGATAATGCACTATAGTGTAATTATACAGAATGAAAGTGAAGTCACTGAAGAAAGGAGATCGGGAGGGGGGGGAGGAGGGGAGGAAATAACTTGCGGACCCAATCAATTATTAAGCTTAAAACAGCAGCTTTTTTCTGCCACTCTGGGAGAAGTGCAGAAGAACCACCTTGTGAAAGCCGATTTGTGTCCCAGGAGAGGGAGGGGGGGTTGAAACCGTCAGTCAGGCTGTCAGTTTCAACAATGCTCTCTCTGCTTATTCCTTTGACGTGGACATGGCAAGGGGCCAAAAAGGGACTGGATTTGCTTGCTACTCACTGCTCTTTCACCCAGAAGGGCTTGCAAAGGATCCTCTCACCTCCAGCTTGCACATACACATCCCTCCAGCCAGCTATATCTCAACTGTTGTAACCTAGGAATAAATGCTCGTATTCTTTTTTATTGTGATCTATTGTTAGCTGCCTTGATGCAGGGCCCAAGCACACATATTGTGTGCATATGGGCTTTTCTTTATTTAACTATGCTTGTGTGGCTGTGTGTGTGTGTGTTCATAAATATTCAGCTGGACATTTCCTGCACCTGATCAAGTAGACCCTTGTCTACAGGTGGTTATGCTACAATAAATGTGTTAAATGTTAAGGGGCCACAACCTATTTTTTAATTCTTAAAAATCAAGATACAACCCCACAGGTAGAGCTGTAAATAAACCTTGATTTTACACTACTTACCTTTCTCCAGAGAACCTTGGGGATTTCATTGAAGGTGCTAAGAATCCTTTGCTACAGGGGTAGCCAATATGGTACCATGTTCTGGGCTCCAACTCCCATCAGTCCCAGCCAGCATGGCCAACAGTTAGGTAGGGTTGCCATGTGTCCTCTTTTTCCAGGACATGTCCTCTTTTTCAGGGGTAAAATCTGAGACAAATTGCATTTGTTTGCTTTGAATGGCAGTTACAGCATCCCCTTTTTTGCTCTTCAAAATATGGCGACCCTACAGTTAGGTATGATGGGAGTTCAAAGCACCTGTAAGGTGCCACTTTAGTTACACCCTCCTTGCTCCTCACAGAACTACAATTCCCAGAGTTCTTTGAGAAGCAGTTCTTTAAGTCACAGCAGCGCAATCAGCCACTACAGAGGAACACATTAAGGCAACATGTGCTAAGAGAATGGTGTCAATACTTGGGTGGAGCGAGGAAATGACTGCTCATCCTGCCTTCATGTTTTGGCATTGCAGTTGGCACATTCTGGCAGAATCTCACCACCACTCTGGCATTTGAGCATTGATTCATACGAGTGAAATAACTGCTGCGATGGCCTGGGCTGGTTCCCAAGAGTTCCAGTTCCCAGGCACTGGTGCTGCAGAGCTAAAGGATCCAGACAAGGCCGCTGGGTGGTGCTGGTGCTGGTGGTGTGTGGATCATGGAACGAGCTGGAGAAAACCCTCTGACCCCCGGTGTTGCCTTTTCTGTCCCCCTTGATCTCTCACAGGACATCCCACTCCAGGGCAAAGGCAGACGCAGCTGTGACGGCGGCGCAGAAGGCGCAGGAGGAGGCTCGGATTGCCAGGATCACTGCCAAAGAGTTTTCGCCTTCCTTCCAGCACAGGGAGAACGGTCAGTGACTTCATCCTCTCATCCCTGAGCGCTGCAAGCGCAGCTGTGTGCCTGGGAAAGAAGCAAGCCATCCCTTGCAGGAATTCTCCTGAGTCAGTGTCAGAGAGCAGGCCTCTCTTTGGCACTCTTGCTTGCTCGCCTGCTGAGCCAGGGCTTCTGCTCCATCTCCTTCGGACTCCCTGAGCCGCCATTTCTTTCCTCTGGGCCACAATTCACAACCACCTTGGTCTTACACAATCAAGATCCTGGTGAAGGGTTGCATCCAGTGCCCGTCCTACTCGGAGTAGACCCATTGAAATTAATGGGCATGAAGGATTTAGGCCCATTCCTTTCAGTGGGTCTGCTTGAGTAGGACTTTGTTGGGTGCAACACTTAGTGCATAAGCCCACACTTACAGACTCTCCAAGCGTCCCTGTTTTCCAGGCACATCCCTGATTTAGAGAAGCTGTCCTGGTTTCTGATTTGATCCAGGAAAGACTCACTTTTCCTTAGGATGTCCCTATTTTCATTGGAGAAATGTTAGAAGGGTATAGAGTTATCTGACCCTTGAGACATCTGAAGGCAATCCTGTATAGGGAAGTATTTTTTTTTAAGTTTAATGTTTTATTATGTTTCTATTTATGTTGGAAGCTGCCCAGAGTGGCTGAGGCAACCCAGTAAGATGTGTGGGGTATAAATAGTAAAATTATCATTATGGAACATTCCTATTTTCATCGGAGAAATGTTGGAGGGTATGCACTTATCTTTCTTCCGCACTTTAAAGCTCCATGTCTGAGCTCTCTTTACCTCTGAATCAGAGCAAACAGCAATCCATGGGAATCTTGAATTGTTCTTTGTTGCGCTTCAGCTTTAAAGAGCGGGCTTTTGCTGTGAAAGCTCTGAGGTGAAAAAATAGAGCGCAGACATGGAGCTTTAAAGTGCAGACCTGTGCCTGAAAGGCACAGGGGGAAAGGTAAGTGTGGATCAGCCCATATCCTCCAACATCCTAGGGATCCTAGTGCTGCCTCTGGCTGCTGCCCAGCTGGAGTTTACTCATGGCAGGGCCTTCTTGGTGGTGGTTCCCCATTTGTGGAATGGCCTTCCTGGTGAGGTGCATCTATCTCCCCCATTACTGACTTTCAGGAGAAATCCAAAAACATTTCCCCAGGCATTTGATGGCCAATAGATACTGGCCATAACAACCATGAAATGTGTATCTGTGAGGATATGCCATTGCTTCTAAATGTTTTTTCTGTGTTTTAAATCCTTTTAGATAGATTTGAATCTCTTTTTATTTTATTTTAAATTGGCCTGTTTTAGCATTTTGATGTTTGCTGCCCTGGGCTCCTTTGGAAGGGAAAGCAGGCTATAGATTTAATAAATAAAATAAATTTCTGACATCAGATGTGGAGCAGAGGAAGATGCAGCTCCCTGTTGAAAGTGGGGCTTGTGGGCAGCTCATGAAACCTTCTGCCTTTTGCCCAAGTGGTTTTATTTCAAATCGTGCAGGTAAAGGGAAATGAATCACCTGATCTTTTTGTGCTCTCAGGTGATTGACAGGTGGGTGGCCAGGTCAAAGTTTGCCTGTGGGAGGTGGGAAAGGTAAGGCTCTGACCTGCCAGCCAGGTCTGGATGCCCACCCTTGTCTCAGTACAAAACATACCCATATCCCTGTAGAAACGCAATCCATCAAGGTGTGCTTGCTTTCACAGATAGCTCAACTTGGGACCAAGCTGTTGTTTTTGGTATTATTGCTGCGGCTGCCACTACCGCATATACACATTTTCTGAAGACAAATCACACAAAACAATCCAGTAGCAGGGCATTGGACCAGATGACCCTTGTGGTCCTTTCCTACTCTATAATTCGATGAAAGGGCTGGATAAAATTAAAAGCATAGAAAGCAATCAATTAAATCACAAACAAAAAGGCAGCCTAAGAATCTAATAACATTTCAAAGTGGCACACACTTAAAAACGCAACCTAAAAGCCTGTTGAAAATAGTAAGGTCTTTAAAAGAAGCCTAAAAACCAGCAAAGAAGGAAGCCAGGGGACTGTAACTTTGGGACCACCACTGAAGTGGCCTTGTCGCTTTTACCCCTTAACCCAAACAACCCCATCAAAACAATTCAGACAGCAAATGTGGCGATGGGACAAAATAGAAGCAAACACAGAACGTTGCATTTGGTGTTGCTGCTGGTTCTATCCCACGGGAAGGGCTGTGGATCTGTGGAAGAGCACCTGCTTTGCATGGAGATGGTCCCAGTCCAACACCCGGCAACTTCAGGCAGGGCTGGGAGAAAACCCTTGCAGAACTGCTGCTGTCAGTCAGTGCACACAATACTGAGTTAGGTGGCCTAAGGTTCCGTCTCATGATATGGCAGCTGCTTCCTATGTTCCTGTCTACCAGTATGGTGCTTCCCCACCTCTCCCCGCTCTCTCCTCATTCATTACCAAACCATCACACAAGAAAAGGCACCACCGATGAAGATGACGCAAAGAGACACAGACAGACACCGCTCCCCGCATCTTTTTCATTACATTACATGGGAGAGCAGGCCTGTGCTTTTGCTCTGTGTAACACTGTGCAGTGCCAGAAGCAGAAAAACAGTACCTTCCTGCTCAGCCAGCAACACTTTAGGAGGAGGGCTGGCTCCATTTACAAGCAGAGTTGAAAGCATCCAGTGCCCTTCAGGGCCTATAGCGCTGTGTGATGTTCTGTGCAAAATTTTGCCTGCTGGGGTAAGGAATTTGTCAGGGTTATTATAAAAATTAAATTGGAGGTTGCCTTGTGACCATGAGATTTTAGGGGTAGCCCTTTGATGATGATGATGATGATGATGATGATAACAATAATATATTATTTATACCCCTCCCATCTGGCTGGGTTTCCCCAGCCACTCTGGGCGGCTCCCAACAGAATATTAAAAACACAATAAAACATCAAACATTAAAAACTTTCCTAAACATGGCTGCCTTCATATGTCTTCTAAAAGTCAGATAGTTGTTTATCTCCTTGACATCTGATGGGAGGGCATTCCACAGGGCAGGCGCCACTACCAAGAAGGCCCTCTGCCTGGTTCCCTGTAACCTCACTTCTCTCAGCGAGGGAACCGCCAGAAGGCCCTTGGAGCTGGACCTCAGTGTCCGGACTGAACAATGGGGGTGGAGATGCTCCTTCATGTATACTGGGACAAGACCGTCACATGGGCACCCTGGAGATTCTTCCTCTGTGCTCCCTACCACTACTGAGCCCTGGTAATGGAGGTTAATTAGGAAGTAGGGGGGAGGTCCGTTCAATAATTTGCAGCTGGCTCCTACAGGGGTTAAGCTTGCAAGCTGCATACACAGTCTTCTTCTTCTTCTTCTTCTTCTTCATCATCATCTTCATCTTCATCTTCATCTTCATCTTCTAAAGGTGGTCTTTCCCACCTGGATATTCAAACTCTCCCTTTGCTACCTGGAGGGGACCAGACAAAGTTGGAGACTTCAGGTCAGCCCTGGAGGTCTGGTTGCCCGTCATGTGATTATTCTTGAGAAGAGCAGGTAAAGGTAAAGGTAAAGGGAACCCTGACAGTTAAGTCCAGTCGCGAACAACTCTGGGGTTGCAGCCCTCATCTTGCTTTACAGGCCGAGGGAGCCAGCGTTTGTCTGCTTCTGCAGACAGTTTTTCTGGGTCATGTGGCCAGCATGACTAAGTCGCTTCTGGCGAAACCAGAGCAGCACACAGAAACGGTGTTTACCTTCCCGCTGGAGTGGGACTGCATGCTTGCACTGCATGCTTTCAAACTGCTAGGTTGGCAGGAGCTGGGACCGAATAACTGGATGTGGAGGAGCCACCCCAGATTTTAATGCACAAGGGTTTGGCTTGGCTGCGTGTGTCTTTCTGTGTAGGGCAAAGGACAGGAGGGATGGGAGAAGAGATATAAGTCTAAGATGCAGTCATTAAACAGCACATTAATTAATGTGTGTTCATGTCAAGGCACCCAGTTCCAGTGCTCTGCACCCTCATTAGAAGTCTTTTGCTAACATTTTTTTTAAAAAAAGAGAGATTTAAATTGGAGGTTACTCATCGCCCTTATATTAGGGTATTGAGAATTTGACAAGTGATGATTCACTTTGCTAGCTTCTTGTCCTTTTTCAGAGCTCATTCCCACTTCCCCCACCCCCTCTCAGTAGCAGTGACTTAGGAAGGCTACCCTGCCAGTCCTGTAAATTATCTGACCCATGGGGAAATCTCAGCTGACGGCTTCTGTTTTTCCTACTTCTGCTTAGAGAACGGCCATAACTCAGTATAGTAGAGCGTATGCTTTGCATTCAAAAGATCTCCTGTTCAATCTCCAGACATCTCCAGGCAGAAAATACTGCCTGAAACTGCCCAGTCTGTGTTGACAATATAGAGCTAGATAGACTAGTGATCTGATTCATGTTTATAGGTTCCTCTGGTGGGCAGAAAATCAGGGTTCCCCTCACTCCCTTTGCAAAAATGGCCTGCAGTCTTCCCCCCTCCCGAAAGTGAGTTCATGAAGGTTCCACCATTTAATCATCTCATTAAGAAAAATAATCAAAATCTGATGGCTGGCCTGTTATGAGCCAGAGGGCTCAGACCCGGGGGATAACTGTTCTATAGTTTATTTATCCATTTCCCGCTTTAGCACATGTCTGTTCAAAGTGCTTCCTTGCACTCTGTACAGGCACGCTGGCAATGATGAGGGGCTGTGGTGGGTGTTTCCATGGCTGCTCCTGTCCACCAGTGCCTCAAAGGACACTGAGTTTCTCGGTTTTTAAAAGAAGTCTCAGTACCACAAATGCACACTGCAAATATGGTATGAATACTTATGGAATTCAATTCCACAAGATGTGATAATGGCTGACACTGAGCCCTGGCTTTTTCAACCATGGCCCTGAGAAGATGTTTATGTCGTCTTCCTCCATTTATTCCACAAGTCAGCTAGCAAATCCGGCAAGGGGAACAAGCCTGTCTTTGGAGGATAGGCCGTTCTGACATCAACATCCCTCCGGGGTTATCGCTTCCACACAGAACTACAATCTGGGTATCAGAGATCTGAGCGCTTTAGCAGGCCTCTCTGAGCCCCAGAGGCCTCCTGCAACCCCGAGCTGTTTGCTATCTACCTCTCCAGTTGCCAGGGGACTTCTTCTCTTTAAACATAATCTCTCAAAAAGACTTTTTATCTAATACATTTTTTATCAGCTTCCAGACTAGGCTGCAGAATTCTGTTTGCAATGGAGTTTGTTTCTGATGCACTTAGGAGGGATTTTAATACACATCCCACTATTGCATGCATTTACAAAAAATGCAAACACGCCAAGCGGAGAGGATCTTGCTCAGGAAGAAATTGAGTAGATAAAAACTGGAGCCCTTCTTGCATTATCTGCCCCAAGCCCTTAGGCTGCAAACTTCAGCAAATCGATAACAAAATGGAAAGGAGCTACATACGGTTATACCTGCATATATCCAATTGATATTAGTGGGGCTTATCTGAACACAAGATTAGAGGGAGAGAGAGGGAAATGAGGACTTAACTGGAAATGCTGGTGCTGGTGTTTCAAAATATGAGGAACTGTATTGCCTTTGTGTCAGTGAAGCCTTTGATTCTCACCAGGGAGTGATGCTGCACTGGGGTGATCTCACAGAATGTCCACAAACATTCCAAATGGTCAGGGAGCGAAGCTGTTAGAATGTTTGCTGACAGACGGAAAAGCTGAAGAAGTGGGTTGAATTTTCCATGTGGATCTGCGCTAACAAGCCAGCTCTTTGGCAACAGGGTGCTAATATTGTTGACTACAGTAACTGCTTGCCTGCAGAACCTGCAGGAAAGGATAATAACCTCCATGGTAGCACTTGCACAAAATTCAGGTCTTGATTGGTGTTGCTGAGGCTTGATTCATGTGTAAGTCTCCCTGCAATCCTCGGATGAAGAGCAGCATAATAAATAAAATGTGCAGGTGGTCATATGGGTGGCCAATAGCAATGCGGTGTTACTTCCATGTGGCTAGTTGCACTAGCAGTGTGCAATTAGTGTGGCCATGCAGTTGTACTGGATGGGTCTGAGCAAGACCCAAGAGAGGCGGTAAAGTTGGCGTGAAAGGCAAAGTATGATCTCTTGTGCAGTGTGAGGTATGTTCCAGCAATTCATTTCTGGGAATTTTGGGCCATATGTTTCTCCCTTAAATACCAGAGAGTGTGCCTAAGGCCCTGAGAGAGCTGAGAGAGCCAGAGTGGCGTAGCAGTTAGAGTGTCAGACAAATGCCTCGGAGATCTGAGTTCAAATCCCTACTTCACCATGAAGCTCACTGGGGGATCTGGGTCAATTCCTGTTTCTTAGTGTAACTTACTTTGCAGGGGTTTGTGAGGATAAAATGGGGAGAGGAAGGGCTATGTATGCCCCCTTGAGCTCCTTGGAGGAAACGTGGGATATAATTGTAATAACAAAACAAATAAGCAATGGCTGACTCTTGTGTGCACCTTTTCTCCGTCTCCTTCCAGGACTTGAGTGTCAGAGGCCAAAGAGGCAGAATTCAAGCGACGACATCGAGGTCCTTTCGACAGGGACACCGCTCCAGCAAGAAAGCCCAGAGCTCTACAGGAAAGGAACGACGCCTTCGGACCTCACCCCCGACGACAGCCCCCTGCAGAGCTTTCCCGCCAGCCCCTCCTCCACCCCACCTCTGGGTCCCTCCTGTAGAAACAAGAGCACCCACTTCTCCAGGCAGGTGTGCATGGACGAAGAGAGGGGCGGGGAGATCCAAATGTTGCTGGAGGGACGTGGCAGGGACTATATGAGGCCCAACAGCTGGGGCGAAGACAAGGAGGGCAGGGCACACGGCGTGAGGGGCGGGGCCTTGCGCAGTGGCCAGCCGGGCTCCTCCGAAGACTACCGGGGCCGAAGCGGCGGGCACAAGCACGCGGCCTCCAACCACAAACAGCGGGAGAGGTGGACAGACCCCCCGGCCACGGTTTCATGGACTCACCACCGACCCCACCACCACGGCTCAGGGAGCAACAAGCTCCTGGAGCTGGACGAGGAGAAGCTGAGCAACTACGAGATGGAGATGAAGCCTCTCATGAGGATGGATTCTTATATGCAAGAAATACACTCCCAAAAAAGACATTATAGCAAAATGGGCCCCAGCAGGAGCCTCGCGGAGGACCACCACGGGGAAGACCGGGGCTTTGGAGTCCAAAGACTGAGGTCTAAGTCCCAAAACAAGGAGAACTTCAGGCCAGGGCCTTCTGCCGAGCCAACAGTGCAGAAACTAGAAAGTCTGAGGTTTGGGGACAAGGGGGAACCCCGGCTATTGAGGTGGGACTTAACCTGCTCCCCACCACAGAAATCCTTACCTGTTGCACTAGAATCGGAGGAGGAGAATGGGGATGAGCTCAAATCCGGTGCGGTAAGTGGAATATTTAAATAGATATGTATATTGTGTAAGTGTGATCTCTTCAGTGGGGGAAATGGGCAACATGGTGGTTGTTGAGTGTATTTACACCCCGCTTTCCCCCCAAACTGGAATTCAAGGTAGCTCACATTTTAACAACATTATTGCAGAATGCAAAGTAATAAAAACAAACTAGTTGAAAACTAGTTGAAAAAAATAGGGACGCGGGTGGCGCTGTGGTCTAAACCACTGAGCCTCTTGGGCTTGCCGATCAGAAGGTCGGCGGTTCGAATCCCCATGACAGGGTGAGCTCCTGTTGCTCGGTCCCAGCTCCTGCCAACCTAGCAGTTTGAAAGCATGCCAAAAATGCAAGTAAATAAATAGGTACCACTACTGGGGGAAGGTAAACGACGTTTCTGTGCGCTGCTCTGGTTTCGCCAAAAGCGGCTTAGTCATGCTGGCCACATGACCCGGAAAAACTGTCTGTGGACAAACGCTGGCTCTTTCAGCCAGTAAAGCGAGATGAGCATCGCAACCCCAAAGTCATTTGTGACTGGACTTAACTGTCAGGGGTCCTTTACCTTTACTTTTAGTTGAAAACGGAATGGAACACATTTAGAACCAGCATTAAAATACCAGATGTCCTGAAAACAGCCCAGAAATCAACATCTAGTCCACAGCTAGTTCCCAAAGGCCTGTCTAAATAGGAAGGTCTTTCCTTGTGGAAAGATAGCAAGGAGGGAGCCAGTCTAACCTCTCTTGAGAAGGGATTCCACAATACAAAAGCAGCCACAGAAAGGCTCTCTCTCCTGTCACCACCAACCATGTCTCCGATGTGGATGAGACTGAGAGAAGGTGCTCCTGTCTGCAGAACCTGCTTTCAACTCCCCTTGCCTTTTCAACTTCAGGCGTCTGGCTCAAGCTTCTTAATCCCTTTGGCATGGTGCTAATAACACCAAGGTTGCAGGTTCAGTTTCCGTATGGGACAATTACATATTCCTTTATTGCAGGGGGTTGGACTAGCTGATCCTCAGCGTCCCTTCCAGCTCTACATTTCTATGATTCTGTGATCTCAGCACCTGAGCAGGTTCTGAAAGGGAGATACAATATTTCAGGTAGCTTCGTCCCATGCAATATAGGGCTTAATTGGTGCTAACCAGCACTTTGAAAAGTGCCTGGAAACGAACTGTAGCCAGTGAAGTTGTTATAACAGGGGGGTAAAGCGATAGATTATGCATATTACAGGGGAGCAACATGGTGGGTGATGTCTCTAGTTGTTAGGTGTAACAAGCAGAGGCTCACAAAAATTTAAGGACAGATTTATTTCCCACACGTGTGCAGAGTACTCAGCCATTTACGCATCTAGTGAGTGTGTGTGCACGCACACGCACACATTCTCTGCACTTAATTAAAAAAAACAACAACTGGAGACCAGGACTGCATTTTTGAGGCTAGTACAACGAATGGATGCTTCTGTCTTGTGCCAGGATAATTTTGACACACTGAATCAAAATTTCCCACTCAACTTTCCACCCACTGAGGTTGCTTCCAGATGGGTGGCTCCTAGGGCTACTTAGTCGCCACCCTTCTGTTAATAAGCTACGAGCAAATTGCAGCTGACTTCCCACACTATGGGGAGTATTGCGCTTCCTCTGTGTGAACATCTTGTTGTGTTCTGTCCGCTGCAGTGAGGTGTGATATGGCTGATATGGGTGGTGCTGGTTGCAGCTCAGCACAAATTCCCTCTATCCGTTGGGGTGGGTGCTGCTTTATTATCCTGCTTTAATCAATCTTTTAAAAGGTAAAAACACTGCTCTGCCTTTAAGGAAAAAAAGGATAGAGAGGTCTAGCGCTATAGCACCGCAATGCTACGAAGCTGTAGCATTATGGTGTAATACACACACACACCCTCTAAAGTTGCTAAAGTGATAAATAAGTTTTAGCAGTAATTAAAAGATAAGTAAAACCAAAAATAGGCCATCAGCACAAATATTATAACAAATGTGTACTGGGCTGATGCAGTCACTTTGCTTACACACCACTGCCTATGTCAGAACCCCACCAAAAAAATGGGACACTAGCCCTAAGGGTATCTGCACCTATGGAGGCTTACAATACTCTTTCATTTTTTTCTGAAAAGAAATCAAACTTTCTGCAGTCTACAGCCACATTTAAAGCACATTTAAAACACCCCCAAAATCCTGGGTGCTGTGGTTCACTATGGCTGCTGGGAGTGATAGTTCTATGAAGGGTCAACTACAGTATCCAGGGGAGCAGTGGGGGATGTGTTTTTAATGCATGACATGTGCACAGTCTGAGAAACTATGGTGGGATGCCAGCAAACATACAGAATGTCAATTATTGGACGATGGTGTTATGTGGATAGCCTTGTAAAACGAAGCTTGTCAACGAAGCTCAGCAACCCCACACTGAATATCTGGTGTGGAAGACGCCGCAGGCAGCTTGTAGCATAGATGTGCTGTTGTTCTGCAGTATCCAACAGTACTTTAAAGTAGGCTGTCTTTCAAAACAAACAGAACTCTTGATTAGATTACAGTGGTACCTCGGGTTACATACGCTTCAGGTTACATATGCTTCAGGTTACAGACTCCGCTAACCCAGAAATAGTACCTCGGGTTAAGAACCTTTGCTTCAGGATGAGAACAGAAATCGTGCTCCGGTGGCAGCGGGAGGCCCCATTAGCTAAAGTGGTACCTCAGGTTAAGAACAGTTTCAGGTTAAGAATCGACCTCCAGAACGAATTAAGTTCTTAACCCGTGGTACCACTGTAATCTCTTTCTGTTTGTGCATGTATTTTAAAAAGGAGGGTGCTGTTACCACAAAGGAACACAGGTCTATTTTTGACCCATCCAGAATAACTCCAAGCAGATCTGAGGTCAGGTATGTGGGGCAGTGTGTTCTAAAAATAACCCACTGCCAGACAGCCCCATCATAAGCTGAATTCTGTCTCGTCACCAGTTTCCTTTGTGTACTGGGTTACTCCTCCCTGACATGCATCCTGGAGTGGCAAATAGGCCTGATCTGCAGTCTCATTTGCACTTCAATTCTGCAAGTGGTGCAAGAAGTTCTAGGAGTGGCATGGCAGGGTTGAGTTTCCTTGGGATGAGAGAACACTGGTGACTTCAGGCATACTCACAATGTTTGCTGTATTTGCAAATATGTGTGTACAAGCAAATCCTAAGTGCAGTTGAAAAGGCCGGTTCTGCTAAGCACAATTTGGGCAGCCCTCCAAACTGAAATCCCAGTTTCATCTAACTCCAGCTGGAAAAACTCAGCTCTCTTTCGCATCCAAAACCAGCCAAATTACCCCATCTCTCTCTCTCTCTCTCTCTCTCTTGCGCGCGCGCACACACACACACACACCTTTGACTGTTAGCTGGAGGAATAGCACCTTCCCCACATCCTGGGGTAGGTGCAGGCAACGGGGCTTGTATTATTTCCAGGTCATCGTGCATGATGACGGAGCATGCATACGCCCTCCCTACCCCATTCTGCCCCATTACGTGCCCCACCCATGTTACGCCCCATTCTGCCTCCTTTTCCTGCCACTTCTGGGTCACTGCAATGCACGTGGTTGCAGTTGTGGTCTCGTGTCAATTGGACGCATGTCAATTGGTTGTTGTCTGTTTACCATTCAGAAATACATAGAGGTTCCCCTCAGTGATCAGGAGACAATCTCCTAACCTTTAGCTCCCATGATGTGGCCTTAACTGAGCCTTCTGGCCTATTAAAAAGCACTTTGCCTAACAATGGAATGGTCAGCCAGCATCCTTAAGAATGGATGGTGCTTCTTGTAGCTACTTCATAAGGACATCAGGAGAGCCTGCTGGATCAGGCCAAGGCATCCTGTTTTTCTGTCCAGTGTCCTGTTTTCACAATGGGTTTCCCACTGGCATTTGGTTGGCCACTGCTACCTCCCATGGTCTCCAGCAACTGGTGTTTTGAACCATTGCTGCCTCCAGCTGTGGAGGCAGAGCATGGTCATCATGACTAGTAGCGGCTGCTACCCTTCTCCTCCATGAATTTGTCCAATCCTCTTTTAAATCCATCTCAGCTGGTGGCCACTGCTGCCTCCTACAAGAGGCCCCGGGGGTGCAAAACCTCTCAGAGAAAGACAGGGAGAGCTGGCGATTGCCAAGGGTGCAAGGGATGTGAGGGTGGCGATACATCTCCTTGCCAGGAGTGCAAGTGAGCCTAAGTATGCCTCTGGGAGTGAGTTCTGTAGTTTATGTGCTGTGAGGCAGCGGTGTATGATGTGAAGAAACTTTGTGTGTGGTCAGTGGATTGTGGCTTGAGAGGCAGATGTTGGCACAGAGAGCCACCTGAGCCGTGTGATGTCTGTATTTTATATGTTCCTAGAATAGCCTGGAAAGCAGCCAGAGGGAGGGAAGGGCTTGTGCTACTCAGGGAATGACCTTGTTCAGGACCATGATGGGACCTGAGCTCTTCTTCCTTTTCGGTCCAAAGTTCTTCCTATCACTTATAACAGGTGAGGGATGACAGTCTGCTTCTGGAATAAGGAGTGGAGAGGGGGAAGATAAATTGATGCTCCCAGACTCTTGTCAGTGAACAAACTGAAGACCAGACACAACACTGATTTCCATCTAATCATTGCCAGGCAGCCTCCTCTTTTATAAAACTACATATATAAAACTGCCTGCAGCAGCTGGAATAATGTTACTCCTTAGCAGTGTCCTTGTCACAACTCTTTTGATCTGAGAAGGCTTTTGATATAGTTGAAGCGTTTGCCCTCATTTACCTTGTGTCTGTCACCACCAACAATTAGCTTTACATTTCCCCAAGTAAATTTTTAATAAACTCAAAACTCTTGAGCATTTCTGAAGGCAACTGAACAGGGTTATTCTGTGCAAATGAAGCTGGCCTTGGAAATTCTGGGAATAATATGAACATTCCTTTCCTCAGATCCCAAGTCTGAGTGGGAGATAATTTGGCTCACTCAAGGAGTGGGAAGCAGTTTCCATTCCCTCCCAGTTTCTAGGGTTTTGTTTTTGCTTGCTTGCTTTTACATTTAGATACTATAAATCTGTATCTTGCTGAGGCCGTTCACAGATTGGCCTTCTAAGTACAATACTGCTTCAAAAATTCACTACCAATAAAAACACTAAAAGCCCAGTTGCAAAGTCAAGAACATTGATAGTCCTGTTAAGCACATTGGTTGACCACTGCATGTCATATCAGACAGAGGGCCTAACCTATCTGCACTACAAAAATACCAGTTTATACCATGAATGCCTTCCCTCATAGAAGCCAGAGTACTGTAGGCTCATTGAACTTTAGTTCCCAGGATCCTCTGGGGTGAAAGAATGTTAAACTGGCTTAGTCTGTAGTGCAGATTCACTAAAAAAACAAGTGGTGGGCCTTGTCACGAGGCTCCTTTTCTAGGGTAACTCACCTTTGGTGCTAGTACTGGCTGTGTAAATCTGTAATTTTTAGTAATAAGAGTTATGTTATGTTCTATAGCATGGTGCTGTTTTGAGAAATGTGTCAGCCTTACACCAAGGAACATCAGCTCTGTATGATTGCCTTTTCAAAACATAAGCTAGAAATGTTTGAAAGGAAGAGTAGGGATGGAGGGATAGAGAGGAAGTGTCAACACAGCATCTCCCGATGGGATTTTTTTTCCCTGCACAGTTTTCAGTTTATTTTGTCCTGGTTTGACTTTCTCAGCCCTCCCCCACTATTCTTAAGTATGGACACTGTTGTTGGGCGGTGGGGTGTTTTAGAAAGGGGAAGGTACCCAAAATATCAAATATGACAACTTGACCTTTGACATTATTGCCTTTCCATTCTGCTGACAAGTTGTGAGTTTTAAAAAGTTGTCCACAGAGTGAAATATCAAAAGTGGCATTTGAAAATGCTCAAAAGCCAAACAAGTCAACTCTGGGTTCTGAACGTGTTTTTGCTGCCGTTCAGGTGAGCCTTACGAAATGTCACTTGAGTTATTGTGGGTGGAAGGGGCCTCTTGCCAGCCTGGGGGCAGGAGAGGGCTTTCCCTGGGATGGGGCACTTCCCTCCCCCTGCAGCACAGGGAGGGCAGGCGCAGGGGTTGGGGGTGTGGTGCCAAGAGCCGCCCAATGAGAAACCCAGACATAAAAGTTCAACTGCTGGGCTTACTGGCAGAGCTCAAGAAAAAAGCCTCAGGGGCGGAGGGAGCGAAGGCGGAGGCAATCGCAAAGCTTTTTATCAGATTAGTTATGAATATTAGGCAGCCTTCCAGACCCCGGCCAAAGCCGCCTGGTGTCTTTCCAAAGGCTGAGCCATTTCCTTTTGGAGCAGTGGCTGCATTTCTCCTGGGGGAGCTAGAAGAGGCAGAGGAGCAGCTAGCGGGAAAGAGAACGACAGGCTGCCATCGGCTGAAACAAGGGGCTCATCCGCTTGTGCCTCCTCACTAGGCACTACTGCCTATTCAGAGTAATGCCACTGTTTTAGTGCTAGGCTTTGCTGTGTAAATCTTTATTTCATATACAGAGGGCCACATCCTCTTTTGAGGACCAGGACCAGAGGGGTGAGAAAGTGGAGCAATTTGTGCAACTCCTACTTTATATTTTTATTCATTTATTAAATTTGTTAGTTGCTTTATCTTGTCAAAGGCAACCCAAATGAACTTACAACCTGTAAAGCAAGCTGCATTCCAGGCATGCAAAACAAACAAGCAAGCAAGCAAGCAAGCAAACAAACAAACAAACACATTAGAGGTTTCCAAACATGCATGCAGGCTCCTCCACCCAGGCAAGCAAGAGGCATTATCCCCATTCAAGGCTATATTCCAGCCTGATAAAAGCACTGAAGGAGGGTGCAGAGCAGCATGGAGAAGGGTGTCACCTGGGAAGAGTCCTGAGGGCCAGATAGTGAATCCTGAGGGCCAGCATTTGACCACTAGGCTTGAAGCTCCCCACCCATCACACCCTCTTCTAACAACCCAGTCATATTGCTGAAGGCTCCAATCTTCCCCTACAACCCTTCCCTTGGTAATAGCCTTCCTACCCTACCCTGTTTCAGAAAGCAAGACAGTATTTGCTTTATAATCTGATGACAGCCATTCAAAATAAGCTTCCCTGAAGCAGAAGTGTGTGCATGCAAGTGCGTTTACATACAATGCAGTTTATAGAGACAAGACACCTCCAACCTTCCGTTCCCACTCTCAGGTGGAGATTTTAACTTCTAGAAATCCTGGAGAGGAAGTTCAACCATGAAGCATGACTGGCCCTAGCAAAATTTCATAGGCAGCATTTTAACAAGGCAATTGCCCAAAGGCAAAAATCAGCACCATGGAGAGAGACCAGGAAACAAGGTCTGTCCCAGCTAAACAGAGAGAGTTGGAGAGTACATGATTTGTTTCCTGCGAAGCTGTGATGGTTTGATCCACATCTTGTTCAAGGCTCCCCTTTTAGAATTCACTCACTTTTGGTAACTGTCCTGGATTTCAAGACACTAGGATTAGATTAAATTCAAGTGCTTCTGATTTACTGGCTAGAGTGGCCTTGAAAGGGATTTGTTTATAAACCTTCCAAAAGCAAGTACCTGTCTGCTAGGTATATGGGAGGCAGGTGGCAGGGGTGTGAAGAGGAAGAGGTGGGTCATGTGGAACCTCTCCCTTTGATTGGCTAGCTTTCTTTCACCTTGTTGCTATGCAACAGCAAAGGCCTTTTGAAGAGAAAGCTCTTTCCTTTGCCTGTGACAGGACTGGTTGTCTCTCTCTTCCTTGCCAAGAGACACAATGAATCTTCCTCTTGGTGCTGGAGGAGCAGATTATCTCCCCGCTCCTGTCACCAAAGAGTTTTTTAAATGCCTCTGCATAGCAAGGCAAAGACTTTTTAATGTCTTCTGTATCCTTAGATGCACAAGCACCCAACTGCACCCAGAATAAGTGTCCTTTGTGTTTGCTATTGAAAACAAACAAGACATTATAAATAATCCTGCAATTTTAGAAGTTGACAGATCTTGGTCCATGGACTGCTTCTATCTGGTCCACAATTGAAGCCAATTAAACTCAGCAATTAAAGTTTGGCTTGGTGAATCCATCTCTAGGCCTGGGATAGGGCACCTGTGGCCTCCAGGTATTGCTGGACTCCATCTCCCATCATTCCTGACCATTAGCCATGTTGGCTGCTGAGAGTGGAGTCCAACTACTTGTGGAAGGCCTCAGATTTTCCATTACTCCAGAGGCCCCAAAGACCCTTGCTCATGAGGATGTTCCACAGGGAAATGGTGACATTTAAGTGTCAGACACACAAGGTCCCTAACTATGCAGCGTTTTGTGGCACATGGGCTAATGAGCATTTACAAATGGCTCCCTCCACATGGAGTGGTACCATGGACAGGAATTGCAAGACAATGAAACCTGCATTTAAGCCTATACTACACCACAGGGCTGGTGTGGGGCAAAAATGCTACTTTTGAGAATGAGGAGGATGAAAACCTCCATCTGGAAAATGTGTGTCTCCTCCTCCCCTGAAGCAAGAGGGGAAACTCTGGTAGGCGACAGTCTGAGAGGTTTACGAGAAGGCGGCAGTACAGGCTGAACTCTGCGCAGACTGGCTCCAGTCTCACACAGTCTGAAAAGCCAAGGGTTTGATGGAATATTAAGATCGGGTCAGTGCCAACTTCAGTCTGTGTTGTTGACAGCCATGCGACGGGTTCAGCTTCTGGCAGCCCAGCTGAAGGTCAGGAGAAGCAGGTGAAAAGGAAAGGCTGCCACAGTGTGTGGACAGGTTAACCTTTGGAGCCACCCACTGTCGCGAAGCAAAGTTTGTGTTGCCAGTTCCTACACATCAGACCAGTCGGCTTCCCTTGCCCCAGTCCCCAAACTGATCATGCAAGTGTTGCTCTTTGATGCCGTTAAATAATTCCTTTCTTCTTTTTCTTTTCCTACAGGGCTCAGCTCCAATCCTGGTAGTCATGGTGATCTTGTTAAACATTGGAGTCGCCATTTTGTTTATTAACTTTTTCATCTAACTCGAGACTGTCTTGTTTGCAAAAATTAACAGATTAATAATAATAAAAAGATGTACGAATGGGGGATGATGAAGCGAATGACAAAAACAAAAAACCATGGGAAAGATGGCATCTTTTTGAACTGTCCTGCGACAACTTCCAAGTCTTTTCACAGATGAACAACAAGATTGAGTATCACTCACAGTTTGCCTTTTTTTCCTGGGTAATGTTTTTTGGATTTTAGCCAAAATTCTTTGCTTGTATAACACGTATGCTGTGTGGCATGGCAGAATGGTACCAGCACTCCACTCCTCCCCAGCGCTAGGCAGGATGGGGGCTCCTCAGTGTAATTACTCAGCAAATCTTCATGGATGGTGGGAAAGGCGTTCATGTCAGCTGCATGACTCTGGGAGGGAGGGTCCTCTCGCTGCTGGATCATAGGGGAAATCCAGAGCTGTGTCCTGGGATAGCCGCGTTGTGTGAAATGGCTGGCCCAGGTCAGCATGGTTATCAAATTATGTGCTCGTCACTCAATAAAAGTCTAAACTCCGGGATCTGCATGTATTGGGAAGTTGAGAGGAAACACCTAAGTAGTTTTTGCCACTTAGCAAAAAGTTATTAACCAATCTTTTTTCCACTTTGTTCAGAAAAGGGAAATCTGAACTGAATGATGCCTGCTTAAGACAGGAACAAATTCCATCCTAATAAAAGTATTTAATATGTTAAAAAGGCAATGGGTCTTAAGCTCTAGAGGCCCCTAAATTCCAAAACGCTCCTCTGAGGATCCCACCCAAAATCATTATTAAGAACTTAAGAAGTCACAATACCAAATTTATAAAAGTTGCACATAGACACATGGAACTGAAAAGATGTCTTGGCTCAGGTAAAATCCTGTACCTATAATTTAGGAAAATTACCAGTCTCACCCAGTGCTTCAGAAACTTCTCAGTCACAAACGTTGTTTCTGGCATGTGTTAAAACTTGACCCAGAAAGATTTTTAAGATGACCAAAGTTCTCCTAGGGTTTGGTTTTTTTGCCCAGCTATCTGCTGGAACCCCAGTCTTCATTGGGTCCAGCCTGCTAGAGGCCACTCTCCTGCTGTGCTGGAATGCAGTGGTGTTAAAGGAGAAACTCTCTTGCTTTCCGTCTTCCATCATGAATCGCAGCCGCACCTGGCTGTTGGCCTCAACTGTTCCCACAAGGTGCGCTTGTCAGGAGGTTTGCTTGAGGACCCTTCCCTGGCAGGTGTGCAGATGTGGCCGAGGGAGAGCAGCTCCTCCCTGCTGCTGGCGAGGAATGGGGTGTGCTGGGGGGTTCCTGTTCCATCTTGCCATGGGCCATTTCCAGATGTCATGCTTGGCCTCTGAGCATGTAATATTTTTGCACTTTGTCCGCAGGATGTATATTCCGGCTTCCGACATATCCCTGTACAAAAAACAAAAACAAAAAAAAATCATTGACAACAGCAGCCTCCGAGTACGTAAATGCTCTTTTTATATTTTGTTTGTTTGTTTTTTCCTCCTCTATGTATCACTTAATTTTGGTATGGTTCAAAACATCTTTGTAAGATGCCTGCCTTGTTCTTCTTTCTTCACTTCCTTGTTTGGTTTGGTTTCTTTTTTCGTTCTCCTTCCCCTGGTAACTCACTGAAAATATGCATTGTTCATTAAAGATGCAGTACCCCTAATCAGGCCACCATCATCCCAAAGAGAGCCTAGTGTTGGCTCAGCCCTGCCTCATGTGGAAGAAAACAGCCCCGGGCTGGTGAGGAGGGAAGGCAACCTGGAAAACAACCCTTTCTTCCTACCAATCAACCTGGACCCGCTGATCCGTTTGACCAGGTTTCACACGTGATGACTTGACTGCCCCTCTCGTCCACTTTGTAGTGATTGGAACCCATTTCTACACTTGGTGTCCTTTAGCTTGAATGCAGGTTTAAGGTGAATCCTGCTTATTTCTGTACCTGGTGCAAAACCTACAAGCTACATGGCGCCATTTCCCTTCCATGTGAGGAGATGTACGGAAACCATAAGTACCTGCACAGAAGCCTGCCTACCTGGGAGAGGGTAGGGTGGACATGACAATGCCCCACATGCCAGTGGGGCACCTTTTCTCCGGGGTTCCACCTTCTGCTTCCAGCTGCAGGGCAGAAGACAACCTAGGACCACTCCTTGGGCCCCCACTGTGGCTCAAAGGGCAGGGTTGGCAACTTAGGGGGTGAAGGGGCAGGTGATTGAGGGACACATTTGGCTGGGGACAGCGCTCCAGTCATCTGGATCCCTCAGCTTCCCATTTCTTCCATTTTAGCAGTCCCTCTGCAACCTTTTGAGCAGGCCTCTTTCCTACACTGTTGGATTGCTACATTTTTAACTGGAAACAAAGATGAAAGATTAGAGCTTCCCCTACCCACCCAACACAATTCACCTCCTCCTTGTCCATTAGCCATTACTGGCCAACTTTTGAAGCTGGATGATACAAGTGGAGGGGATAGCAGCTCCTCTGTTGTTTCTTCAGACGGTTTCACTTACTCTGCTCCCCAAAAATAAAAATAAAAGTTTATGTGCCTATGGTTTCACTCCCACCCTTGTAATCTGAACCACATAAGGGTTGAACGCAGGCAGCCATTTGTGCTTTGGCATTCAAGAAAGAAAAGGAACTAAGCTCTAGAGAACTTTTTCTGTGTTTTAAGAGCCCCAGCCTGGCCCTTTTGGCTCCCTTTCTCCAGGAGAGCTAAAGCACAAGCCCGGATTCCATAAAGGCTTATCCAAACTTCCTATTGTCCCTCTGCTTTCTCCCAGGGAAAACCGCTCTTTAGCACTCAGTCAGAGCACACAGTAATTCAGTAATTGACGTGTGCTCCAATTTAGCACTAAGGAGTGTGTTTAAAACCACTTGGACCCGAACTTTCTAGGCACAGGACAAGTGGAAGTGTGGACGAGCCCTAAGCCACACCATGGCTTGATGCTGGGCAGAAAATTATGGCCCTCTCCTTTTTGGGAGCCTACATGTTTGCACCCAGACATGGTTTGGCTTAGCATTACAAGCGGAGTTATTAATGTCAGGCAGTTTTGCAGACTAAAGCCCACTTTGTCACAAGCATGTAGTTGGCAGGTGCATAGAAAGTCACAAACACACATGTGTGTGTATACTGGCAAACATTTGGACCACACTCCCCCCCCCTTTGATAACTGAAGCCAACACTTCATAGAGCAGATAAAGGAGATTCAAAGGCTCATGCTACCATGAAATGGTTAGGCTTTAAGGTGCCACCGGACTGTTTGGTGTTCCAGGGCAGCCTTTGGCAAACTGGTGCCCTTCAGATGTTGTTGGGCAGCAACTCCCATCAGCCACAGCCAGCATGGCCAATGGAGCGGGATGATGGGCATTGTAGTCCAACAGCATCAGGTTGTTGAAGGCTGTTCTAGGGTTTGGGTCAATGCCTCATTGGTGCCTCATTATTCTTCCAACCTGAGGAATATGTGAGTTGGCCCAGTTCTAGCTTGGGGAAACAAAATAGGACATTGTATCTAGTAGTTAATTACACCTAGGAAGCCACACACCATGTCTTTAAACTCCTGAACTGTTTCACACATGCGGTGTTAACTCCTGGTGACAGGCTCTGGTGTCTGCCTCCTGCAGTCACCTCTGCTTTCCAAGAGCACCTGTTCACACATGCACTTTCTGACCATCAAGCGATGTTTGTGGAAGGATGGAGCAGCTGTTCAAACTGCCGTTATTCTGCGAGGAGGGGGGACCACCCTAAATGTCTTCAAGAGGAGATGACAGGGGTGCGATTATCCAGATATTTCCTTTGCATGTCGACGGGGGACTAATACAGCTTAAGAGGCAGAGGGGCTGGAAGATTTCAAAAGACTCCTTCGAAGGTGGTTCCTGAGCAACATGATCAAAAATAACAAGTGTTTGATTCTTCACAGTGGGTTGAGCCATTTATCATCGCCTCTGCCCTGCTCTGTCTCAGGCAGCCAAAAATAGTCCTACAACATTCATCCAGAGATGCAAGCACGTAATTGGCTTCTCATGCCCAAACTGTGCATTCTTTGTTCTCCCATCTTGAATAACACAATCCCCACCACCACTATAGATGCCCTGAATCTGCACAATTCCTTCCCGTTTTCCATTTCAGATTCACACGTAGATGTATGTAGGGTACACCTGTAGTGTGCACAGAAAGGCTAGTGATCCAGTCGGTTTCCAAAAGGCCAGTCCTGCAGCTTTTGAGAGCTAACCCCAATGAAACACCTATTTCTACTAGCATTTCATATAGAATCATAGAACTGTTGAGTTGGAAGGGACCCAAGGAGACATCTAGTCCAACCCCCTGCAATGCAGGAATCTCAACTAAAACATCCAGGAAAGATGACCAACCTCTGCTTATAAACTTCCAAGGGGAGTTCATACCTCCTGGGTCCATTCCACTGTCAGGCAGCTCTTCCTGATGTTTAATCAGAATCTCCTTTCTTGTCATTTGAATCCATTGGTTTGGGTTCTATCCTCCAGAGCAGGAGAAAACAAGCTTGCTCCATCTTCCAGGTGACAGCTCTTAAGATGTTTGAAGATGGCTATCCTATCTCCTCTCGGTCTCCTCTTTTGCAGGCTAAGCATACCCGGTTCCCTCAACCATTCCTCATAAGGCTTGGTTTTCAGACCTTGATCATTTTGGTTGCCCTCCTCGCACACATTCCAGCTTGTCAACATCCTTCTTAAATTGTGGTGTACATAATGGATTGTAACTTACACACACCTGTGAGGCTAATGTCACATCCTCACCATACAGTTAAAGCACAAGGCTTCCCCCTAAAGAATCCTGGGAACTGTTGTCTGGATGTGACCTACGAGGGTGGAACACCAACCCTGCAAGCAGGACCCCAGCTTCAATCCCTGTCCTTATAAGATATCATGAGCCATGTCTGAAGGGTACAGGCCAGTGTTGTGAACAGCCAGAGGTGCCAAAGAGGGCAGAGCAACAGAAAGGAGGTAGGGCCTAGAGAAAGACTGAAAGGCCAGATAGGGAGCCCAGCAGGGCCACATGCAGCTCCTGGCCCAAGGCTCCTTTACCCAAAGTTAAAAGGCTCTCAAGGCAGCAGGACTGGGGGAGGGTGGGAATAAAAGCTCCCCCCAAAGACCTCCTGGAGCATCAATATGGAGGAAGCATTGCTATGCAAGGTGGACTTCAGGGGAAAAGCTGTAGCTCAGTGGCAGAGCATCTGCTTTGCATACAGGTGGTCCCAGGACCCACCCCAATAGCATCTCCAGGTTGGGCTCCCTGTCTGAAACCCTGCAGGGGTCAGGGCCCCACCAATGCCCCACCAGATTTTCAACATCTACATGCAGCCACTGGGAGAGATCATCAGGCGGTTTGGGCTGGGTGTTCTTCAGTATGCGGATGATACCCAGCTCTACCTCTCTTTCAAATCAGAACCAGTGAAGGCGGTGAAGGTCCTGTGTGAGTGTCTGGAGGCGGTTGGATGGTGGATGGCGGCTAACAGATTGAGGGTGAATCCTGACAAGACAGAAGTACTGTTTTTGGGGGACAGGAGACAGGCAGGTGGAGGACTCCCTGGTCCTGAATGGGGTAACTGTGCCCCTGAAGGACCAGGTGCGCATCCTGGGAGTCATTTTGGACTCACAGCTGTCCATGGAGGCACAGGTCAAATCTTTGTCCAGGGCAGCTGGGTATCACCAGCTCCATCCTGTACGCAGGCTGAGACCCTATCTGCCTGCGGACTGCCTCGCCAAAGTGGTGCATGCTCTGGTTATCTCCCACTTTGACTACTGCAATGCGCTCTACATGGGGCGACCTTGGAAGGTGACCCGGAAACTACAACTAATCCAGAACGCGGCAGCCAGACTGGTGACTGGGAGAGGCCACCGAGACCACATAACACCAGTCTTGAAAGACCTACATTGGCTCCCAGTACGTCTCCGAGCACAATTCAAAGTGTTGGAGCTGACATTTAAAGCCCTAAACAGCCTCGGCCCAGTATACCTGAAGGAGTGTCTCCACCCCCATCGTTCTGCCCGGACACTGAGGTCCAGCGCCGAGGGCCTTCTGGCGGTTCCCTCACTGCGAGAAGCTAAGTTACGGGGAGCCAGGCAGAGGGCCTTCTCAGTAGTGGCGCCCTCCCTGTGGAACACCCTCCCACCAGATGTCAAAGAGAACACTATCAGACTTTTAGAAGAAATCTGAAGGCAGCCTTGTTTAGGGAAGCTTTTAATGTTTGATGTACTACAGTATTTTAATTTTTTTTGGAAGCCGCCCAGAGTGGCTGGGGAAGCCCAGCCAGATGGGCGGGGTATAAATAATAATAAATTATTATTATTATTATTTTATTATTATTATTATTATTATCCATGTCCCCCCCCCCAAAAAAGCAGTGAAATCCTTCCTCATTCTTTTTTGAGCACAGAGCACTTTTCTTGAATTTCTTTTAAGGGACTGCAGAAAAGCAATGTTGTGCAGAGCATTAAACCATTAGCCGCTGGAGATAATGTTCCCCTCCTGCAGGGCAGGTCCCTTGCGACAATAACCATCTCCACGGCTGATGGATATCCTGCCCGTCAACAGGCGCCGGCTGCTGTTGGCGCCAAGCCCAGGGGGGCTTGTCCTTTGCTTCCTCACTTGCTCTCAGTCGCTCTTCCCGTGACCAGGGATCCTGCTCTGCCATATGGCACCGCGGGGAACAACAGCAACACTTGGTTGTAAAGAAAGCCAAGGATATTGCTAGGTGGAGACAAAGGGGGGGGTGCTATTTAAGCAGGAAGATGCTGACCCGTGCCCCAGTCTGGTTTCAAATGGTGTTTATTGAAAATAACAACAATAATACTGAAATATCACAAAAATCAGGCCATTAAAAAAGAACACGAATTGAATCTACAGTTCAATGCCAAGTGAATTCCTGTGATTGAATAGTGAAAACACCCATTGATGCTCCTTCTCTAGGTTTATATATCAATTCCAATACTGAGCAAATGAGTCCAATTTTGTTGCAAGAGTTCAGAGGAGTTAGTCCTTAGCAGCCCATTTGACCCTTGGAAGCAAAAACTACTATTTCCAGGGAATCTATTTTGAAGCAGCTATATGAACACATGAAGCTACCTTAGTCCTGAGCTAGATAACACCCAGACTTGAGTCCGTCTCTGACTTACAGCAGAGGGACTTTCCCAGGTCTATTCCAAGATGTTGAACTGGAGACACCAGACACCTGCCATCATCTGTCTGCTAAACACACACGTGGCCTGCCACTGAGGGATGGGCCTGCTACATTGACTGTCCAAGATCTCAGGTGCCTGAGGTACTTTTAACAGGAGTAGCTGGGGCCAGAACCTGGGCTTTTCTATAGGCAAAGCAACTGCCAGCATGTACAGCTATGGCCCTTTCCTTGAAGATGTGGTTGTGGGTTGAGATCTGTTTATCATGCAAGCAAGCAATAAAACATCTGCAGCTGCTGTACTAGGATTGAAGTAGACTCAGCCCCACCTGAAGTTAACAGGACAAAAATCAGCTTAAACTCAGGCATGCAAATCCTCTAGCCAGTCCCAGATTAGGGGTCTAGGCTAATACTCAGATCCAGCTGCTGAAAAATAACAACTAATTGAAAGTAGTTGCTTATTTAAACTGGTTTAAGGGTTAAATACCTTTGATGGGGGCAGTTTTTCTAATTCCAATGAGAAAAGTTCTTTTTTAAAAATGAGGAATTCTTAAGACATTGTGAATGTTTATAAAATATGGTTCTGACAGCACAGTCAGTCTGCGAAAAACAGTAAAAAGTTAATGTCTTATGAACCAGATGATGAGCTTGCCACTGTGGGGCAGATTCAAATGCCTCTTCCAGCCCCCACCCCACCCACAGAGCTCTTCCTCCTATGAATTTGAAACCAAGCTTTATTTCTGCACTCTAAAAGGAAAGAAGTTAGGCAACGATCTGGGAGTAAATTCAGCCTATGCATTTGGTATGGTGACGTGACAGCGCACTAAAGCCGGCATGATATAGCTTTCGAAGCATGAAGAATGTCTGGCTTGGTGTTGGCACACCTGTCAGATGCAGAACAAGGTGGGAGCTTGGTAGATCCCTGCTCAAAAGGTTTCCCATCTTCAGTACTGCCCATTAAAGAGGAGAAAGCATCCTAACAGACAAAAGAACCTTTATTTATAAAACCTGCTGAAATGGTTAAGTCCCAGTTCCTGGTCTGATGATGGGAGCAGAAAACAGGAGCCTCCTGAAACTCTCAAACATTTAAGTATCAAACTCAAAGCTTCCAACAAGAATAGCCAAGCTTTTAAGCACCTGACCCCTCTAATCCACCAACTCCCTCAGAGTGGCCCACCCAAGCCTCTCCCATTTCCTCTCCTCTTCCTGCCTCCCCCCCTTGGAAGGCATCCCTGTGCCAACCAGGGTGACGTTCACAATATCACAAGGGAACATCCTCCAGTCCCAAAGCTCCAGCAACCTGTCACAAAATCAGCAGGAGCGGATGAGGGAGAGGGAGAGAAGCACTTGCAGGGCCAGAGGTGGCCTTCTAATCCTTGTAGCTGCAAACTGCTCCCTTACAGCCAATTCATTAACATGCAGAAAGCCAAGTGGTAGTTTCCGCTGAAGATGGAGAATTGCATGTTTACACAACAGTTGTCCCAACGTTAATTGAGGGGCAGGCAAGACCTCGCTAGGCAGACCCTTCATGGAAGGCCTTTGCCATTGCATGCCCCACTTTCACCATCTTCTTCTCTTTGGCATCAGGGCCCATCTTCTGGCGGGCCAGTTTCACCCAGTATTGCTCTGTCCGGGAGAGGTAATCTGTGTACTTTTCATCAGGCTGCACAGCGGGGTGATCTTCCTCTACTGCAGATGGCAGGAAGGGAGAGGGAGAGAGAGAGAGAGAGAGAGAAAGTGCAATGAGGAGCAGAGCAGAGAGGACCACCTGCTCTCTTCCAGGTGTAGCACTCCATAGACAAAAAAGATGCTGCACAAAGAATGTGTAATACCCTATAGCAACTCTACTAAAATCCCCAACGAATCTCCACTTCCTTACAGATGAAGCTTGAACTGCACAATTCGTGGCCAAATCCACTTAACAAAAAGTCAAGCAGATTACATTAAAGCTAACATTTGGCATGCAAAGTCAAGCGGAGACAGGAAACTCAAGCGTCTCCTTTCCAGAACATCTGAGAACACGGGTGCTCTTTTCTGCGCAACTACCTTCATCCTCGTCCTCAGCATCGTCAGAGTCCTCTTCTTCATCTTCCTCCTCGTCCTCCTCGTCTCCTCCCTCCGCACCTTCCACATCTCCCTCGTCATCAGACTCTGAATCTTCAAGCCATTCCTGAGTTTCTGCCGCAGCCATTAAAATTCACAGGTATAAAAGGGAATACAAAGTTAGCAGCAGGAACAGCAGCTTCCCCTCTGGCCACTTTATCTAGAATTTCATCACCATCAGGTGACCAGCAGCCAACTCTTTATATACCTGGGTTTACAGTGGTGGCTGTCTGGGGCAAACAGGAGGTTGCCAAGGCAAGCTTGAGACTCATTGTCTCTAACTTTCAAAATTAAAAATACTGAACCTAGATTGGGGCTCAGGTACCCAGAGAGGGAGAAGACCTCCTCAAAGCTTAAGTGAATAGAGAGTTGATTAACCATCAAGCAGGAGGGAAATGGGATCAACATCCTAACCTCACTTGAAAAGCAACACAGCCAGATGCACCACAGCAGAGGGGGAGAGCATCTGCTTTGCATGCAGAAGGCCCCATGTTCCACTCCTGGGACCTCTATGTTGGGCTGGAAGAGAACCCCCGTTTGAACCCCTGAAAAGCCTCTGCCAGTCAGTGCAGACAGTACTGAGCTACGCGGACATATGGCAACTTCCTATGTTCCTAGAACCCAGGGAAAAGACCAGCTAGGCAACTGTACAGCTTTTGGCGAATGCTGAAGATGCACAACTTTATCCCAGCCTTTGACAGCTGAGATGCGTGTGCTTTCACGGCCCAACCTGTGACTGTAATCTGCTTTTAATTCTGCATTTTTAATTGTTGCTCCCCACCCTGAGACCTGCTGGTGAAGGATGGGCAATGCATTTAATTAATGGTACAAATCATAATAATCAGTCAACACAGCTGCCTGTGTCCAGGTATCATGGAAGGCTTGTGAGCAGCAGAGGCTGAGATTTGTTTTACTTTATTTAAAGGAGTCATATCCTGCCTTCCCACTAGGAGACGGCACTGAAGGCAGGTAGCAACCTTATTTACATGACTGTGATTAGCTGTGATTCCTGCATTGCAGGGGGCTGGGCTAGATGACCCTTGGGGATCCCTTCCAACTCTACAGTTCCATGGTTCTATGACAACAGTAAGTGGAAAAAACGAAGTGGAAAGACCTGTGGGATAACTAAGAGGAGTTTGTGGCTAGTGCCTGGAGCTCTGGGCAACTGGGGGTTGCCAAAGGCACTCAGCCTAAAAAGGCGTCAACACACAGACATGACGACTTTGGTGGGATTAAGACAAAGATTTCAAGGTCCAGACACAAATGAGGCCAGACAACTTAGAGCCAAAGGGCATGGAAAAAAAGGTTTTCCCGGGGATTAAGCCAGGCCAAAATTAGACTTTGTGTGAGCGCACTTGATGAAATCCAACGCTATTCACAGCCCCAGGAATTAAAAACAGCCTCAGCTGCAGGCTGCATCCCCATCACCTGTCTAATTTGCCAGCCTAAATAGGCTTTTGTCCCCAGTAGCTGCAATCGTGTAGTAAAATTAAACACGGCAGCCCTCAGATTTCTAGGAATAGTTTCCAATGCCCAGGAACTTGATGAGATTGTTAAACAAAAGGCTTTCCTGAAGTTCTGACTGTCTGCTGACGCCTGTGGATGCTCCACATGCTCCCACTGGTTTTGTGTCAATGCTCAGTGTCTGGCACAGAATCAAGTATTTTAAGAAAAAGGGCTTTCTCTTAAGTTTCTAGTCCTTATGTTTGCAGAGACAGGCTGGTAAAAAAATACAATGTGAGTAGTGCCCAGTGAAATTTCAGAAGTCATGTTGGATGTGAAGCAGCAGCAGCAGCAAAACTTGCAGCTCACTGGAATTTGTCATGGAAAGGAGTTGACAAATACTACAGAATCAAAGCCCTAGCAACGGAGCATGTTTGTGTTTGTGCCTCCTTGGTAGCTGTTCTATTTAAATCAGACAAATGAACAAAGCGTGCATATTTTCTGTGCAATACAGGTAATTAAGAGCCTGCAGGATCAGGCCTGTGGCCCATGTAGTCCAGCATCCTGTTCTCACCTTGGCTGACCAGATGCCTGAGGGAAACCTGCAGGCAGGACCCCACTAACTCCAATTGCTGAGTCGAAGTCCTAACACAATTAAGGACCTGATCAGATGGAAAGCCTGTCATCTCTTGGTAGAATTGTGAAGAGGATGGCGATTACTGTGTTATTTTATCCTTCTGGTCAGTGTCTTGATTTTGCTTCTGCTGCCAACTGGGGAAGGGCAAGGAGTCAGAACACCAGTGTCTGATCCCTGGCTCCAACAGCTTTTGGGATTTCATCAGGCAGCACCAATAGGCTTTCAAGAAAGCTTCAGCCCTAACGACTAGCAACTTGTTGCTGTTGTTGTTTTAAAAAATAAATGCAAGAGAATTTGAATTCTTAACATCAACAAACGTTGCAATTGCCCAGTGTAATGGCAGAAGTACAGAACAGAAAGCTGGCTGCAAGAGCTTGAAGCAAAATATGGTAAGTGGCTTCAACTTACTTGGGTCCATCTCCACGAGGACCTTCCATTCTTCCATCTTGTGGAGGTCAATAGCATAAAGGTCGTTCAGAGTGAACTGGCGGTCGCCCACCTCAAACATCCCTCCGTAAACATAGAGCACCCCGTGCTTGACTGCCAGCATGGCGTTTGAGCGTGGGCAAGGCTCCACCTGCTGGCCGGAGGCCTCATCACCCATGCCATCCTCTTCATCCTCCGACTCAGGATCCTGCAGCTCCAGCTCGGGGGCCGAAATCACCTGCTTGATAGTCATGATGGTCCCATCCTCTGCCACCACCTCCTTGACGATCTCCACGGGGCTCGGAGGGAGCCGCTCCTCAGTCTCACCACCTTCACAGCCAGTCTTTGCCGCAGGCCCTCGACGCCGCTTCTTCTTCTCAGTCTTTGGGCCCTGTTGAGGTTGGAGGGGAGGAACGCTTTAATGGAAGCAGGCCGGAGCCCAAAAGCGAAAGCCTGCACAAGTTTTGAAAGGCAAAGCAGAACAGACAGCTGCCACCTTCCTGACAAACTGATGAAATTTGGCAGGAATTGGTTCGTTATCCAGTGTGTTCTCCCTCCACCTCTCCACTTCTGTTGACAGGGAGCTGACCTGTACCACAGTGCCAGAAGGACTGTACCATTCAGAAATGGACTGTACCACTTCAAAATGCAGGTGGGAATTGCATGATTGATTTTTTTAACAACAACAACAGCAACATAGAAGATGGTTGCACTGGGGTGTAGGCTTGGCTTTCCCCTGGCGTGCTAGCTTTCCTTTTTAAGGACTTTGTGATGATACACAGGGAGCATTCAAACACACAACTCCCAACCTGCTTTCTGAAGTGGTACAATCCAGGTGGGATGGCAACACTTGCATTTTGCTAAATGGGCAGATTAGTCCACTGTGATGGCCGCAAGTAATCATTATCTATTTTGTTTTATTCATCAATTGCATTTTTATCCCACCTTTCCTCCAAGCTTGCAATGACGTGCATGACTCTCTTCCTCTCTCTTTTATCATGACAACAACCCTGTGAGGTAGGTTAGGCTGAGAGGGAGAGATTGGCCCAAGCTTCCTGGCTGAGTGGGGATTTGAACCCTGGTTCTCCAGGTCCTGGTCCAGCATTCTAACCCCTGCACCAGCCAGGCTCAATTCTCTATGTTACAACGGGTCTGCATGGGTTGAATTGTACTGCAGGTGAAAATATGTAGGGTCTTTTCTTTCTTTTCGGTTTTCCTTTTTTTATTTGGCAACTTTGTGGTGTTCATGCACACATCCCTGTCTCCTCTGCAAGGCCAGGGGGCTTGTAAACCAAAAGGTGAAACCCTCAGAACTTGCACAGGGCTCTGAAGTGCTCAGAGCACTTTTGCCGACATTTTGCACTTGCTGCAATTCTTAACAACAACCCTGCAAGGTAGGGCAGCGTGATTATCTCCACGTTGCAGATGAAGGCAGAGCTGGTGGCTAAAGGCTGCTGGGCAGGAGTAACCTCGTGGTTAAGAATAAGAATCTTTCCAGACCTTTAGCTGTCCAGGAAACCACCGGTTCTTTGCCAAGTCGTAGAAATAAATATCGTTAAAGAAGTCTCCTTCAAGGTCCTCCTCCTCTTCTTCATCGTGGACCCCACCAAATAGAAGGGACCGGTTGCTGGGACCCACAGCCACCGAGAAACCAGACCTGGGGGTCGGCTTCACCCCTGAAGAACTAATCCGAGCCCAGGTCCACTTGTCTAGGGAACATGAAAGAGAAAAGGAGTGCTTCTTTTTTTTAAGGTGGACAGCATTTGCAAGTCACAGGCAAAGGGAAACATCATGAAGTCTAAGGTCAGCAGAATGTGAGCAGAGTGCCTGCTAGGAATGAAAAGCAAGACTTTAAATCCCGCCTCTACTCCTCTGTCCACCCCATACCTCTGAAATGGCAGCTCTGTCACCCATCCACCGGCTTCCCCTGCCATCCCACTTGTGGAAGGCCACCTGAAAAGCAAATAGCTCCAAAAATCTCATATAAGTAAGCTAAGCCACTACACTGAGAACTGAACCCAGGCCAGGCCCAGCTTCCTATGTATGGAGTCCAGGCAGCCCTGAGCCCTCCTGCTTACCTGAGCTTTCAGCCTTCAACAGGAACAAATCTGTATGAAGAGTGCCCTTGTCAACATCTTTTTTAATTCGCTGTAGAAAAAAAAAGAAATGTTTGATATATATATTTTAATCTAGCTATCTATCCACTGCTTAAATAAAGGAAAATCAAAGTGGTTGATATAAAAATGGTACAGTGGTGCCCCGCAAGACGAACGCCTCGCAAGACGAAAAACTCGCAAGACGAAAGGTTTTTTCGTTTTCGAGTTGCTTCGCAAGACGAATGTCCCTATGGGCTTGCTTCGCAAGGCGAAACGTCTTGCAAGTTTGTTTCCATTTTCGTAAAACCGTTAAAACCCAGGGTGCATTGCTGGAAGAGGTGCAGTTGCGACTTGACCTCGAGGAGCAACACACTGCACGCGGTGTGGTGGCCTTTCTGAGCTTTTTAAAGAGTTTGCTGGATTTTTGAAGCTTTTCCAAAACTTCTTTTGCAGCTGTTTGGTAAGTTAAACTTTTAAAACTTTTTTGGGTTTTTGGATTTTGGGTTGGGGTGTTTAGAATTCAAGGACTTGGTGTTGGGGAGGGGTTTGCAAGAATCTGGGAGCTTGTGTGGTTTTTTCTGCATTTTTATGATTTTCTGTGACCATTGGGCCATGTTTATTTTTTTTATAAAAAAAATCTGGGTTTTGAATTTTTGAATTTCTGTGTGCTGGGTGGCTGGGGGAACAGCTGGGGAGGGTTTGCAATACTCTGTGAGCTTGTGTGTTTTTTTCTGCATTTTTTTGATTTTCTGTGACCATTGGGCCATTTTTATTAAAAAAAAAAAATCTGGGTTTTGAATTTTTGAATTTCTGTGTGCTGGGTGGAGGGTGGAACAGCTGGTGAGGTGTTTGCAAGAATCTGGGAGCTTGTGTGGTTTTTTCTGCATTTTTATGATTTTCTGTGACCATTGGGCCATGTTGTTTTTTTTTTGAAAAAATTTTCTGGGTTTTGAATTTCTGTGTGCTGGGTGGCTGGGGGAACAGTTGAGGAGGGGTTTGCAACAGTTGGGGAGGGGTTTGCAACAGTTGGGGAGGGGCTGGGGGAACAGTTGAGTTTTTTGAAGACTTTGGTGATTTTTAAAGCTTTCCCAAAACTTCTTTTGCAGCCATTTGAGGATTTTGAAGACTTTGGTGATTTGCAGCCATTTCGTAAGTTAAACTTTTAAAACTTTTTTTGGGGTTTTTGGATTTTGGGTTGGGTGTTTGGAATTCAAGGACTTGGTTCTGGGTTTAAATTGCTGATTTTTTTTTTCTTTTTCTGAGTTTACAAAGGTAACAGCTGTGCTGCCATGGGACCCAAGAAGACTGCTGCTGCGGAGGCCGGCGAGAGGAAGAAGGAGAAGGTGACGCTGGAGATGAAGAAGGAGATCATCCGGAAGCACGACGGTGGAATGCGTGTGACGGACCTCGCCAGGGAGTACGGCAGGAACCCATCGACCATCGGGACCATCCTGAAGATGAGGGAGAAGATCCTTGCGACTGATGCAGCCAAGGGAGTCACCAGGATCGTGAAGAACCGCCCAGCTGTTCTGGAGGAGGTCGAGAAGTTGCTGCTCATCTGGTTAGAAGAGAAGCAGCGTGCAGGGGACACAGTGACTGAGGCCGTGATTTGTGAGAAGGCCAAGGCCTTGCACGCAGACCTCATCCGGGAACAGCCAGGAACCTCGGCCGAGCCAGAAGTCTTCAAGGCAAGCAGAGGCTGGTTTGACCGGTTCAAGGCAAGATCCGGAATCCACAGCGTGGTCAGGCATGGAGAGGCTGCCAGTTCTGATGTCCCTGCGGCTGAAGACTTTGCCTTGGAGTTCCTGGAGGTTGTGAAGACGGAGGGCTATGTTCCACAGCAGGTCTTCAACTGCGTCGAGACCGGGCTGTTTTGGAAGAGGATGCCCAAAAGGACTTTCCTCACACAGGAGGAGGCCAAGTTGCCGGGCCACAAGCCCATGAAGGACCGCCTGACCCTGCTCTTCTGTGCCAACGCAAGCGGCGACCTGAAGATCAAGCCCCTGCTGGTGTACCACTCGGAGAACCCACGGGCCTTCAAGAAACACAAGGTCGACAAGGAGCAGCTGAGTGTCATGTGGCGATCCAACAGCAAGGCTTGGGTCACACGTGTGCTGTTTGTGGACTGGGTCAATCTTGCTTTTGGCCCTGCTGTCAAACAGTACCTGCTGGACAACGACCTGCCGCTGAAGGCTTTGCTTCTGATGGACAATGCTCCTGCTCATCCTAAAGGCCTTGAGGTGGACTTGTTGGAGGAGTTCAGCTTCATCAACATCATGTTCCTGCCGCCTAACACCACGCCACTGCTCCAGCCGATGGATCAGCAGGTCATCGCCAATTTCAAGAAACTCTACACCAAGGAGCTTTTCAGGCGATGCTTTGAGGTGACTGATTGCACCACCATCACCCTGCGGGAATTCTGGAAGGACCACTTCGACATCGTCACCTGCTTGAAGATGATCACCACGGCCTGGAGGGGATCAGCCAGAGAAATTTGAATTGTGCTTGGCGCAGCCTGTGGCCGGACTGTGTGGCACCAAGTGACTCTGATGCACCAGAGTCAACAGTGGTGCAGGACATTGTTGCCTTAGGGAGGACCATGGGCCTGGAGGTCACAGAGGAGGACGTCTGCGAGCTGGTGGAGGAGCACGACCACGAGCTGACCACCCAGGAGCTGGTTGAACTGCAGTCAGAGGTTGCGCAGGAGCAGGCCTCGCTGGAAGAGGAGGAAGCAACTGAGGAACGGCCGTCCTCCAAAGAACTGAGGGACATTTGCCAGAAGTGGAAGGAGGTGCAGGCTTTTGCAGAGCGGCACCACCCTATCAAGCACGTGGCACATGACCAAGCGAACACTTTTAATACGACGCTCATGTTGCCTCTCAGGGAGCTGCTGAAAAGGCGGATGAAGCAGCAGACCATGGACAGGTTCCTCAGCAAGAAGCAAAGAGTGGAAGAGGAACCTTCTTCGAGTGGTCCCCCAGAGTCTTAGAAAATGTAATGTACCCTTGTTTGATTTTTAAATGTTTTTCCTGTCATGTTTAGAAACTTAATTTATTGTTCCTTCAAGTTTTGATATGCTCTTTAAAGTATGTGTGACTTTAAAGAGCAGTTAATAAACTCTTGTTGTACCAAATTTGGCTTTGTTTGGACTTTTTTTGACCATAGGAACGCATTAATTGAATTTCAATGCATTCCTATGGGAAACCGTGCTTCGCAAGACGAAAAATTCGCTAGACGAAAAAACTCGCGGAACGAATTAATTTCGTCTTGCGAGGCACCACTGTACAAAATTTCCATTAAAAACTAATAACTAAAACAGATTTTAAAACTGTGAATATAATAAAATTGTTTTTTTTAAAAAACAAACAAACAGATTTTTAATACAAGGTGTACATCATACGTCTTAATATGTCTGTATAGGCTTGTCTACATATACAAGTTTTTACAAAAGGCTTTCCTCTGCAAGCCTGGAACAGGGTTTACTGAGGCACAGAAAGACTGAAATGCAAACAAAGCTACAGGCTAAAGAGTAACCACAGCATCTTCTATGACTTTTAAGGAGTTCAGAAAGTGCTTCACGTGCATTGTCCTCTAATCCAGCCTTTCTCAACCTGTGGGTCCCCAGATGTTGTTGGACCACAACTCCCATCACCCCTAGCTAGCAAGGCCAGAGCTCAGGGATGATGGGAGTTGTAGTCCAACAACATGTGGGGACCCACAGGTTGAGAACCGCTGCTTACAATAGCCCTTTAGAAAGAGAAGATAAGGCAGGCTGGTGGCTTTCCAATATCTGATCTGCCGTCACGCAGAAGGTGGAACAGGCTTGCTGAGAAACGCAAGAGCCGCCTGCTTGGTCAGGTCCATCTACTTCAGCATCCTGTTCTCACAGCGACCAGCCTGCCAGAAACCCTCAGAAGGACCTGAGCACAAAGCTCTCTCTCCTCCTGCACTTTCCAGCAACTGGTATTCAGCATTCCTGCCTCTGGAAGCAGAGCAGAGCCATCATGGCTAGCAGCCATCAATAGCCCTCTCCTCCATGGATTTGTCTAATCCTCTTCCAATTTGATGGCCGCCCCTGCCTCCTGCGGGAGGGAGTTCCATAGTTTTAACTATGTGTTGCATGAAGAAGCACTTTCTTTTATCTACGCTAAATCTTCCAACACGCAGTGGATGCCCATGAGTTCTAGTGTTATGAGAGAGGGAGGGAAACTGTTCTCTATCCACCTTCTCCGTGCCATGATCATCTCATCTCTTAAACACCTTTTCTCTAAACTGAAAAATCTCAAACACAAAAAAGCCAGAAGGAGGAAGGAGGGAAGTCAGCTCTTGAGAGCAAGAATAAACGTAAAATGTAAGATGATATGTGTATGCATAGTATGTAACTATAAAAAACTCCAATAAATATCATCTTAAAAAAAAAGGAAAAGAAACATCTCAAACACTGCAACCTTTCCAGCATAAGGGAGTTGCTCCACCCCCTTGAACATTTTGGTTGCCCTTTTCTGAACCTTTTCCAACTCTGCAATATCCCTTTCGAGGTAAGACCAGAACTGAACACAGTATCCCTCACGTGGTCACACCCAAATGTGGTTGTTCTCTCTAGAATGGGCAGGAATTAAAAGGACGCAGATTTTGGCATAGCATTGTGGAGGCAAGATTTCTGCACTGAGGGTAGGACCAGATGACCCCCCAATGACCCTCCCAGCTCTACAGTTCTGTATGCTACAACAGGTTTCAAGCAAGTGTCAACACACAACAGCTTGTGATTCCACCTGTGGAACCCGACCCATCAACGTGGAGCGTGGAAACAAAGATGGCCTTCACATATGACTTTTGATGATAAGGACTAGAATCAAGGCTTTGGGCATTTTCAAAGGGTGGCGCTCTTAGACATGTTTCAAATTGCACCATGTCCCGTGCAAAAAACACCCAGCGAGATCTCAGACCTAGTTAGGACAATCCCACTGCACATAGCATCTTACAAAGGGAGCCAGTGTGGGGCAGTGATTAGGGTGCTAGACTAGGACCTGGGAGACCAGGGTTCAAACCCCCCACTGGGTGACCTTGAGCCAGTCACTCTCCCTCTCAGCCTAACCTACCTCACAGGGTTGTTGTGGGGATTAAATGAGGAGGGGGAGAACCATATACACCTACCTGAGCTCTCTGAAAGAGGTGGGATATACGGTAAATGCAATAAATTCATTAAGACTGTAAGATCTTGCTAAGGCTATATAGGCTGCCAACGTACCTGGGTGTCCCCAGGTGTCAAATCCCCAAAAGAGGAAGTGGGGAGTTCCATAAGCCCATATACAGCAGGCCAAAACTAGCAAGCAGCTTGAAGCTAGGCACTACAAGGCCTTTCCAGCTCCATGCTCGGAAGAGCAGAGTCAGACAGGTAACAGCACTGTTACCCCACTTGGAACCACATTACCCTTGTCGCAAACCACCAAGTATTTATTTAAAAACAGACACCTGGCATGCTTTGTGGTTTGAAGGTTGGTGCAGATGGTGGGAATAGGAGAAAGCAGGAAAGGGGCAAATCACTGATGCCGTGCAAGAAATGAGTTACTATTTTCTGCATTCAAGCAGGAACTCCAACCTTTTTGGTGCCGGGGGCAAATCTGGACTTTTGAGAAAGTGCTGTGGGTACCAGGCACAAAATGGCTGCTGGGGAGGGGTGCTGGCATATAACAAAATGGCTGCTGCGGGGGTGTGGCAGGTCACAAAATGGCTGCCACATCTAAAAGAGCAGGAAAAAAGAGAAAGGATCACAAAATGGGGCAGGCACCTACATAGGTCAGCCGCTGCTGTGCTTGATCACCGGGACAAGTTTTTTGCCCCTCTCTGCCCTCTGTGGGTACATGTAGGCAACCCCTGAAGCAGGTGAGCATCTGCAAAATTGGAAATCCAAGCAGATCCCACCCTATATGGCAGAACACACTAATGAGAAAGTCAGACAGTAAAAGTAAAATGAAGAATGAACACAGGAGAGAAGCCCTCATTTCCTTCCAGACAAACAGGATCAAAAGAAGGGGGTGGGCGATCACAACAGTCTAGCTTTCTGCTCATGCTATTAGACATCTTCATTATGCCTCCCCTTAATTTCTAACATGTAGTGCACAAGCCAGCACAGCTGAGCTGAGCAGCCACACTCAGATCTGCGTTTAGCTATAATGACCTCCTTGAGGCTTGCCCTCAACCCAACCTATCTCCTCGGGTTGTTTTGAGGCTTAAATTAAACAGCATCCTGCCTAGAGCTCCCAGGGATTGGGCAGGAAAGGAAGAGGCATTGTGGAGTTAGCACTATAGCCACAGTCTAGTTATCCACTAGGAAAGGCAACACCAAGACCTCCATTCCATACCCTTGAATGATGAAGCAAAACAGGAAGGCAAAAGAGATGGGACTGGAGAGGCTCAAAAGGTGGTGTCCCTTTGGCTGTTCAGATGCAATAGCGGCTAAAGAGATCTGCTTCCATGCCCTGCAAAAGGAGGGAAGTTGTACATTTTCTGTACAAACTGCAACAAGAGCCCAACTTAGGGGATGTGAAGATGGACGGGAACATTTTCACTTTAAGAAGCCTTGACCACCCAAATGTTCAGTCTGATTAAGCAGACTGAGGCTCAGTGGCCAAACTTTTTGCAGATCAACAAGTTTGCTGAATGACTTGGGGCACAGAGTGATCGCCCCACCCCCGCCATGTGGGAAATCTGAGCCACACGAAGGGAGAACTGTACCGGAAAACAACCAGTCCAGAGTGTGTGTCTTCAGTTATGTGGACATTGCTACAAATGATCCAGAGCCCCAACGAAACACAGATAAGAGAAGCTAGCCTATTCCTTGCAAACTCACTCTTAGTCGCTCTAAAGAATATGGAACAGGGAACTAAGCAAGTCAATGTAAAAGGCACCACTTACCTGCTTGGAGTAGCCTCCATAGACGAGGATGTTGCCTTCAGGAGTGGTAGCTAGATGGCAACCAGACCTTGGAGCGGGGGCCATCCCGGAGGGAGTCAGCTTGGTCCAGGCAAATGTGTCCAGGTTAAAGGCATAAACATCATTGTAGTAGATGTAATCTCTGATTGGAACAAAAGCAGCAGGCAGAGGTACTGATAAGGCGCATGGTCTGAAGGCACATGAACCTTGCTGAAGCTAAGCAGGGCTGTGTCTATCGGACACCCTGCCTCTTGGAGCACTAAGCTGGGGCACGTGCCCACATCACTGGAACTTCCAGAGATTGCGATGTACACCTTATCCTTTGGAAGGCAGAGCAAAAATGTATAAGCACACGAAACTTATCAGGAAGTCTCTTCCTTCCTAAAGTTGCTGTCCCTGGTGCTGAATGTCCAAAAATCCTTACTCTCTGACGTGTAGGTGACAAGAAAAAAGGAGTCATTTCTGGAAGCAGATTCCTGAAAGGAGCCTGTCTGAATTACACTGTTTCTTTCTCTCTCTTTTTAATGATGCTCCAGTCTAGCTTCCAGAATACACTCCAAGCTTTGGCTTTAGATGCAACTTGTAAGACATTGAGAACATGGAGCAATGCAAAGGCACATCTAGTTCAGCATTCCATTTCCTACACAGTGGCAGATCAAATGTCCCAAAAAATCCCACAAACAGGGCGTGAGTACCTTCCACACTGTATGCCTCTGCTACCTGGCATTTAACGGAATACGTCAACTGAACATGGAGGCTCCATACAGCCACCATGGCTAAGAGCTATTGATAAATCTGTCTTCCAGCAATCAGCACAATCCACTTCAGCATCTGTGTAAGCACGTTTACACAGAGAATCCCACAAGTTTATTGCATGAAGGTGGACTTCCCTTTGTCCATCCTGAATTTACAGCTAGTCAGTTTTGTTGGAGTTCTTTCTAATGTTATGGGAAAAAGAGACGACACTTTTCTGTGGCCACATTCTCCAACCCATTCCATCACATGACAAACCTCCACAATGTCCCTAGTCCCTTAATTGACTTTCCTCCCCACCTCCAATGAAAGGGAGTTCTGCAGCAGATCCGTCTCTCCACAAGCCCTTGCCATCAACACATGGCACACGGTGGAAGAAATGAAGTCCAATGACTGGAGATTAGCTGACAACTCCATTGACCAATGGAACTCCACTGACTGGCAGGATTCAGAATGGGGTGCAATGAACAAGATGGATCTGAGGCAGGAATGGGGTAGCTGCTGTAACCCTCCATATATTGTCGGACTCCATCTGCACAGCCATTGCTCAAGGGTGATGCGTACAGAGACTCTAGCAACATCTGGAAGGCCACAAGTGAGCAGCCCCTGGCCTAAGGTCTGCTGGGCCCGAGCCAGCCCTTTACAAGCAAACAAAAAGCACAGCGCCGACCGACCTTGCACTTTCGTGGAACCCTCCAAAGAGGATCAGCTGCCTCTTGCACACCACCATGCGGTGTCCGCTCCGACCTGAAGGGCCCCCAGAAGCCCTGAAACAGAAGTGAACAGACTGAGAAGTGAATGAAGAAGGCACCACTGTTTGCACATCGCCAGTTCCTGCTTCGTACCATTTGGGGAGCGGGGACTGAGATGCCTCTGCTCCTCGTGTTGTTGGACTCCTACTCCCGGCAACTCCTGCAGCCAGCAGGACCAATGGCCGCAGGGATGGTGGGAGTTAGGACTCCCAACTACACCAGAAGGGCCTGAAGTTGCCCAACCCCAATGTGGGGAACAAGAACGTCCATTTGGCTCAAGCACCAGCTGCCTGTTTTTCTTTAGGCAACACACTTGCCCTCTTGGCTGACAAACTGCTTCTCTCCCACCCCCACCCTGCCCTTTTTTATTTATTAGAAACAAAAGCTCCATCTCCGCCTCCTCCTCGGGAAGAGCTCCAACATCTGTGCTGATGAGAAGGTCTGCGGGGGAGGCAGCCCGCCTGTGTTTCACTGCTCTCCTGACAGTGTGTCTGTGTGTAAATCAACTTTCTGCTACTCCCTCCTTCTGGCATTTCGACTGCAGTTTGCAGAAAACAAAAAAGAGAGGGTGGGCTAAACAGGGGCCTAGGAGGTCTTACTGACAACACAGGGTCAGACGGGGCTTCCGCAGAGGAGTGGCAGAGCCAGTGCATCACAGGCAGAAGATTCCAGGTTATTATTTATATCCTGCCTTTTCTCTCCAAGGGACTCACGGTGCTGTGCAGGGTCCTCCCCCTTCTCATTTAATTCCCACAACAACCCTGAAAGGTAGGTTAGGCTGATAGGCAGTGACTGGCCGAAGATCATGCTTGGTGAGAGTCAGGGATTTAAACCCTGGTCTCCCAGGTCCTAATTTGGCACTCTAACCACTACACCAGACTGCCATCTTCAGCTGATCAGATCTCAGGCAGGAGGACCTGGGAAAGAACTTTGCCCGAAACCTTGGAAAGCCTTTGCTTGTCCAAATGGTTGGTACTGAGCTAGGTGGTCAGACTTGGAATAGAGCAGCTGCGTACAGAAGGGTATTTCTACTGCAGCTCAGGGGTAGAGCATCTGCTTTGCAGGCTGACGTACCCAGGTTCAATTCCCAGCAGCATCTCCCGGTAGTGCTGGGAGAGATTCCCTGCCTGAAACCCTGGAGAGCCATTCTGCTTGTCAGTGTGGACAATACTGAACTAGAGGGACCAACAGTCTGAATTGGTGCAAGGCAGCCTCCCATGTTCCTGCATGTTCATATAAACACCAATGTGCAGTTTCATGTTTTAAGTATTTCCTCCAGGTAGGAAAAGGTGATCACATATGGAAGACAGCATTGCCTATTTGTCAACCAGATAAATTCACGCTTTGTGTTGTCACAATTTCCTAAACACTCTTCAATATTCGAAGATGCTCTACCTTTCCAATCAGTTGGGATCAGAAAGCAAAGACTCGCTTTGCCTACCCACTTATCACACCCCTCTCCTAAGGTTGGGAAACATCTGTGGCCCTTCCAGACACTGTTGGACTCCAACTCTGATCTGCCCCAGCCAGCTGATGGGAGTTGGGAGTCCGGCAACATCTGGGAAAGGAAAAAAGAGACGTTTCCCAGGACTGGACTCTGGCAGTGCTGCTGCTCAAGGAGACAAGCAGCTTATGCATTATGCCACACCTCACTTACTTTATTTGCTCCCAGGCCTTGCTGGCCAAATGCAAGACCCAGAGATCTTTGTAGTGGTAAAACTGCTCCCCGTCTGGTGAAGCAAACTCCCGCCAAACACCCAAAGCTGTCCGCCACCCTGAGCTACCACCACAGCCTGCCAAAGAAAGAAAGAGAGATAGATAGATAAAAAGTTAGGGAAACTTTTGTGTAATTTTCAACATGTGCAACACACCAACAGCCTCTCTCATTAAACCTTACCAACAACACTGAGAGCTGGGTCGTGCTTACCCCATTTTACTGTTGCGACACCCAAGGCCACGGCTCTATGTGTACAGGTCGTCCAGAGTTCGCAGATCTGAAACAGCTCCAAGCAGAAATGGTAATCCTAGCCATGAGTAGAGCAATTCCTTCCCTGACAAAGCCAAGCCTGTGACTTTAATAGCTGAAAGGGGGTGGGGGAGAGATGGCCTGATTCTGGAGGCTTCACAGTTCAGTGGTGGCAGATGGGTCTTATTGCCTCAGCTCCTGGGCTGCATTTGGGCTAAAGCCTTCAGAATCCCTTCGTAATTCAGAATGGACACCAAAGGATAACAGTGTCACAAGGAGAGGTATCTAGATGTTCTTTCTCTGCAGCATACAAAGTAATTTAGCAGACAGGACTTTTTTCCAAGAGTGGCCCCTCAAGAGGAATTCCAAAGAATCCCCTGCCTCAAGAGATTCATTTGGCTCTCTCCTTGTCATCCTTTCACCAGACCTTGTGAATATTTCTTTTTCTATGAGCTTTTGGGTAGAAAAGTTGGTGGGGGGAGGGCGTTAGTACTGCTGCAGTTGCTTTGTGCTGGGATTGCTGGGTTGAATGAAACAGTGTTTTTATGCTTTGATCTGGGCCAAACAGTGCAATGTATGTATGCAAAAGTGTATTGCAACTCCAGGCCTGTGGTGGCCTACAGTAGTTGGATGGTGGCCCAGAAATAGATCACATGTAACCCAAAGGTAGGTCACACAAAGAAGTCTAGAAGGATTTTCTTCTTCTGCTGCTTGGTAAGGAGAGAGAAAGGCATATCCAGTAAAACAAATTTAAAAACAGGTCCAGGTTGCAGGATGAGGTTAAGAGCGGGATCCCAGGAGTTGATCTGTACGGGTTGGAGAGTCCTGCTCCAGAGAACGGCTTGTTGTGGAAAATTACAGCTTGTTAAAGCACCACCTGCTGGACACTGTCATTTATGACAGGTAGAATTTTACAGAGAGAGCGCACACACACACACACACACACACACACACACACACATATATGTATGTATATATATATGTATGTGTATATATATATGTATGTGTGTATATATATATATATATATATATATATATATATATACACACACACAGAGAGAGAGCCCATCCTTTTTCGAGCACCAGCACCAAACTCTGGGTTTCTCTAGCACCGTTCTTGCATATATGCTTATTTCCACATCTGATGCAAAAATAACCATGCAACTTTCTCTCTCTACATAAAAATATAAGGCTGTCATTGCTGTCCCTTATTGGACGATCTGCAGTGCCACATCACAATCTTGGATTTGCATGAAGTCAGGGTGGGGCAGGGGAGGGGAAAAGAAGACAGGTTGCCTGACACAAGGGGCAGTGGCACGGGAGTCAGAAGGGAGAGACACTGATGGGGAAAGTGGTTTTAAACAGCAGAAGTTTGAGAAAAGCAGGGGCAGAAGGAACTGAGAGGAAAATGGCAAAGGGGAGGAAGAATAGGGGTGAAGATAAAAACAGGACTGCAGAACCAAAGACAGAGGCGGCTTCAGAAATGGAGTTGGGACTGTGCATAATAGTTGTATGAGTTGGGAAAGGGGATCCCTAGTGTGGCGCAGCAGCCCCTAGTGTGCATGTGTGTCTCTGTGCCTATATATTTATATGATTTTAAAGTTAAATATACGTTGTGTTTTAAATTGTTATTACCCACCCTGAAACCTTAAAACAAATAACAATTAATATACTGCTACTCTGAGGCAACACATGGTATGATGCTGGTGAAGGAGGATGTCAGGAGGGCCTCTGTATCAGCTGTGTAACCCCTCCTACTACTGCGAACCCTCCCCTCCTAGAACTGCTTCCTGGGGCAGAGTGTATTATTACCTGATGGGCACAGCGGCGTGGAGGGGGGTTGGGGATGTCAAGTTTAGCCCAGCTGTTCTTCCGAATGTTGTAAACAAACAGCTCGTTGTACAGGAACGTCTAGAGGAAGAGAAAGACAAGGCAGAAGCTTGCTAGAATATGTAGCATACTCCACACACACACATTCCTTTTATTTATTAAAATACTTGTATACGGCAATTTAATAATAAAAAACCCCAAAGTGATTTGCCACAATTATATCTATACAATTAAAAAAACCACATCAACATTTATTTATTTTTATAAATTTATTTATTTGGTTTTTCGAATTAAAGTTTTACAATCAAATATCCAACATACATCATAAAAACAAGATTACAAAGAATCTCTTGGACTTCCCTCCCCGCTTTTGTGGGTCCTATCGTTAATCATTTCCTCCTGCATGTTTTATAATAATCCAAGTCTTTTATATCTCCATCATATCCAAAATGCACCATTAAACTGCAAGTGCTATTCCAATCCTACTAATGATTTTAAACTGTAACCACATTAAAATTTAAAATCATGGCTCTTATGTGTATACATAACCTAGCACAGAAATTTTTCCAGCAAACATTTAAAGGTAAATTTAATCTAGAAGGCAGCTGATGAATCTTCACCAGGATCATGCCACAGGATCAAGCCAATGATGCTGAAGACTCAATTTCACATCGATGCCAAATGAGCTTTGGCAACTCGTAGAACGGTCAACACCACCCTTGCAGATGATCTCAATTATCAAGCCAGGATATAAGGGTTCAGGTGATCCCTAAGCTACCCTGGACCTAAGTTGCTCAGGCCTTTGCAAATTAATGCAAGGACCTTTAACCTGACTTGGTAATAGATGCGCACTCAGTTTCTTCTCTTAGTTTAGAGCAGGCACCCCCAACCTGCAGCCCTCCAGATGTTTTGGTCTACAACTCCCATGCTCCCTAGCTAACAGGACCAGTGGTCAGGGATGACGGGAATTGTAGTCCAAAACATATGAAGGGCCGAATGTTGGGGGTGCCTGGTTTAGAGCCTACCCCATCCCTTAAGTCTTGGGAGAGGTACTGATGCCAAAGCATTATTTTAAAAGCTCTCACCAGGATTTGCATTTTCCAAGCTCTTTGAAGAGAGACAAGGACACTTCTGCACACTAGGCAGTGCCCAGAGCTAAACAGAAATCTATTACATTCATAAAAGACTTCTAGTTACCAAAGCATGACCTTTTTTAGGTACTGAGGGGTGAAGGTGCAACTCCTAGCAACTTTACCTACCTCAGAAGGGAATCCTGGCGTTAAGGGGATAGGAACTTGGGAAGACATGGTGGTAAAAGCCAAGCAGGCTCCTCCACAATAAGCAGACCTCCAAGAAACCTGTTGCCCCATGTTGAGAAATTATGGGCTGAAGGATGAAACAGCAGAGGAACTGTCTGCTTCCCCACTGCGTCAGCCCAAAGAATGCTTTGTACAGAAAGAGGGAATGGTTGGGGGAAATGACTCAATTCCTATACTGCTAATTTGAGACCACAATCAGTCTGTGACCCAAATGTCTGACTCTGTATCTGCAAAATTCATAGTCTGGATGTGCTCAATTTGGACAGAAAGGAGACCAGCTCCTTTTGCAAAGCAGCAGGAAGGCTATTCATGTGCAGAGAGGCCGAGGAGCTGAAGGAGATGCTCCAAATCTGTCTCCAGGAGTTATGAACTCCTAAAACATTGATGATGGCCAGGCAATCACTCTTGGCCCTTTTAATGGAACCTGCCATGCCTGTGGCAGCTGGAACGTCATTACAGTGGGCAGCATGGACAGGCAGTCCCATTTATTCTGGGACCCTGAATAGCTCCTCATTCCAATAAAATAATTTTGTGCAAAATCACTGGAAGCAAAAAGTCAAGGCAAAAAGTATAAGCAGGGTGAACTGGGGTTAGGGCAGGGCTGGGGAGCCCATGGCCCTCCAGATGTTGCTGGAGTACAATGCCCATCACCCCTGCCCATTAGGCAACGCTGCCTGGGGCTGATGGGAGTTGGGAGCCTGGCACCACCTGGAGGGCAACCACAGGTACCCTGGGGCAGGGAAGGGGGCAGGAGGATAGACAAAAGGATATACTTTACTTTTTGCCATTGAAATATTCACCTCCAAAGAGGATTAGCTCATCTTTCTCAGGATGGGGAGACAGAGATGCGTTGAGCCTGGAGATGGAAAAATGGGGCAGATATAAGAAGGAGAACAAACTGGGGAGCTGTTCCATGCGTACCGTGCAAAAGTACTTTAGAGCTTTAGATAACTCCATCCTGCAACACTTATGGTGACATGCAAAAGCAGCCACTTTCTGAGACGTATGAAAGTGGTCACTATATTGACAACAGCTTAGGTTCATTACTGTTATCCATACTAACATTAAAAGAGGGGAAATATCAACACATTTAATTTCAAAATCATAGTATCATTTATTTATTTATTTCATTTATATCCCACCTTTCCTCCCACAAAGGAGCTCAAGGGGCTCTTCCCATCCTCATTTCTTCCACACAACAACCTTGCGAGGCTGAGAGGCAGTTTGCAAAAACACCAAACCAACAGAAATACAAGAGCAAACACACAGCGGTTCTCCACCTGTGGGTCCCCAGATGTTGTTGGACTACAACTCCCATCATCCCTGAACTCTGGCCTTGCTAGCTAGGGGTGGTGGGAGTTGTAGTTGAACAACATCTGGGGACCCACAGGTTGAGAAAGGCTGCAAGCAAGTCTCAAAAGATTAACACTATTAGGTAAAAAGCAATTAAAAAAAAAAAAGTTAGTAGAAAAAATAACAGAGAATAAAGCCAAATGATGAGACCCCTCTGATCTTTTAGTTATTCTAAATGCTGCACAATCAATGCTGGTTCCAGCAAGGCTGGTAAAATTATTAGGGGTTTATAGCCCACACTTCCAGGAAAATATGACCCCTGTGCACATTCTTACCTTGGGGAGGGCGGGGGGCAGCTTGTCTCAACCACTTGAGTCTTCTTAGCATCCAGTGTCTGGAATTCCGCTATAAGAGCTTCAAGATCCTCCTTTAAACAAAGAGACAGACTGATCAAGAGCATTTCACAACCAGGTGCCCTCCATATGTTGCTGGACTACAACTCCCATCGGCCAGCACAGACTGAACCACAAGATCTAGAAGGAATTTCCCATGCTCAGATGATTTGGGGGCTTATTCTATTACACTGTTCTCTCTCTTCTTGTTCTCTCTCACCTAGAGTACTGCCACAGCACCCCAAACCTTTATTTTTAAAAGAGCTATAGCTTAGTGGCAGAGCATCTGCTTTGCATGCATAAGGTCCCAGGTTCAATCCCCAGCAGCACCTCCAGGTAGGGCTGGAGACACCCCATGCCTGAAACACCAATATCACGGCAGGGGTGTTTCCAGTTACCCCACCCTTTGCCCTTGGAAGCCTTCTAAGCTGCTGCAAGAGAGGGACACTGAGCAACACCTTGGGAGGAGTGCTTCTAGGACTAAGACGAAATGCGAAGCTCCTTTATTATTTCCACTATTGGACGCTGCGTGTTGTTTAAATAACCTCGTTCTATTTATAGTATCAGAATGTGGGTTTTTGTTATTATATTCGTTATTGTTCTGCTATGTTATGAAACTGTTGCCATGTTCTGCTATGTTACTATGAAATTGTTTGAAATGCATCCCTGCTTTTTGGTTGTAAGCCGCTTTTCTGAGCATGATTTTATTTTGTGGGAAAGAGACATACAAATACGTAAAATGAATGAAACGAAACCTCTGGAGAGCTGCTGCCAGCCAGCACTGCGCTCAATGGACCAATAGTCTAACTCAGTATGAAGCAGCTACCTACGTTCGTATGAATTGCATTCCTTCCCCCCCACCCCGCCCTATAGCTGATGCGCCTTTTTTTTTTTTTTAGCGGGGTGGGGGCTGAAGACTACACAGAAATTCAGCCAAGGGGGCTTTTCTTCTTTATCCAGGAAATGCAGACCTGTTGAGCTTCTGCCTGCAGCGAAGCTCTTAAAGGCACAGGAGCCCTGGCGGGAGGCGGGCAGCTCAGCTTCCTCGCAGCCCTTTGGGCTCACCTGCTCCTTCTTGGCCCTCTTGGAGACTTTCTTTTCCATCTTGGCGGCTGTTTTCTCAGCCCCCTTCACCTTCTTCTCCTTCTTGCTCTTCTTGCCCATCTTTGCAGCAGGAGAGGCCGCCTGGCCAGCCTCTTCCCTCTGCACGCAAAACACACGTGCCCCGACCCAGCCTGGCCTTTTCCCCAAACCCCAAACAAAGGTCATTTCCTGCCGAGGGAAGGAGCAAAGGCGGCAAGCGGGATCCTTCTCATCCGCCGCAAAAACGAGACTATTGCCATCTGCTGGAAGGGAAGGCTCCCTGCCAGGCCTTCGGATCTGGAGAACAGACGAAGCGGGCTGATTTGATGCAAGTCGGTGGCCGCTAATTCATAGCTGTCAACTTTCAGATTTGAAAATAAGGGATCAGCAGCCTCACCTGTCCCGGGGACAGTCTACGGCAGAGGTCTGCAACCTTTAAGACAAAAAGAGCCACTTGGACCCGTTTCCGAAGAAAAAAAACCTGGGAGCCGCAAAACCATTGCGACATTTAAAACAAATATATCTCCGGAGCCGCGATCTGACAGCGGGCGGGAAGGTGACGTCGGGACGGTGCGTGACTAACGCACGCACCGCCCCCATGCGACGTCACAGCCAGTACAGCGCCCGCCACAGTGGGGAGTGTCAGGGCGCACAATGCGCCTCCTCCCCTCGCTAGTATCCGCCCCGGAGCCGCGGCAAAGGTGTAAAAGAGCCACATGCGGCTCCGGAGCCGCGGGTTGCAGACCCCTGGTCTACGGGATATCTAACAATCCGGGATAGCAGCGGGAAGCAGCGGGAAACGGCGCTGGAATAAGGGAATTTCCCGTAAAAAAAGGGAAGGTTGACAGCTATGCGCTTATTCCATTTGCAAATGAAACTGTGCAAAGCGTCTTGGCAGCAGACACGGTTATCCTCGACAATACAGCTTGAAATGAGAGTGGTGCCGTGGTGGTTATAGTGTCGGACTGGGACCCTGGGAGAAAGCACGGTTCAAATTCCCACTCGAACATGTTGCACACTAGGCACTTCTTCCGGCCAGTAACCTACCTCACAAGGTTGTTGTGGGGATTAAAGGAGGCTCCGGTGGCAGGGGGGACGACCATGTACCACCACCTTGAGCTCCTTGGAGAAAAATACAAAATATATTCTTCTCTGGGAAAGATTGTTTGTGATGGATAAAACAACTTTTGTGCTGTCCCCAGGATGTTGTATGGGTGGTAAAAAGGTAAAGGACCCCTGACAGTTAAGTCCAGTCGCAGACAACTCTGGGGTTGTGGCGCTCATCTCGCTTTACTGGCCGAGGAGCTAACGTTTGTCTGCAGACAGCTTCCGGGTCATGTGGCTAGCACGACTAAGCCGCTTCTGGTGAACCAGAGCAGCGCACAGAGACACCGTTTACTTCCCGCCAGAACGGTACCTATTTATCTACTTGCACTTTGATGTGCTTTCGAACTGCTAGGTTGGCAGGAGCTGGGACAGAGCAATGGGTGCTCACCCCATCATGGGGATTCGAACTGCCAACCTTCCAATCAGCAAGCCCTAGGCTCAGTGGTTTAGACCACAGCACCACCCGCATCCCTGTTTGTATGAGTGGACATCTGATTAATTTTTATGGATTAGTAGCAATCAGATTCCTGTATTGCAGGGGGTTAAACCAGACAGCCCTTGTGGTCCCTTCCCACTCTACAACTCTAATTCTAAGCCTCATCAGCTCTAGCAAGCATAGCCAATGGCCAGGGATGATGGAAATCGTAGTTCAGCAACTTCCAGAAGGCCACAGGTTCCGCACATCTGATTTACAAACCAGTGGGAGAACATCTCTGCTTCTCAACATCAGTGAACAAAGGAAAAGGACGGGGCTTTTTTTCAGCCAGAACTCACAGGAACTCATTTCCGGCACCTCTTGGGTGGGCGTCATTGCCATTACAGTGGTACCTTGGGTTACAGCATAGCTGTCAAGTGTCCCTTATTTGAAGGGACAGTCCCTTATTCCAGCGCCATGTCCCGCTGCTGTCCCTTATTGATGGATGTCCCTTAAATGTCCCTTAAATGATGTCCCTTAAATTTCAAAGGAAGCAGCTCCTCTCCCTCCCTCCCTGCCGGCCAGGGAGGAGGAAGGCTCCAACTGTGTTGCTTGGCTGTGTTGCTCACCCAATAAGAAGTCTAAGAACAACTGCGGGGTGGAGCTTGCATGCCTTGTGTGTGGCTAGTTAATGCAAGCTGAGGGGGGTTTTGAATGCTGGACGCCATTTTGTTGCACGTGCTGCTGCAAACTTTGCAGTGCAAAGCCAGGCCGGGGAGCCATCTTAAGTTGAGGCTGCATAGGCCTTGTGGTGCATGTGATTCAGATTCTATTCAGTTGAACCTCTAGTTACAAAGTTGGTTGGACAGTGTTCTCGAAGCTACCCAGCATGAGTTTGACCAGACTGCAGGAGGACAGGAAGACTGGAGTGCCTGGAACAGGTGAGGCTGCAGGTCCCTTATTTTGGCTGCTGGTCCCTTATTTTCAAGGCTGCTGGTCCCTTATTTTCAAATCCTTAAGTTGACAGCTATGGTTACAGACACTTCAGGTTACAGACTCTGCTAACCCAAAAATAGTACCTTGGGTTAAGAACTTTGCTTCAGGATGAGAACAGAAATTGTGCAGCGGCAGTGGGAGGCCCCATTAGCTAAAGTGGTGCCTCAGGTTAAGAACAGTTTCAGGTTAAGTACAGACCTCCGGAACGAATTACCGTATTTTTCGCTCCATAGGACGCACTTTTTCCCCTCCAAAAATGAAGGGGAAATGTGTGTGCGTCCTATGGGGCGAATGCAGGCTTTCGCTGAAGCCTGGAGAGCGAGAGGCGTCGGTGCGCACCGACCCCTCTCGCTCTCCAGGCTTCAGGAAGCTATCCGCAAGCCTTGCAAGCCCGGTGGGAGTTCCCGCGGGCTCACAAGGCTTGCAGGCAGCAGCCTGCAGCCCCGGCGAGTGTCTGCAAGCCTTGCGCGCCCGGCAGGAGGTCCCGCCGAGCGTGCGAGGCTTGGGGCGGCAGCCTGTCGCCCAAAGCACGGGGCACCCTCCGGAGGGCTCCCCGTGCTTCGGGCGAGTGTCTGCAGCCTTGCGCGCCCGGCAGGAGGTCCTGCCGAGCGCGCGAGGCTTGGGGCGGCAGCCTGTCGCCCGAAGCACGGGGAGCCCTCCGGAGGGCTCCTGTGCTTCGGGCGAGTGTCTGCAAGCCTTGCGCGCCCGGCAGGAGGTCCCGCCGAGCGCGTGAGGCTGGGGCGGCAGCCTGTTGCCCGAGCACGGGAGCCCTCCGGCGGGTGCCCCATGCTACTTGCAGGTGTGCACAAGGCTTGGGGCGGCAGCCGCGGCGGGGGGGGGGATAATTTTTTTTATTCATTTCCCCCCCCAAAAAAACGAGGTGCGTCCTATGGGCCGGTGCGCCCTATAGAACGAAAAATACGGTAAGTTCTTAACCCGAGGTACCACTGTATAGCATAACAAGGGAGGTGTTCATGGTGAGTTCTGGCACCTCTTTTTTCTAGAAATATAGCACTGGGAAAGGATGTTGTGGAACTGGAAAATGTCCAGAAAAGGGCAGCCAAAACGACCAAAGGACTGGAGCTGCTTCCGGATAAGACTGTAGCATTTGGGGCCTTTTAGTTTAGAAAGAAATTTGGAAACAGGAGACGTGATAGGAGTGTTTAAAAGTATGCATGGCATGGAGAAAGTGGGTAGAGACAAGTTTTTCTGCCCCTGCCCCCCTCACAGCACTAGAACACGGGGCATCCAATGAAGTTGAATGTTGGAAGATTCAGGACAGACAAGAGGAAGGACTTCTTCATGCAGCGCATAGTTCAGCTATGGCTTAGCCTTCCACAATAGGCAGTGACGACTGCCAACCTAGATGACTTTGGAAGAGGGTTAAACAGATTCATGGAGCAAAGGGCTATGGATGGCTGTTAATCCCAGCAGATATGCAGTCTCCGCAGTTGGAGGCAGCAATGCTTCTGAATACCAGTTGCTGGAAACCTGAGGAGGGAAGAGGGCTCTGGCGCTCAAGTCCTGCTTGCAGGTTTCCTGCAGGCATTTTGGTGGCCGCAGGATGGTAGACTAATGGGCCATTGTCCTTCTGTTCTTATCTGGAGGGGCCCCTAGAGATGTCCCCCATGACCTTAGCCTTCAATGGGTCGTCCCTAGCATGCATGGAGGGAGATGTCCCTCTGCCTCACTACACATATCAGATTTCCTTTGCTTTTGTGGACACGAATGCACCACTACAGAGAGAATCTGCTGACAGGGAAGAAAACACAGGTGCCCCTTTTGCCAAAAAAAGAAAAAACAGAGAAACTGCCGACTGCAATGTCTGCTGTGTGAAGCAGCCCCCTGCTGTCATCCCTGGCGCTGGGGCAGGATCTGAGGCCTTGCCTTGTTATTCCAAGTCACTGTCTGGACTAGGTTTTCATTCATTCGCTTGGCAAATTTGTGCAGCATTAGTAATGCAAAACCAACGCACATGTCTGAGACCCTTCTGGACTGGAACATCTCCCAAAAGCGGGGGAAAGAGGGAGGGAGGCCTGCCTGTCTCGTTTTTCTCTGGTCACACACAAAGTGTTTCGGATCAAGATTCTTAACCCTGACACCTGTGATGTTTCGTTGAGTCGGGACCAGGTGAGGGGGTTGGGGGGATGTCTACTCGCCCCTTTCTGGAGAGCACCATCACTTAGTTGCCACTATTGCCACCTAGCTTAAGGTTACCAGATTTTTTTCAATGAGTCCAGGGACACTTTTCAACTTCCTACTAAATAGATGGATTTTGTCAGGGGACTCATTTGTAAATCCGGGGACTGTCCCAGGGACGTCTGGTATCCTTAACCTAGCTCCATCTGTGAGATGTTGAGGAGGGCATGGAACAGGCGAGCCATCACCTTAAGAAAGGAATTGCTTTGGCAGGTTCCTCAGCCTCTTCTACTAGATCCTAAGCCTTGCTGGATACAGGATCGCAGCCCTGGAAGGGATGCTACGATATTATGCAAGCTGACCCTGCAAATGATATCCTACCCTACCACCCAAAGGAGCTGAGTGGGGATTGGAACTAGCGTTTCCAAAGCTCGAATCCTGCTTTTCCCGGATATTTAGTACCACAACTTCCATTATTATTATTATTATTATTATTATTATTATTAATTCAATTTATACACTGCCCTATACCCG